CCCCCCCCCCCCCCCCCGTCTGCTGTTCACGCTCTCAAGGCTGGACGTCGAAACCAAAAAAAACCCCTTGCGACTCCCCGACGTCTTCTCTCGTCTCTTTCTTCACTGTTCATTTCCATTTCTATACCCGTCATTCTCTTCCGACCCCCGCGTATGCCTGATGTCGGGCGTGGTGTTGTTGCACATTATGTACTGTAGTACTAGAGGACTATGGGTCGGTTGTCCAATTGTATATTCTTTCCATGGTCGTTGTCGCCGATGGGGAACTTGAGCGAACGGTCCCTCTCTTTCCGTTTCCTTTTGTTCCTGGTGTGAGTTGTCCCTACGCGTGAAAGGAAAGAGAGGCGGGCGGGTGGTCGGTGGGCGCGATGGGGCGAGGATAACGGCGGGTTATATCTCAGACCTCGTCTCCTCTATCCACCTCCTCGGCCTCTTCTCAACGACGACATCCGCGCGCCCTCCACCCCGCCTCGCAGCCCCGTCGCCGTCGCCCCCGCCGTCGGCATAGCGGCCCCTGTGGATCCCGGCGCGCGCGGGGCACGGGAGGACGTTGGAGGCGGAGACGGTGAGGACGGCGGCGAAGAAGGTGAGCGAGAAGAGGGTGGAGACGACGGTGCGCCGTTGGGAGTGGGTGAGTCTGAGGTGGAGGGCGCGGGGGGCGGGCATCGCGTGTGCAGCGGGTGTAGCGTGGGTGGGGGCACTTTAGTCACTTCGGCACCTGCTTGTGCGTTTCCTTGCGCTCTATGTGCGATGTGTGCGTTTGGGGGGCGGTAGGGAGTGTCTGCGAGATGGAAACTACGGTGACAGGTGTCGATGCTGGGTGATGGGCGAGGAGGGTGGATGGGTTGATGAGTTTTGGGTTGGATGGAGGGGAGTGTGTACTTACCGGGACTCTGGCCATATCCACTGTGGGTGGTTTGGGAGGTTGGCAACTTTTTTTTCTTTCGGAAATGGCTACTCCGGTCGGACCCGGAAGTGACGATTGGCTATTTTGAATTGTTTACCAACAGCCTCTGCCAGTTCACCAAACTTACTCCCAAGTTACCCCCACCCCACCACCTCCAACGATGCCCAACATCCGCGTCCTGCGCGACATCAAAGCGCGCAACGGCGTGCAAACCAACGAGCTCCTCCGCCGCGCCTACCTCTTCGTCGCCCGCAACGAGACGCTCTCCCCGCAGGTCCGCCACCAGGCGCAGCTGCAGCTGAATACGTTTGGGAAGTACGCGCGGCCGACGACGGTGAAGAATAGGTGTGCGGAGAGCGGGAGGGGGAGGGGGGTGATGAGTGAGTTTGCGCTTTGTAGGGTGGGTACATGTGTTTTTTTTTTGGTTTACTTTATGTGCCTTTTGTTTTGTGTTTTGCGCGTTTTGCGTTTCTTTTGTTATTTCGTGGTGCAAAGTGCTTTTTTTCGTTTGGGTGTCTGAGGGAGTTTTCTATTTTGCTATAGCCTTCCTTTCTAAGAAATGAAGCTATGAGTACTGATACATTTTCTGAGCAGTACCAGTTCCGCTTGAAAGCTCTCAACGGAGATCTTCCCGGCGTGAAGAAGGCTTCGTGGTAACCCACCCACTCACGCACGTCTTGCTTCGAGCTCCTTCCCTTCCCTTACCACTCCAACACACACATCCGGGTGTACGTCCCCCACTCCTCACGCAAGGCTGTTGGAATCGTATCAGGAAATAGAAAATACAAGGACGCGTATATGTGTATGTATATTATTGTCTGTTAGACATGGAAGTGGGATGGGAAGGGGAGAGGGATGGGTTTGAGCGATAGGACGCGGTATGGGGAACGGAGTGTGCAGTGGTAGCAGTAACAAGTTCACCCCTAGATAAAAGAAAAGACCTGGTCTTCGGTTGGGATATGAACTTAATTCCTCCTTCCTGAGCTGAACTTCTGTTGTTTTCTGGCCTCCTACAAGAGTTCGACTATAGTAATCCTTTTATCTAATCATAAGTCTCATTGTGATCCCATGTTACATTAATCCTGAACATTTCGTTCACTCTGAAGCTTGCATCAGAACCTCTTGACTCAGACTTGGATGACCCTTTTTGGTGCCGTCACAATATATTACATTCACGTGGGGAAGCCCGGAGTACTACGTGCGGGTGGCACGAAGTTCACCTCGACATATCACCTCGAAGGTAACACTCCTTCCTGATGCCAACTGCCATATTCACTCCCCCTATCTATGCCGTCGCGCAGAACGATGCATTGGACTCACTTGACACTTTGTATAAATCCCTTGATGATCTGCACGGCATTGATGCCACCGTTCTGAATGCAAAGTCACATAAGGACGACTTGGAAGCCAGAGTGGGGTGTCATTCATCCTCCTCAAAGTATCATCTCCTAATGCCGTCTCAGCTAGTTCGCAGCTTCCGAGAAAACCGTACATGCCGTTGTACGGGAAACAGACTCGTCTGCTCGCCGTTATATTGACGATGGCCTCCGTTTTACGGCTACACGTGTTGGCTTCACGGACAAGCATGCCACGCTCGCTTTGACCTTACTCAAAGACATCGAGTCTCATCATCGCTTTTCGAAAGAGCTCAAGACCGTGAAGTCATATGTATATATCGTAGAGCACGCGCTTGCTCTCAGGTTCGTCTCTTTGCCATGTTTCTTGCCCGTCACTAAACAACTTTCAGTGAGTCGGCTATAGCAGAGCTGGAAACCGCTTCCTCGTTTCTCTCCTCCTCCTCGCCTGCAATGAAATCTTACCGTTCTCTCGTGTCTTTCTTTCGGTCTGTCTCAACTGCATGTGGTGCCCACCCACCCAACGCTGCAGAGCCAAACTATCGACAGCCGCACCTGGTCACGTTCCTGCGCAACGTGTGCGATGCGACTTGGACACGACTTAAAGAAATACTATCCACGTAAGCACATTGTCCCTGATCTCCCCCAGCAGCTTACATATGCCATATCATGCCACGAACAGCAAACTCATTCCAGCATCCGAAGCCATTGGCTGGCCAACGTCTCTCCAGTGGTCGATGGCATCAACGGACATTAGGGACTCATTCGAAAGATCGTTCAAGGAGTTGTTGGTCTTGCAGGAAATGTCTGCTTTTCTTCTCTCTTCTTCGTATCGCACACTCACTTATCCCTAACTTACCCTTGTGCAGTGGCGAATCACTCCACAACGAAGACCATGGCCTGCCATCCGACACAAAGCCTGGCCTCTACTCTCTCCAAACACTCATCAACCCGATCGTTTTGCGCTATAGGTATCACTTCGAGATGACGCGCGCCACCAACCGGGTGGACAGAGTACGTACCATTTTTTTCACTCGTACATAACGACATGGTTTTTTTTAAAAATATTTTGTAAAACTGAAATGCATCCAAATCACAGCCCGAATGGTACTTGACCTATATCTTCAATCTCATCCATGACCATAAGCCATTCATGGAAGATGTCATTCAGCCTTGGCTTCATGCCAGTGGGAAGAAATGGTCTCAAGTCGAAGCCTGGGTGAGCACTTCGCGCCATCTCTTATATGTTATTGCTATTACTTACTTTGACCCAACCGAAAGCCGTCTTATGCCCTCCTCCTCTTACCCTTGATCCGGCGAAAACTCTCTGATACGGTCCCTTCCCTGTTGGAACACCCCTCGATCTTGGCCCACACAGTAGACGAATCCGTCGCATTTGACTTGAGTATCAGGAACCTTGGCATTATTCCGGCCAGCTATACCAACCAAGCGGCAGAAAAGGCAGTAGACTGGACAGTTAGTAGTGCTATTCTTGACAGAAAGGAATGGTTTGAAGCATGGATTGACTGTGAACGGAAGTGTGAGTTGTTTACTATGTCGCTATAACTTTGAGACGGTGTTGTTTTCGCCTTTTTACTTTAAATTTTTCTCACTATATGTCTATTCTATTTTCATTCCTTGAGCTAACCGTCTTCTTCAATGATAACACTCGATTGCAGTCACCGAAAACCGATACCACGATATCATCAGTGCACCCGATGCTTGGCACATTACGGATGACGATTATTCAACTGTGGAGAAAGCTAGCCATGTCGAGCTGAGACCAACCAACTCGGCTCGGCAAGTGAAGGCTCTTGTGCAAGGTCTGACAAGTGAGTCACACTACCATATTACGCATTTTGCTGTTGTATATCTGACGTATGCACCTATGCTCTTGATCCTTCCTTTGAAAAAAAGGTCGTTATTCGTCCCTCCCAGGTTTCACCCAGCGCACACGCTTTCTCACATCCATCCAGCTCCCTGTCATAGAGTCATACTATACACGCATATCAAAATCTCTCGATGCTTTTGAAGTGCTATCGAGTGTACTCGGGGTGAGCGGCTTGGTACCTGGAGCACTCGGTTTCAGTGTCAGGCGGAGAAATCTCAGTGGTAAAGATAGTACTGGTGGAAACTCCGGAGCGCGAGAGGGCGAGCAACAGGACAGTGGTTTGGAGGGTACGCAAAGACTGATCAAGGCGCTGGTTAGTGCTCGCTATATCCAAGACGCTTTGGAAGGCTGGGGAGAGGACATCTTTTTCTTGGAGCTATGGGAGGAGATCTGTCATAGGGCGCAAGCAAAGGGGGATAGGCATACGACTGACGATAGAAAGGTAGAAGACGAGACGCGTTTGCCAGAAGGAACTATCTTCGAGGAACTCCTTGTGGAGTACGCTATGCTTGTTGAGAGGGCAGAGAATATGATCGAGAGGCAGATTTGTGGCGAAGTCGAAGGAGCGATCAGTGCGTATGTCGCAGCGCTGGACGTTGGGTGAGCGGTTAATTTTTTTATTTCTTTTGTTTCTACATCCCTTGTTTCCATTTGCTTCGACGGTGATGCATATGCCCCTTTTCTAACGGACACGTTACTTCATTGGAGGCAACGTTTTTATTTATTATTTTGTGATGATAACAGAATGTTGACTTTTCAATTTTTGCCCAGCCCTTCGGTAGACCTGTCCAGTTCGTCCCCTGTCGATTACACGGCCCCTTCATCAGGCCTCCACCCCGCCCTCGTTCTTCTCTCCTCCCATCTCACGTCCTTGCAGCAAAATCTCCCCATGGGAACGGTAACATCACTATACAGACGGATCGTCAACTCGATCGCCGACTACTTCTGGATGAAGAGGATCGCATCTCGAGGCCGGATGCGATTAAGCGAGGCCAAAGTGGTGAAGTACGAGTGCGAGCTGTGGGTGACGGTATGCAAGAGTGCTATGAAGGCGTCTGGAGGGAATGCAGCAGCAGCAGCCGAGTCTGGCATGGGCGCGAGGTGGCGCGTGGAAGGGCCGTGGATGAAGCTTGTCGCTTCCGGGCGGGTGCTTGCAGCTGAGGGTGATGAGTGGGAGGGGCTGGTGAGAGCATGGAGGCTGGGCACGGACGCAGCTTGGGAAGAGGGGGTGAGGAGTGTTTATGGAGACGGGTGGGACCGCCGGGTTGGAGAGGGGTCTGCGGTTGTGCTGGGACGGGAGGAGGGCGGGAAGGTGCTGAGGCTTAGGGAGGATTGAGCCTGCGTTTGCTGGTGCTTATTCTGGCTTGGTGGAATTGATCCATTTCGTTTTCTGGAGCCACCTTGACGTGATGAAAAACAAGGCTGACCAGCAGCCCCCAAATGTATCACGCCAATACTTAGTTTTGTCAAACTCTCTGGCATGATTTTTACCCTGGAGGTAACTTTCCTGCTGATATGCCTACCTAGTACTGTCGTTAAACGTCAGTTCGGATGGGGGGGGGCTATTCGGACATTTCTGAAAACATACATTCCACTGTCAGTTTTTCTCAACAACTTAATGCATAGCAGTTCTGTGTATTCTTACCATTTACTCCAACTTTCCTAGCACAAAATCCTGAACTATTTGAGTGAGTTCCTTCCATGTGCGTGACTTTTGTGAAAGTAACACTCTAATAAGGTACTGCATGCAATCTCAGTTTCAAAAATCTCAGCACACTCAAAATCATGTTCAACCACTGATAGTGCCGAGCGGCTTGTGTGACCTCTGTGACGTCCGAATAGCCCCCCATCTGAACTGATGGTTAACCCCAGCCGAAAGCCACAGTATATAGACCGACTGAAAATGAATTAAAATGAATATACCGTATTTTATCCTAGGATGACCAGTTTTAACAGTTGGCTGTCAATTCTAAATGATTCTAGACTATATACAATGATTTTATCAAAATTTATCATTTTCTTTCTAGAAATTAAAACATGCATTTAATACCAATGAAAACGAATAAAAACGAAAGACATCCATATCTTGAGCAACCATCAAAAATGAATTAAAACCAAACCAAACCAAACCAAATCAAAACGAAAGACATCAGTATAATAAAGAACAGCAAAATGAATTAAAACAAAACAAAATACAACAAAATGAAAGAAAAACAGACATACAGAACCAACAAAACTAGGCCTTTGCATCGAGTTTCTAGAACAAATGTAGTAAAATATTAGTACCAATTAATCAATAAAACAATGCTATACATACATACCATGATAGCGGCATCCGAGGCATATTTCTAAGATACAGGTTAGTGAAGTTACAAACAAATTTCAATGATACTATACCTTCTGCAAGTCCTTTGAAAGATCCTTGAAGTAAGTGTCAAATTCCACTTTGAGACCACCAGGATGCTCTTGCAGCCAGTCTTTGGCACATAAGTTCCTGCCAAAATGCCAGACAATGTAGTATCAAACCGATATAACATACCTTGCAGTGATGGCAGGTGTTATCTTCAAAAAATCCTCACTACACGGCTTCTTCTTACCAGTCCCTTTCTCAATCTTTGCCGTCCCCACAGCTGATGTAAGTGCGAGCGCAGCTGAGACAAGGTCCGACACCTCGCCCTGTGAGTCTGGCTTGCAAACAGGTGCAAGCGGAGCAGGTGGGATGAATGGAGCGGACAAATTTGGCCTAGTAGTGCCAATGATAATGTCAATAGAATCAAAAGTAAACAAATATATGTACATGGGTCTTTTTAAGATAATTTTTAAACTAGCAACTTTTGCATTTTCTGATGCTGTGACATTGGCCATGGTAGTATCTTTGCTTGTGGTATCCTTGCTAGTCGCATCCTTGCTGGTATCCACCTGGCTAGTCGTATCCCTGTTGGTCGTATTAGGTTGGACTGTCAAGGACTCCGACACCAATTCCAGTCTGGGCCTTTTGATAACCATGTCCTCCTGACTTGACTGCTCCGATGTGATCTGGTATTTACCTAAGGAAGAGGAAGTTTTGGTTGGTGGAGATTCTGTGGGGACCGGCTTGGCCTTGACTGTTTTGCCGACAATGTGGTATTGGTGCCATCTTGAGTATACTTCGCGAGCAATCTTCAAGGCCTTCCAGTTATCTGCGCAATAGCCGAGCTCAGGATAAGCATTGATTACATCAATATAGCACCTATTTTGGAAGTCAGGATGACACTGTGGAAAATATTTGGGGATAACAGAGTGATTTTGCAGCTCATTGAAAAATGACTGTATAAGCTTTCGGATTGCCGCGGCACAATGTTCATCAATGATTTCCCCATTGGCTAACTCCACAAATCTTGTGGCAACATTGACACCATTAGTGCATCGGCCACGTCCACGAGGTCCAGGGGACTTCTTGATCACATCAGGCAGACTCTTCTTGGTGTCACACACTACTTTCCAATCTGCAACAACCAAGAGTTAGTTACTCTGGCGCACACAGAACACACTATAAGGAAGATGATGAGGGAGTGGTTACCCCTTGAGCTGCAGAGAGTTTGTTGGTATACAACAGGAGGACTCACTGAGGAGTCTCCTGGATCTATTGGGGTATATATACTACTACAGGGTTATTTGTACATGTGTACTATACAGTTAATAGAGACAGTGGCTGATGATGTCATGGGGCCTAGCCCGCATGGCCAGCTCCACTGTGTGAGAGAGTTGTGTCTATATTAAGAAGAAAGGCAATGCGGCATGAGAAAGAGGAGTTTGGACAAAAGGGGAAGTGCCACGTGGCACCATGTGTGAAAGCTAAAGTACCAGGTTAAAGCGGAGAAATAAAAATAACGGAAAGGTCCGAAAATTGTGTTATCGTAACACAATCTTTTGCGGTCCAGAACAACATATCCGGAAAGTCTTCCCGGTTATACTGATTGATTATTAATTGAGGTGGCTCTCATGGCCCTGCACTTGATATTGATTGTGCGAGTGTATTGAAGTTTTGCCTGTCCAAATTAGTAGACAATATGCATGATATTATACACTGTTCAACTCACTGTAGATTATTGTATTTTCCTGTCATCAGAGTCAATCTGGTTTTTGCCTTCTTGTATTTGCTTAATAGATGCTCATAGAATTGGCGCTGTTTATTCTTGCTTACACCTTTACTATATGCCAATGACAAACCCATGTACTTCTCCTAAAAAAGGTTGGCAAAATTAATGAAATCAGGAGCGGTTTACTAATACCTCTTCTGATGTATTAGGGAAATGAATGGAGCTCGTCATCGATTTTGGCATCAATGGCAAAAATATGTTGGAGTTGCTATGAATTGAAGGAGTGGGAGACAACATCAAAACGTTTGACATCTCGCGGACGAAAGAGTCAGTCTTTTCTTTTGTTACATTCATTGCGGTGGTGGTAGGAAGGCAGGACAAGTAATTTTTGGGAAAGTTAACATCTTGGGGCATTGGTCGCATGATCACAATTTCTTTGGGACTCTATGGTATATTTATTTTTGCCTATCTCTACATTTGCAACATTATGGCTAACATATCTCATATTGGAGACATTGCTGTGCTCTATGTCAACAATCTTACAATAGATTGGAAAACATATTTGTTTACTATTACTCCTGCTCACCCAGGACCTATGGTAAGTTTTCTAATACATTATTTACATTCTATTATGCTGATCCAATCCTTAAACTTTTGTGATAAAACTCAAAGAACATAGTCAAGGCTCAGCAGACTCGTCTCACATTCAAGGCAATACTCACATTATTGCCCATCCTTTGAAGCTTCTTGTCTGCCATTATAATCCGGCATACCGCCCACAACCTGCATACACTGGTATGTCACCAATTGTTGGTTACAAAGTTTGTTGCATCAAGCAAGAATCTGACACCGGAGACACAAATGAAGGATTGGAGGAGGAAAAAGATAGTAAACAAATCAAGTTGGAAGAATAATGGCATAGTTGTATAGATGTGTAGAGACTTGCCAGTATATGTACAATTAGCTCGTGTTTGCTTCCAATCCAGGACCCTTGTCATCTTCTCCTTGTCCTGCCATGATTCCAATATCCAGACCAGGTTGTTCAACTACAAAAAATCTCTCTCCTACTTCTCCAGGCAATGTGTGTGGGACCATTGCAACTACCGAAAGAATTGAGGTTGTGTCAATGACTTGAAGTGAATTGTCTCCTTGGTGTTGACAGGAGTAAACTGTGTGCGACAAATCTTGTAGAAGCTGCCAGTTTGGTTGGGACCATATAGAAACCAAAGCAACAGCGTGCTGTTACGATAACACAATTTCCGGACATCTCCTTTCCTTTTTATTCTCCGCTTTAATTTTATACTTTAAGTGCCACGCGGCATTTCCCTTTCTCGCGCCGCGTTGCCTTTCTTTTACTTTTAGACTTAACTCTCTCACGCAGTGGAGCTGGCCATACGGGCTAGGCCCTATGACATCATCAGCCACTGCCTTCATCAACTGTATAGTACACATGTACAAACAAACCTGTAGTAGTATATATACCCCAATAGATCCAGGAGACTCCTCAGCGAGTCCTCCTGTTGTATACCAACTAACTCACTGCAGCCCAAGGGGTACCAACTCCCCATCTTCCACTACCTTTATAGTGTGTTCCTGTGTGCGCCAGAGTAACTAACTCTTGGTTGTTACATTAGGACTCGCTCTTTCTACTCTCTCGCACGTGTGTGCAGAAGTCCCATCATTTGGGCACCCGGACTCCAGGGTGAAGGAGATTGGTTAGCGGTTAGGAATATCCCACATAGCAGATAGGTGCGCTCCTAGCGACGGCCTTGTAGTGCTTTGGGAGAAGAACCCAAAACCTTCAATACGCGGCCCCCAGCGTTAAGGGGAGTACCTTAGCTCAGCAGTCGGTGTGGAACCACTGTTGATTAGATTTAAAATACAAACTTTCACTTTCGAATACCTCTGACCAGGCCGGGCACTTGCCTCCGCCAGTCTGGAGAAGGGTTGACAGCTTAACAAGCGGACCACCCCCTGACAACCGTTCAGACCAGGGTTTATTACGTTTACATTTTTATATACTTTTTCAAATACTATAGTGTGGGTAGTCGGAGATTGAGATCCGATACTCAGCTGGGAAGAGGTTGATCCGCAGATAGCAAGCGGGGACCCCCAGTTACCTATTTTTACGTTACCCAAAGAGAACAAGTCGACATGTCGTCGCAAGATATGAATGCGCTACTGCACGCAATGCGTGTGCAGATAGCGGAATTAACCTCGCAGCTCGCCGAGATACAGGCCAACCCCCCTGTAGCAACCCCCTCGGTAGAGAAAAAGTTTAACAAGAAAGTCGAAGTCGTCGCTGACCCTGGCGCCTTCGAAGGAGACTGAGCGCGATTTGCCGAATGGTGGATCAAGCTCCAGATTTGGGTCAAGGCGAACTGGGACGCTTTCGCCGACGATTTTGAGGTAGCCACTGTGGTGCTATCTCGCCTAAAAGGACCTGTGGCGGGTCGATACGCCCAAGTAAGACTCCAGGAATGCTACACCGCGGGTGTGTGGCCTACCTGGGACGATCTCAAGAAAGAGATTGAAAAATATTTCAAACCGCAAGCTGAGCGAGACTGGGCGCATCAGCAAATCCGTTCCTTCAAACAAGGAAACATGAAGACGGATGATTATGTCACCCGGTTCCTGGCCCTCTCCATCGAAGGAGGGTTAGGTAATGAACACGCAGTAGAACTGCTGGAACGCAATGTGAACCCTCGCATTGCAGAGCAGATCTACCTGCAGGATACAAGAAGTGACGACCTGGCTCTGGCAGCCGAGGAAGTCCGACGAGTCGGTAGGGCCATGGAGCTCTACGCTATGCACCAAGGTGGCGGGTCCACCAAACAAACCACCACACCCCAGAGGCGCCCTGGGTCATCAAACCAACATCATAATCACTCTCACGGGTTCAAGCCGTTCGGGCTGCAGCCAGGACAGGGTGCTCCTATGGATATCGGCGCGGTCCAAGGCGGACAAATGCGCAGATTCAAGGGCAACTGTTACAACTGCGGCCAAGAGGGACACATGTCCCGAGACTGTAGAAACGGGGCGCAGGCTGCCCAACAAAAAAATAATCAAGGGCGCCAGGCACGCCAACTAGAAATCGAAAAGCCGGACGATCGGCTCAACTCTTTGGCCGGTCGTTCTTACGACGAAATCCGGGCCTTCTTCTATGACCAACAGGTCAACAAAATGAAGGCTCAGGGAAAAGAATTCGGGGCTTAGGACACTTGGGTGCCTTAGCTCCTGGTAAAAATGAAGTAAACCACAACAAAGTGGCCCCTGCTCCGGGGTGTTGCACGAACAATAACGGAATGACGGGGATGGCTCCCCAATTTGTAAATAAGTTTTTAAATTTGTTATCAGAAGTATGTACTTGTATGAAGAAATGTAACTGTAATATTTATGATACTACCGCTGCACCAGCGTCTCCCTTGGAGCGTGGCCCCGGCGAGACAAACACTAGGGTGCTTGATTCTGGTAAAACAAAAATAGAAAAACATGTGTCATTCAAAATTTCTTCTTCTTCTTCTTCTTCTTCTTCTTCTTCTTCGGAGCCACCCTTTCCCGAAATCCCAAGGCGTGTGTTGATGCGCACATATTTATTCCAAAAAGAGATCCGTTTAGACGTTGGCGTGGAAAACCTTGCCAGGGGCAAAGTACACTCAACGAGCGCACTGCTTGATTCAGGCGCTAACGGGATCTTCATAGATCAGGTCTGGGCGGAGCAAATTGGACTCCCCCTTGTAAAATTAGAAACATCTATTCCCGTCTATAACGTTGACGGTACGCTTAACGCAGGTGGCTGTATTACACACAAATGTTCTTTTGTGGTCGAATACCAAGGACACAGAGAACGAGTCACTGCCGAGGCTACCCAACTAGGGAAGATTAATTTAATCTTAGGCTGGACCTGGCTATTTAAACACAATCCTGAGATCAACTGGCAGACAGGGGTTGTCACATTGTCACGTTGTCCCCAGGAATGTGTAAACTTGGGTAAACCAAATCATGTCCGTCACAATGAGCGTCTCGAAAAGTTAAACGCTAGTCACGTTTACGAGCTCAGATCTCTAGAAAAGATCGACGATGATGATGATGAGGTAAAACCTGAGGAAGAGATTAAGAGGCTGGTACCTCCCGAGTACCACGACTTCTGGAAAGTCTTTTCGAAACACAAATCAGAGCGCTTCCCAGAGGCTAAGCCTTGGGACCATGCTATAGATTTGAAAGACACCTTCAAACCAAGGAAGGGACACATGATACCGCTCTCTGCTCCCGAAAGAGACGAGGTATCTAGTTTCATAGACGAACAACTTAGGAAGGGTTACATCAGACCTTCCAAAAGTCCTATGACGTCCCCGGTGTTCTTCATTCCTAAAAAGGATGGTAAAAAGCGAATGATTATGGACTATTGTTACGTGAATGAGCACACAGTTAAAAATGTGTATCCGCTGCCTTTGATTAGTCAGCTGGTGGACAAATTGGCTGGCGCCAAAATCCTGACAAAGATGGATCTCAGATGGGGGTACAATAACGTACGAATCAAAGAGGAAGATGCTTGGAAGGCCGCGTTCACGTGCCACCGAGGATCTTTCGAACCCCTTGTTATGTTCTTTGGGTTGACCAATTCACCGGCGACCTTTCAGAGCATGATGAATGAGATCTTTGCGGATATGGAAAACTGTGTTGTCATTTACATTGACGATTTATTAATATTTACAAAGTCGGACGATGAGGCTGAGCATGACAAGATCGTGCAAGAAGTCCTTCGACGCTTACAGGAACGGGACCTATTCGTCAAACCCGAAAAATGTAATTTTAAAGTGAAAGAAGTAGACTTCCTCGGTATGATCATAGGCCAGAACAGAATCAGGATGAACCCTGAGAAAGTTCAAGCTATTTTGGAATGGCCAGAACCTACTCGCGTCAAAGGGGTTAGGGCTTTCCTAGGCTTAGGCAATTTCTACCGAAGGTTTATTGAAAACTTTGCAAAAATCACGAGACCGTTGAACGATCTCACCAAAAAGGACCTTGTTTGGCAGTGGGGCGCCAAAGAACAGGAAGCTTTTGATAAGCTTAAACAGGCATTTACAACAGCACCCATATTGGCATTCCCTGAATTAGACAAAGAGTTCCGGCTAGAAACCGACTCTTCTGACTTTGCCACTGGGGCTGTTCTATCAATCAAATGCCCCGATGATCTTTGGAGGCCTTGTGCCTATTTATCGCATAGTTTGTCGCCTACAGAGCGCAACTATCAAATATACGACAAGGAGATGCTGGCCATCATTAGAGCTTTAGAGCACTGGTGGCACTACTTAGAAGGTGCTAGGCACCAATTCGAAATTTGGACCGATCATAAGAACCTGGAGTACTTCATGACGGCCCGAGACCTGAACCGGAGACAGGCCCGCTACGCGGTGTACTTGTCAAGGTTCAATTATAAATTAATTCATAAGCCAGGAAGCTCAATGGGGAAAGCGGATGCTTTATCTAGGAGAGAGGATCATGCCGACGGCATTGAAGATGACAACAAAGGTGTCACCCTGATAGATCAATCAAGGGTCGCCAATGTTAGAATCGGGCAAGATTCCAACCTCCTAGAAGTCTTTAGAAAAGACATCTCCCCACAGGAAAAGGCGCGCCTTGACGGCAATGAAAACTATTTATGGAAAGACGGGCTCTTTCATTTCAAAAACAAAATCTATGTGCCTGAGTCCGCAAGGATCAAGGCAATAGATAGACATCATGATACTCCAGTGGCTGGGCACCCTGGATGGCAACGAACGATGGAGTTGATCTCCAGAAACTACATGTGGCCTGGCATGGTAAAAGACGTACAGGAATATGTAAAATCCTGTCTGAGATGCGCCATGGCCAAGAATTCCCATCAACCGCCGGCGGGTAAACTCATGCCAAACCCGATACCAGCTGGCCCCTGGCAGGATATATCGGTAGACTTCACGACGGATCTGCCCGAGTCAAACGGGTACGATTCAGTAATGGTGGTAGTAGACCGCTTCTCCAAAGAAGTGGTATTCATACCCACCAACAAAACCATCACCGCCGCCGGTACGGCAGACCTATTTAAAGATTTCGTATGGTCAATCCATGGGTTACCAGAAACGGTAATCTCCGATAGAGGACCGCAATTCGCTAGCGAATTTACGAAAGAATTATGCCGGATGCTGGGCATCAAACCTAAATTATCCACGGTGTTCCATCCGCAAACCGATGGACAAACGGAGAGACTCAACCAGGAGTTGAAACAGTATCTCCGGATATTTATTAACGACAGACAGACAGATTGGGCCAAGTGGCTAAAGATAGCCCAGTTCTCTTATAATATTAAACAGTCTTCGGCTACAGGAAGGGCACCATTCGAGGTTACTAGATCGTACCTCCCCAGAATGGGTGTAGAACCTGGCAAAAGCAAAAATGAGGCTGCTGGGAACATGGCAAAAGACATGAAGTCTGTCTTGGACGAAACGCGCAAAGCGCTATTTAAAACTGCGGAGCAGATGAAAGACAGGGCAGAGCGTAGACGCTCTAAGGCCCCTGATTACAAGGTCAGCGACCTGGTCTGGTTAGACACCGACCACTTGAAATTAAAAGACCGGCAGTCTAGAAAACTGACCGAAAAGTGGATTGGCCCTTACCGGATTAAGGAAGTCAAACCTAATGCGGTGGAGCTGGAACTCCCAAAACGAATGAGGGTGGTACCCACGGTTAACATTAGCCGTGTGAAACCCTACAAGGGACCGCTGCCGGGACAGCGCGTAGACCGGCCCGGTCTGGTAGTAGTCACCCAGGAAGGTGAAGAAGAGTTCGAAGTCGAACGGGTGGTAGATGCACGCTTGAAGCGTGGAAAATTAGAGTTCCTGGTCCTATGGAAGGGCTACGGAGACGAGGACAGAACGTGGGAACCAGAATCCCATCTGGAAAACTCCCGCGACGCTGTTCGCGAATTTTATTCTAGGAATCCCTCAGCTCCCAGGAAGCTTAGAGGCATGGATTCAAACCTTTTTAATTCCCTCTTTCAACCTATGCCCGAAAATTTTACCACTACCTCCGGAATTTGGTCTCGCCTGGAAGTCGAGCCTTAGAAGGGGGGTAGTGTTACGATAACACAATTTCCGGACATCTCCTTTCCTTTTTATTCTCCGCTTTAACTTTATACTTTAAGTGCCACGCGGCATTTCCCTTTCTCGCGCCGCGTTGCCTTTCTTTTACTTTTAGACTTAACTCTCTCACGCAGTGGAGCTGGCCATACGGGCTAGGCCCTATGACATCATCAGCCACTGCCTTCATCAACTGTATAGTACACATGTACAAACAAACCTGTAGTAGTATATATACCCCAATAGATCCAGGAGACTCCTCAGCGAGTCCTCCTGTTGTATACCAACTAACTCACTGCAGCCCAAGGGGTACCAACTCCCCATCTTCCACTACCTTTATAGTGTGTTCCTGTGTGCGCCAGAGTAACTAACTCTTGGTTGTTACACGTGCACATTGTTGTTTATTGTCAACTGTAAATAATACTGTACTTCTGCAAACTCAATAATATCTTCATGTGTGCGTATCTATAGAATATGCATCTCATTAGTAAATGATATAAATTGAAATACAATAATATGCGCTCACTTTGACATGTCGAGAAGGTCGCAAAGTTCGTTTGCCTGGCATGTCTTCACCCCATGCAGATCGAGCTATCTGCCCTGATGGTAATGCAAGTCTCGCCCACTTTCGAACACAATCTTGAGGTTGGAATTGCAGCCCAAATTGTTGACAGTATGAATTAAGTGTCACTACCTCGCACAGATGAATAGCCTTGGGAGTTTGCTCGCGTTTTTGAAGGAGTACATAGCCATTGTCGAGGTTGATAGAACCATGTGGGGGAGGTGAATCTGGTTCTAGGTCTGGGATCATGGCCTTGAGTGCATTGACTTGAGCACGTATCACTGCACGTTGAGATAGATTTTGATACAGGTTCAAGTGTAGTTGTATTTTTTTGGCCCAAGTTCCCAATTGTTTGTTCCATTGTCCACTGGGATGAACATATTGTGATAAAATTGGATAATGACCAGATCAGTAATTGAACCTGGAATCTCCTGGATACATGCCAGCTGCTCTACCAATTGAGCTATATGGCCAAGGTTATACAATGTAGGATCTTAAACATGACATGCAACCACGGACGTCTTACACAGAATAGCTGCTGCATACTGGGCTGGCTTACAAATCAGAGGTATTATCCTATGGAGTATTGGTATGTCAGAGTATATTCTAACACTCCCTCCTGATCTGACATATCCATATATGGTAAGTGTACAAACATAGCCAAACATGTAAGAATGACTAAGCTTATACAATAGCACAATAAAGCACCAGGGCTCATAACCTGATAAAATTGGATATTGACCAGACCAGGGATTGAACCTGGAACCTTCTGGATACATGCCAGCTGCTCTACCAATTGAGCTATATGGCCAAGGTTATACAATGTAGGATCTCAAACATGACATGCAACCACGGACGTCTTACACAGAATAGCTGCTGCATACTGGGCTGGCTTACAAATCAGAGGTATTATCCTATGGAGTATTGGTATGTCAGAGTATATTCTAACATATTGTAGGGCCAACTCGTCAAACCTCAGGTGCTATATGAGGAAGTGAATGAATAGATGGTCGCATGGAATGGAGACGGTCCTCTCGGCGCTGATAATAGATTAGCTCATACTCCATCACAAAGGTAGTGAGCAAATGCTTGGCTTCTTCAAATTCTTGGTGAGTGATTTTGTGTTGGTGCAGTAGTTGTACACCTCAAACGAGTTTGCAGAAATGCTTCCAATATGGAAGAGGGAGTATATTGTAGGCCAAGTCCGAATAGATACATTAAAAACTCCCATGCTTTGTACCCACTTGATATTTTTTCAGCGGAGTCTTGGGGAAGTGTGTCAAATGATCCAGGAAGGAATTGTGCAGCATTTGCAATGTCTTGCCCGTGTTTTTTCCAAGTTTCTCCTTGAAGAACTGCCCATACCCATGTTTTCTTGTCATCTAAGGGATCACATTGGAATGTACCATGCCAGAGTAGAATGAGCAAGTCAGGAATGTTGAGTGATATCAGGTGCATGATATCAGAACCAAAACAATTTGGTATGCCAAGTATTCTTGATGAGGATATGCCTAGAAATAAACTGGGTTTACTGATGCCAGTGTTGAGTCAGTTCTTCTTGGATTGTGCTTTGTTTGAAGATGCTACGACTGTGAAAGGTTGTCAAGATAAGTGTTGGCTGTGGGGTTAGAAAATGAATATGGGTCTATGTTATGGTGTGTGCATCCAGAAATGTTACAGTTGCCACAAGGTTTGAGAAGTGCGGGGCAATAATGCTTGCCGTCTGATTTAAGCCTCCCTTTCATTCCACAGAACAGCCTGCATCTGTGTCTGCCAGTCTTTGAGACTGCACTTTTTAGCAGTTGTAAATAACCAATAAGTACAATGGAATAGAGAGCTAGTGATGTGAAGCAGTGTAGTAAGAGTGGAGGTAGTAAAGGAGCATGAGCAAAAGAGTGTGGGTCAAAGCCGGGAGCTTTCCAGCCCCGACGTGAGCAGAAGTGAACCTAAGAGCCAAGAAAATGAGCAATGTGACCCAGGAACTAGGAGTGACAATGATGCAGAAGAGCAAAGATCGGGGCCCAAAGGTCAGGAGGAGGAACTTACTGGGATGATTATTTAACGGACAGGGGGCATAGTTAAGCGGACAAATTGGTTGTGGACCACTGGAGCTGCTTGGATATAGAGGGCTAGAATCTGAGAGTGTTTGTGAAGATAAAGGGTGAAGGCATCGCTTGACCAGTGACTGTGGACCTTTACTACATCAAAAGGAAGGCCCCGGAGCAGGTACTCCAGGGTCGCGCCAATTCAAATGCTATGGCCGAGTATGGGGTCTGTCCCGAGGGCCAGGGCTGCCAATGAGAGGACCTGGAGGAATTTTGCCTTGGTGAGGGCCTTGTGGGAATGCTTGTGGGCATATGCAAAAAGGGGGGTGTTTGGCAGGGGGTTGTTGACTCGGAAGTGGTTGAGGAGAGCTGCTTCTGGGTCGGTAGGGCCCTCCTGATGAGTCCAGAGGACATCTTCACCTGTGGGGGAGCATTTTATGCGGGGTAGTAAAATTGGGTAGAACGGAGGTTGTTCCGGTCTTTGGAGGAGGATACATGAGCTGGTGTGACGTGTGTGATGGGAGAAAAGGACAAGGAGCAGAGATTAGGGAGTGTGAATTCCCCTAATCGAGCCATGGAGTAGAAGGTGGTCATTAGGCAAGTGAAGACTGCCACGTGGAGTGGGGTGTTGAGGTTGAGTTTGCTTAGCCTCTGTTTCTCGCTCATCGGGGTTCCAGACCATGCCATGGAGAATGTGCCATATGCGGACCCTGGCCAGGTAATTACAGATGGTGGAGGTAGCATAGGCACCTGCTATGGTAGCCACAAAGGCTGCAAGGAGGACTTGGCTTGCCAGGGCCCGCTGGACTTCTGGGATTGCTTTCTTGTCGCAGAAGATGTGGAAGGCAAGAAGGCCCGTGCCATACGTGTCCCGAGTGGCCGAAGCCCAAGCATTGCTCAGAATGTCCTGAATTTGGGCAAAGTCCTCCGGAGTGAGGTTTGTTGGGAGACCTTGGCTGTCCAGGATGGTTCATCCGTGATACAAGGAGCCATAAAAAGAGTGAGGGAGATTTTTGGTGTTATTGGACTTATTTTAAGATTTTTATTTTTAAAATTTTGTTTGTTTATTGGCAGGGGGATAACAGTGAAGAGGCTTTTGAAGATTTTATTAAAAGAGGACTAATTGTGTTGAAGCAAGAGGAACAAAAGATAAGACTAGGGATCAAACTACTGTTGCAACTGGGACGTGTGGCTCAAGATAGAGAGGCAGGCACCACACTTGGTGCTAAGCCTCAAAGATTATATTTTCTTTTTACAATTGTGCCTTACTGCTGTGCAAAAATTCTGTATGGCCCACTAACCCATTGAGATAGACCATACCAGGTCCATCTGCAGTAACGAGAGCTAGGAATGGATTTGAAGTAAATAGACGGTTTGAGGATGCGTCCCATATGCAAAGTCCTTCTTTTTGAATTGCAGAAAGATGATGGAGGCCTGGAAAGACAAAAGAGTCAATATTTTTGGTTTTTTGGGACCTGGAATGACGCAAACTGGTAGGACATGTTGTTCCTTATATCTTTGATCTGGAGATAGATCAAATACTACCCATATGTATATCCAACAATCTGACAGTTTCTTCTTGTACAACTGTGCGCCGTCCATCAAAAACATGAAAACAGTATCCCCTTTTTTGATTTTGCCTTCTTTAACAGCTGGTATGTACTCTTTGCCTGCAAAAAAATCGTTGTATTTGCAAAGTTTATCTTCTATATTGAGTTCATTGAGCAGTTCTTGAGTTTTTGTGTAACAATGTTGCATATTTAATGCACTGGTGGAGTCACGCCAAAGAGCCTGTATTTGCAGTCCAATAGGTATTGTGTGGAATTGCTGCTTTGATTTCTTTTGTCTCCCTTGAGTAGCTTCTAAAATGTGCTCATTGTATCGAGATGCACTGCACTTGGGGCACTTCTCAAGACAAACAAACGGTCCTGTGTATCCAATGCATGAATTGATGCACATGTCATGCACCAACAAATCCATGCCTGTAAGTTCAGTCATTTTGCACTTCATGTGATAGTGCGTTAGAAGCTTGTGATCATGCTCTGGATGCAAATGTGCATAGGCTTCTCAAACATCCTTGTATACTTGATCTGATGTGTTTGTGGTCGCTAGGAAGATATTGAGGGAAAAGTGTTTGTGGGGGTCTTCAAGGACGGAGTCTGGGGAGAATTTTGGAGCCAGTCAAGGGTTTCTGGATGAATTGGCATATCAGGATCATCAAGGTTTGCATTCATGACTGCACTGACAAAGTCAATGGCATTCTGAATGTCTTCAATTTGCATAAGGTCCGAGAGCTCCTGTAGTTCAGCCTGGTCAAATGTTCAAGTGGTAGCTGTTCCCTGCTCATCAGCATCAGGGAGGTTTGTGTCAAAGCACCTCAATTTGGCATAGGATCCAGTGGATCATATGAAGTTGGTGCGAGGTGATCTGGAGTCTGCAAGCGTGGTGGATCAACTGTACCCGTTGACTTAGCCTAATAATAAATGAATACATGTGTAATGTTTTATAGGAGGGATGTACTTGGTGTGTTGCAGCTATATCTTGCTGTGCCTCCACCACGTTGTGAGCATACTTTTGTTTTTTCAATTGCTTTGTAGGGATAGACAAAGCTGAAGTTGAAGCAGATGGGGGTTCTTCGAGTTGAATACCAAGTTCTATGGCTTTCTCGACTATAAATTGTTTTGTTTCTGCTGATATCAGGCCATTTCAAAATTTCTTGTGTCAATAGTATGTCTTCTTGGATACTTTTTTGAGGATGCCTTTGCAATATTGTATGCAGTCGCAATGGAATTGCTTTTGTTGACTAACAGGGGGGGTGGAATCCATTAGGAGTATTGTAGAAAGCAGTGAAATACTGCATAGTGTGATCAGGCCAAATGCGCGAGCACACTACACAGTCTTCTGCTGCACATCCAAATCGAGCTGGTACAGTGCAAGTGCTAGTTGTGATTAGATTTGGAGTCAAAGTTGAAATTGAGACGAAATCAATTCATTTTGAATCATGAGAAATGATAGCTATATGAGATTAATTGTTTGGCAATTGTACATTCACTGAGAATCTTTCTATATCTGTCTATATACTGCGGCTTTCGGCTGGGGGTTAACGACAGTATAATACTAAATTGTAGTGGCACCTGGTGCCAGTCCCCGACTCGCTAAATCATGAAAACCGCTGTGCCCGATGTGGCGAAGGTGACCAGAAGGGTCACATGACCGTGGGACAAACGTGTCGAGCAATTGACAGAGAGGTGGCCGTTTGGTAAGGCCCTCCTCTCCTTCGGAAGAGTCGGGGACAGTCTCCCTGAACTTCGGCACCACGTCTGCCGAAGGGGGTATAAACAAATGTCTGGGAGATTACGAGCAAGAGTGTACCCTACAGAAAAATAAAAGTGCGTTTCTACGATCTGACTGCATCTGAAAACCTCGATTGTAGGCTACAATATGGTACACGGACTATGGGAACTACGTAACAACATAGGCTTGGTATGAACCGCCTTGCCGATGTGGCATTCAGTAGTTTATGCATTGTCGACGATATGCGCGATGAGGAGTCGATCTCGGGCCTGCCTGAGCCCCAAAAATGATTGCGTTTCCGTACATGATTTAAGAACTCCCTGTCCCATAAGAAAAGTAGTGTGAAACGTCGGTGTCCTATACGGCATGTCCGTAACTAGCGTCGTGCCCATAGTTAACATCGTGCCCGTAGTTGGCATCATGTCCATAGCCAGCCCCGGCCATGTTATGTTCTGCTTGTCCTTGGTAAGCGTGACCTTCCCCGTAGGCGGCAGCGGGGTAGCCAGAATAGTTCTGATGCGAGTAGTCATGTGCATCTGCATAATCTCTCCTTTCACCATCACTGGGCGGTCGGATTCCTGTCGTATACGGTGCAGGCTGTCTGTAATCACCGCCAGGCACTCCTCTCCCTTGATATACATCATGTGCATCGCCGTAGTAATCTGAATTTCCGTATGGGTTTTGTAGCGGTATATCAGTCCTCTGAGAAGCAATAGGGGCCGCTGCGGTAGGTAGATGCATGGTGCTGCTGTAGTCATCGTCATACAGCTGTGGATCCTCGTCGAACGTAGGCATAGAGGAGTTATATTGTGCGTATGCCCCAGGTGCTTGATGTGACGAATAACCCTGATTATACGCGGGCATGGGGGGGTAATCGAGAGAATAATCCGTGTTACCGGCATGTGTGTGGTAACTTGGCGCCAGGCTCTTGTTATCTGAGCTGTAGTAGTACTCTTTATTCATCGCGTTGGAAGGTTCGCGGCGCAATGACGATGCATCGTCTGCATCGTCATCTACGGAGAGATTGGGCAAGGTAGGTTGAGGCAATGGCTGAGCGATCAACTCGCCCTTCTTGTTTTTCAAGTGCGAGTAGTCGCCCATGGCTTCCTTCTTCGCGAGAGCTGCTGCCTTGACTAGTCGCTCCTTATTCCTGCGTTTGATAACCTCGGCTATGCGCTATTCTAATGGTGAGCACATTACCACCTATTAGGTATATATGGTTACCTTATCGACTTTGTGACATACATATTCCTAAAGACACTGTTAGAAAGATGATAAATTTTCAGGTAACCGAAATAGTTACTTTGAGATTTCCTTGGATATAGCATAACAAGGGAATGTAGAAGATGCCTGCGACAATGAGAAGAAGGAGAGAACCGGCGAAGATGACAAAGGTGAAGAACGTGGTCACGGTCAACGCAGAGGTAGATAGAGTGTTGCCGGCGAAATACTTGGAAACATCGTACCAAGAGCCATCGTCTCTTTTCGCTAGGTATATACTGTACAATGTCAAGGCGTTAATCGTCTGGCGAGGGCCATCAGACAGTAATAGACGTTTCCAACCTTGAAACAGGACAATGTCAATATGCAGTAAATGGTAAGATGATGCTATTGCCCACTTTTGAAGGTAAAGAAGATGAAAAAGGCAAAGTCATCCTTCTTCTTGGTAGAATTGCTGATATGGTCAAAGAAACAAAAATGATCATATGATCCTGTGGCAGGGCATAAATAGTGAAGCGCCCAAACATAGGTACCGTTACTCACGGAGAGAGTAGTAGTTATTGGCCATGACATTGGTGAATGCGTACGAAATGTCGCGGCTAGCAATGATCTTTTTGGATTTCCGGGCTTCATAGGCAAGCTGCAATAAACTATGAGCTGGCGCAGCGAAGTGGAAGATATATATCTTGACTGACCAGAAGAAAACCGAAAATGATACAGCCCACGAATAACCATTTCCCTATATTAAATGGGATATAGAAGCAACCATTTAAAGTTTGACACTCGTCAAAGATTTGGTTGGACCACGATGATGTGGTGAGCATGGTGGTGGCGGAAAAGATATCGGATATGTAGACAAGAAATGATTTCAAGATGATAATGTACAGCCAGAGGTATCTACAAGCAATGCAAAAGAGTCAGTAAGAGCCCAATAAACGGTTAACATGAGTTGGTTGGGGAGTCTGAACCAAAACCAAACCGTACTTCATACGCATACCAAATCCATTGTCGGTAAAATCCCGTGTGTCAATGAAGTCAAACTAGTAGAGTTGATGATATGAGCGCGGTCTGACTATCGTACGTTCTACACACCTTGTGGTCAGGGACAATCTCCCTCTTCCAAGCTGGTCCTGACATGTTGAAAGAATTTGGCTAATATGTTGATGTGAAGGGACGAGCGGGATAGGTTGCAGGTAGTGAAAGAATGTTTGGGCCAGCCAGTCGCATACAGAGCGAGTCTACCAAACGACCTGTAATGAGTGGGGATAAAAGAAGGGAGTGGTACGTTGCTGTGAAGAACAAACAGTTCAAGAACTATGGTGGTCACACAATGATACGACCGTTGCCGCTCAGTTGTGTTCTATATTCTCCCACGTATGTATCTTGGTATCCCACGGCCTGTTGCGACAGATATCAATGATATCTGTACATGGGGTACTCGGGGTCCTTGATTACGTAACTCTGTTTTCACAGCGCACCTCATCCTGGAGGCTCCGAGTCTCGGTATAACGGAGGCCATGGTGTTTTCTGACAGAACCGCCGATTTCAGAGCTGTATTGCTGGCAAACAGTAAAGCAACCGCATCTAGGTTGCAGAAGACAGCGTCTTACGATGGAAATGGGGACAGAAACGTGTTAAAGCAGTATCTTGGAGAGGCATATACTATTGTATGTGTGTTATGGCTCACAATCTTCCTTAGTCGTGGTTCTAACTGTCTGATAGCTCGAACACATAGCCGCATTGTCGAAAATGCTGAGGGATACAAGGCAGGCCTACTTGAGCGAAGAGAAAAGAACATTTTCATCGCGCTCAGATAATTCGCGGACAGGCACAAAACGCCTAACAAACGAAGAGAGAGATCAAATAGACACTCAGGCTCGGGTTATACTTTCCCGTTGTGCGGACAGAGTCAAGACGTTGGAAGCCATTGAAAAACGTGCGTTTGGCGTTTCGTTCATGACTACTGAGCTGATCACCCCACCTTCCAGGTCGACGGGACGTTAGTGCTATAGACGGACCAATGTCCCTATTTTTGCCATTTCGACCAAAATCTTCGTCCAATCGGTCGGAATGTATCGCTGCCCATCATTCCAGTATTGCATGGTATCTCAACAGGCGCCTCACAGAAGCCAGTCAAACTCAGAGGGAAATGCAGGAACAGCGTGTCAAGCGGCATATGGAAAGAAACTACACATTGGGGTCGACCGTTACGAGGGACGTCGCTTTTCTCAGTGCTAAATTACCTGCGTGGACCGGGCAGCCTAAAGCAAGTACTTCGGTGCAAGGTATTCTAGATGACGCTACCAATAAAACGGTGCCAGGTGAATCGGAAGACCGTGGCCCCAAACTCGAGCTCTCCCAGGCTCAAATGTTGCAGTACGAGGCCGAGAATGAAAGCATCTTGCGTTCCGCCCAAAATGACTTGGAATCAGTACGGCAAGCAGAGGCACGGTTGATGGATATCAGTGTGTTGCAGATGGAACTGGTTGCACGACTGGCCCAACAAACGGAGTTGACGGATCAGTTGTATGACGACTCCGTCACCACTGTCTCTGCTGTAGAGAAAAGCACTGTGGAGCTGCGGGAAGCAAGGAGACGGCTCAAGGATAGTAGACTGTTCATCCTTGTATTTTTTATGGGAGCTAGTCTCTCCCTCCTATTCTTGCATTGGTACTGATGTTTTCGGTTTTATTACAATTCTGTCGTTGTATGTAGCTGTAGCGGTTCAATTCATCTATGACAGACATACCTACACTGAACTTTATTAGCCATTCATCATTCGGAGTATAGGACGCCTTATAAACATTGCAATTTAATGAATGATATGAAATACAGCTGCATGATGAGACAGTGAAGAATTTACTGTACATACAAAAGCACTATCAGCTTAGTAGTAGCTGAGAGAAGTAAGACCATGATACATGTGAGCCAACTACCAGCCATCCCATCGTCCAAACCTCCGATATTCTCGCAATATGCACTCTCTACTCTCGCGGCGATTCCCATCCTTTTCCTTCTCTTTCCCTGTCCCATGCTTGGCTGATTGATTGGATTTACGAGGTGGGGAGCTGTGACTCTTTGCTAGCGGAGGAGTAGCCTTCGCAGATGGTAGTGAGAGGCGATACCATCCTCCGCTGTAAGTTAACGCTATGAGTTGATGCTCCTTCTCTTCTGTCTGCGAATCGTGGTCCGCAGGTGGACCTTGTATCCATCCCACCACACACCTTTCCTCATCGGACGTATCTGGTGACGTCCGTGACGAACCCGAAGAGAAATATATATGAGACGATTGCGCTGGTATTCTGTATTGGGCATATGACCACTCGGAATCAAAGTATTTCGGTAGAGGAAGAAAGGGGGCTAAAGGGGAAAGAGATGATTGTCGATTTCTAGCACAAATACGTTTCAGTTGAGCCAGTGAATTCTATACCGATTGGATCACTCACAATGCAGCAGACTTGATCAAAGAAAAGACGTGCACGGTCCCTTTATCACTCCATACACATACTTCATTCTCATCCGGGCGGAACGCGACACCATAAATTATGGCCTTATCTAACCCCCGGCGAAACTCTCGTACAAGACTCCCCGTCTCGGTCTCCCATATGCGTAAAAGTGTCCCCTTTGACGAAGTCGTAGCAATTAATCGACCCGAAAGGGTTACTGTCAGTGTAGTCAGGAGTGATTCGTGCGCTGCGATAATTGAGATGGGACGCTTTGCCAACAGTACGGATTGAGCTGGTTGATCTGAATCTACCGATGATGATTGACTTGAACCAGAGCATGGTGGCAGATGGATGAGTTGTACGTGGCCCATTTGGCGACCAGGGACGGCTAGTAGAGTCGCATTGGCTTCTGTTGCCATCGCCAGTAGTCCTATTGTGGATAAATATTGCCCACATCAATCCAACAAGAAGGTGAACTGAGGGGTAGTGTGTTACCTCGAGGATTATCATAAGTGTCCCACTCTCCTCGTCTGCTTAAAGTTGTTCCAATCTCAAATACAACCACTCTCCGGCGCAAGGCAACCGCCAGCCAACCACGCCTACATGCAATACCTCGAACTCTTTCCCGAAATTCAAGTTCAGCTACCTCTGCTCCTATCGTGTCATCCCATAGAATTACCTTGTTTGGGGGATACAGAGGACTACGACCTCCCCCAAGCATGAATAATAAAGACGATGTGTGTAGTGGAATAACACTGGCAAGTGTTCCTCCTCTCAGATCTATTGACATAGTTAGCTACCAATGTCTATAGATCTGATGGAAATGTACCTCTTTTACGTATGAGTTCAAAGGGCCATGAGCGATAAACAGCGAACCCAGCTGGTGTTAGAGAAACGAATATTCTACAATCCACATCGAACTGAGCGTCGATGATAAGCACAGGATCGGTGGCGGTGATAGAGTGTCGAGCTAAGTTCATAGAGACGGTTTGGCCTGATGCTTACAGAGAGAGATAGCGTGTAGAGCTCGGACTTGTTCAAGTTGATGGAAGTACTAATACAAGCCTCATGAACGAGATGCACTCAGGCTAGGTTGGTGGCATTCTTAGCTCAGTGCTCCCTACACGGCAAAGCATCACGTGACCTTTTATAAATTGGTCCCAAAAAAGGTTACTTAGAAAATTCATATCTTCATGCTTTGCTGTCCCACCTGAACTTGAACCTGAACGCTCCTTGTATCATAGATCTCGCTCCTTCCCCTATTTCCCTATTCGTCGGAGAACTTGGTATACTCCAGTAATGGCTGACGCGGAATATTTAAAAGGTATCTTGACCAGTCATCCCAACTTCCCGAAGAAGGTCAGTCTGATACACCTTTTTTGAATTCCCAGCATGTCTTAAGACCATCTTTCTAGGGAATCAACTTCTTGGATATTTTCCCCATCTTGCGCAACCCTGTGGCCTTTGAAACTTTGATTACGCACCTTGTTCATCATCTCACTTCTCACACTATTCCCAAGTCCTTGTCCAAGAAAATTGATGTCGTTGTAGGACTTGACGCCCGAGGATTCTTATTTGGCCCAATCATTGCCTTGAGACTCGGGGCTGCCTTTGTACCCGTTAGGAAGCGCGGAAAGCTACCAGGGGAGTGCATTAGTGCAACTTACCAAAAGGAATATGGCTCGGTATGTGTGAACACGTATCATGACATCAGCAGGAACTCAAAATGTATCATAGGATTCTTTCGAAATGCAAGCTGGCGCTATTCAGCCCGGGCAGTCAGTAATAGTGGTTGATGATCTAATTGCTACAGGTGTGTATGTCTAATTACCATGACTGCATGTATTAATCTTCTTTGGAAAGGTGGTTCTGCAAAAGCAGCTGGAGAACTTATCACTAAAGAAGGAGGGATAACTCTGGAATATTTATTCGTCGTGGAACTCATCTTTTTGAAGGGATACAGCATGCTAGATGCACCGACATACTCCGTCATACAGTCCTTAGATTGATTCATTTCTCCAGACTTGCTTAACTATGAATAGACGCTTCCGACGTGTTCTTGCTTGGAAGCCTGGCTACTACGACGTTGTGACCAAATGGTTGTAACGTCCATGTAGTCATTTTGGCACCTAGATCCCCTTAATTCAAGTCAGCCTTATACTGACAGCATAGAAGAGTCGTGACTGTTTCATTTTTGAGCTTGATTGATTTATTCGTACTCATCACTGTGAGGATCGACTTATATAAGCCCAGCTTATATGCTGAAAATATTCAATTTTAGCTTTTTTCAGCCAATGAGAATGCAGATATCCAATATCTTCAGCATATAAGCTGAGCTCATATAAGTTGATCCCCACAGTGTATGTGTTAGGCTCGAGTCCAGCCACTTCACATTCACACTCTGCAGAGAGAGGTTCTGTGAACTGGCTGGGAAACTTGGACCTCTTTTTGGCAGGAGGCGTGACATTCCCTCAAAGGAGACAAGGGACTTAGTCAAAATTTCGGTGATTTTCTATGACTTAGAGACTGTGCCACAGACTCATCAGGATCGAGCGGAAGCAAATCCTACTTATGCATATGAGTATACTAGTTCGTAGGCATCTAATTAATATGAATATTCTAGCTAGTGTCTTTTACTTGAGTAGTAAAAGGAATGAGGAAAGGATTGATGATTTGAGTGTAAGGAGACCAAAGGCCAGCAAGATATGCAAATGATGGCACCAAATTTTTCGTGTAGGGAACTCTGGGAATGAAATGTGTGGTTTGCATTGAGCTGATCACCATGCGCATTTTATTTCCATTGTCGGTGGTTACACAAACATCTGAATCGGTTGAAGCGGGCAGTGTGGGAGTCCTAGTGGCCATGCTAGTTTGAGTGTCTGATTGACAACTGCTGGTTTTGGTGAGTACTCGACATCTTTTATCCTGTTCTGATCCTCTCACATTCATAATTATGTCTCCTTCAACAGCTTTTTTTATCTTCTCGCCCTGTGGTTTTCTCAGCAACGGCTTGAAGGCTGGAATATCAAGACTCGACGACAACTCAGCCAATTCACCACCATATTTGGGCCACCACTGCCATTGCATCCCCACCAACTTTTTGAGCTCCTCTGTTGATTGGATAGGACCTACCAATGCCAGCAAATCCACGGTCTCATCCCTCAAAATTGCTGGTGAGGCAAACATGGCACCTGCAAAGTCGCGCTTGTAGACTTTCTTCTGCCATTCCTGTAAGTGTTTTCGAACAATCTCGCTAATCACCCCTTTCTTTACAGTTGCTTGTCGTATTTGCACAGGTGGGCTACCAGGTCAGGTCCGGTTCAACAACGAAGGGTCACAGATGTTGCAGCAAGGCACGGTAAGTACTGTTATCTTAAATCAGTGTCACTGCTTGTGTAATTTGAACTTATTTCACTCACTAGGTATGTCGTTTCCGTACACTTTCATCAGTATCTGACGACAGCACATGCCTGTCTGCAAAAAAACATGCAAGCCTTCATCTTTTGCATTCAAATCAAGTTCCGGTTCATCTTGAACCAAGATTGCATCATGCAGGCCTCCATATGCACCTCGCAAGCAGCCTCTGCTCTGTGCGTGTAATTTCCCCCTTCTCTCTCTCTTTTCTTTACATTTTGCTGAGCCTCTTGTTTCTTTCTCGTCACTTTTAGCTCTAGCTGTCAAGTCTTCCTTGTATGCGCTTCGTTCAGCCAGCAATATGGCCAGTCCCACCTGGCCTTTTCCACGAGCTGCCCGCTGTCATGCACCAAAGTTGATTGGTAGCATGGACAGGTGTCAATAACAAAGCAAATATTCAAAAAGACTCACCTTTGTGCCACACAGGCACAGTGCCACGTGGAATAGTAATTAATATTGCCTTTTTCAAACTTGTGGCTGATCAGCACCACCTCTATTAGGCAATCCAGTCACGCTCACCTTTGCTTTTCCATTCGGTACTTTCCGCATTTCGGCATTTCGGCAAATTTTCGCGTCGCCACTGGCTACACATTGCATTGCGCCCTTGCTTTTGTCGTTTCCTTCACTTCCCTTCCTTTGCCTAGCCCCACCATGGGTCCCTTACTCTCATTTTTATTCTCACCTGACAGTTGTTTCTGGATCCCCATTTTAGTTCACCTTCTCGTCACCTCCAGCCTCCTCCTCCTCATCTTCTTTGCTCCCCCACCATTTCTGATGTCACCACTTCCTATCCGCTTCCGTCGCCGATCCGTTGACTACCACGTGCCACTGCTGATATCAGCAAAGCCCCGGCGGCCGGTTCAAATAGGGAAACAGGTCCATCTTTATGACATCAATCTACCATTATATACTATCAAAACATCGGTCACTCGTCTTGCCCGGTTGGAGCGTGGGTGGGTAGTTTTTGAGCTGGAGAAGGTTCATCCCCTTGCATCGCCCATGTTCATCGCTGTCCCATTCACTTGGGTACACTTATCTTTTGTCCATCATCTTCGCTACAGCTACAGCTACCACACGCTGCCTGGGACTCACTTGTTCCAAATTGGGACTACTCCTCTCCCTCCCTCGTTTGACCAGGTGGTCCAACACAACGAGTCCATTGGTAAGGCTATGGAACTGTCGGATTTGGACTAGGTGGCGGACTGGTGGCTCCAGTTTCTTTTTTTTCAGCAGAACATTCATTTACAGTGCAATTATTTTTGATTTTTGAATCATTTTTATGGACACATATTTTTTAGAATGCCTGACTGACAATAAAGGAACTGTGTTGATACTGATAGTGTTTTGCCTTGCCCTTTCTTTACTGCATCTTCCCATGACATCATGATTTTCCTGCTCTCTTTTTGCTATTGGACTTTACTTTATGACTGTACAAACCTGTGACATTACTCACAGCATTCATTGTTCTATCCCTTTTTTTTCCTTTTTTTGATAATCTTATCCTGTACTACCTATGCAGGATTCATCAGCGTACATTCCTTCCTTCATGTTCTTTCTCATTCTTTTTGCACAGCTATACTGTGCATAGCCTACTTTTCTTTTACTATATAAACCCCTGTATATTACCTTGTAAAAACAACAAGAACTCGAATCCAGACTTCTTCTCTAATCTCAAGTTCACTACTCACTACTACTTGTGATCCAGTGTGGTCACAACACTTCCCACTGCTACCACTGTCAACTGCTGTCATCGTCACTCGTCACTTTTGAAAGTGATTGTCATCCCTTTTGATTGAAGTCCTTCTGAGCACTACAGTCTGTGCGTCAGGAGCCTGCTATCACTGGGAACTTTGTCACCTCATCATATTGTCATTCTCAAACCTACCTTGTGCTACTATTAGCAAGGTAGTGCTCGTCTATACTCGCCACAAAGCCCCTATCTTTCTGCATCCCAACTATCCCTCCTCCTCAAAACCCACACCATCTTTGGGTTTTACTTTGAAGGATCGTTATACGTACCACCCCACGAACAACCAGACCACTCCACTGTTCTAGGAGGCAAAGCCCATAAACAAGTTCCGTGGAATCTGGGAGGATTGTGTGTTAGTTTGTTTTTGTGTGTGTGTTTTTTTTAACAACAGTTCTCATCATTGACACCGCCTCACCCTTTTCCAGCGATGAACATTGATGAATCCACTATTGTTGGCAATGGTGAGGTCGTTGAGGCAATTATGTCCAAACTAAGGATTGAGGCCAAGGATCCCATTCACAATAGCAAAGTCAAGATCTTTGCAGGCGACCAATTATCTATTGCATGCTTATGGACACTTGCAAACATTCGAGCTGGTCAAGAAGGAGGCTTTGCAAGTTTTGGTTGGGGCGTGTGGATGCCTGGGCTATTCCATGCAAAGATGGCTGATATGCATGGCCTTCTTGTTACGCACTGGGGTAAGCCAAATTCTGGCACAAGAAATCCCGAATCTCTATGGTTCCATAACACTCGCCTGACAAAACCGGATAAACCCGGTCTCTGCCGAAGCAGCCATTGTTCTCCATGGAGCATAGCCACCACTCCATGGAGTAACCATTGTTCTCCTAGGAGTTATTATACTGTAGTGAGTAGCACCTCCAACTATAAGTAGTAGGGGGTTTAGTATAGGAATACCTCAGTCGTTTCTATAGCCTCTCGGGCAGCGGCTGAGTTTCACTTAGTTTTATGAGGTTATGAGCCCTGGTGCGCAAAAGCTACGCAGGAAATAATTCTTATTTGAAACGGCAACCTCGGAACCATGACCACAGCACGCGATACATCCGCATGTCTAGTTCTCACTGGACCCAACAATTTTCAGATATGGAAACTCCGGATCATCTCAAAGCTACGTCGGGAAAAAGTTCTCCGGGTTGTTACTGGAGAGGAGCTTAAGCCCTCACCAGGAAAACCTACCTCCTTGGAGGATCCTGAGATCACCTGGATACTTAAGGATGAGAAGGCACATGGAATCATCCAGGACCACATCTCTGATGCCCTCCTAATGAGGACTGGAGACCTCACCAGCTCCAGGGAGTTATTTGATAAACTTGTCTCACTCCATCAAACGTCCAACATTGCCTCGGCCTTCTATTCATTCCAGCAACTCACCAAATTGTCCTGGGATGGGACATCACCTATCCAGGACCACATTGCAAAAATCCGGACAGTTGATTCACACCTCTCCGGAATGAAACTAGGAGTTGATACCAAACTCATGGCTTTTGCTCTTCTCCAATCTCTCCCATGCACTCCTGAATGGCAAATATATTAAGAACAAAGCTTGAAGGAAGTGTCTAGCCACTTGCTGAGAGCAATCAGGGACTGGAACTAGAGTCCAATGTGAGTAACTTTATTATTAGAGAGTATGACAGGTATACAGTACCTAGAGTCCAATGTGAGTAACTAGAGAATAGGAAGCATTGGACTCTGCAATACTGTCCGAAGTTTTGTAAACAAAGGTAAACAAAGCAGCCACAAAGGCGAAATAATAGAGAACACAATCAATAGTGAATGATAGAAGAATAGATAGAGAAAGGAATGAAAATATATAGGTAGCACAAAGGTGCAGAATCACCAAAACTAACACTCCCCCCTGATGCTGCACCTCCCAAGCATCAGCTCCCCCCTGATCTAATAAGTCCCATCATCTTCCTGAACACTTCCACTTTAGGCTTGGCAAGAGCCTTGGTCAACAAGTCTGCAGGCATTTCAGCAGTGGGAACAAAGGTAGGAGCAATCTGCCCAGAGTCAACAACATCTCTCAACCAATGCCATCGCAGATCAAGGTGTTTCATCCGACCATGGTGCTCAGGGTTCTTGGATACAGAGATGGCAGATTGGTTGTCAATATGAAGGGTGGAAGGAGAGGTGATAGGATAGCCCATTTCCTTCAACAAATTTCGCATCCAGCAAATCTCTTTGCCAGCCTCAACAGCAGCAATGTATTCTGCTTCAGTGGTGGACAGAGCAACAATGTTCTGAAGCTTGGAGCTCCAGGAGACAGCACCAGATCCCATCTTGACAATATAGGCACCAGTAGAACGACCAGAGTCCTTGTCACCACCATGATCAGCATCAGAGAAAGTGGTGAAGAGTTCAGTGGAATTGGAATCAGGACCAAGGACAAGGGAATGATCAAGGGTGCCTTGCAAGTAGCGGAACAAGTGCTTGACAGCGCTCCAGTGAGTAAGACCAGGATTAGAGTTATATCTGGCAAGGACTCCAACAGTGTAGACAATGTCAGGACGAGTGGTAGTGGCCAGATACATCAGAGCACCAACAGCAGCAAGGTAGGGAATGTCCTTCATCAAAGCAGCATCACTGGATGTTTTGGGAGACATGTCCTTGGTGAGGCGCAAACCAGGATCCATGGGAGTGGACACAGGCTTGCAGTCCTTCATGCCAAAGCGCTCCAGAATGTCCAGAGTGTACTGATGTTGGGAGAGGGAGATGGTGCGATTACTTAGGTCTCTAGTGATGGAAATGCCAAGTAGGTAAGAAGTAGGGCCAAGATCACGAAGCTTAAAGTGCAGGGAGAGGTCCTTGACAGCTTGGTCAAGTGCAGAAGTAGAAGTGGATGCCAGTGTCATGTCATCAACAAAGACAGGCAGGATAATGCGCACATCAGCTCTGTTAAAGACATAGATGGCAGAGTCTGAATAAGTATGCTTGAATCCGAGTTTTTCAAGCACAGTGTGCATCTTCTGGTTCCACATTCTGCCTCCCTGCTTTGTCCCATAGATGGCCTTGTCCAACTGGCAAACAAGATTGCGAGGACCCTGATGGAATCCCTCTGGCTGATGCATGTAGACCTTGACATCCATGACTTCATTCAGGAATGCATGGGAAATGTCAATGGAGCGCAAATGGAGGTTGTGGATGGCTGCAATGGCAAGGACAACTCTGATGGATGATATGCGGACAGTAGGTGCAAATATTTCGAGGAAATCAAAGCCAGGGCGCTGGTTATAACCTTTGGCCACATATCTGGCCTTGTAGCGCTCAACAGTGCCATCTGAGTTGTGCTTGATCTTGAAGACCCACTTGCCACCAATAGCCTTGACTCCAGGAGGTAGTTCCACTAGTGACCAAGTACCATTGCGCTCATGAGCTTGAAGCTCTTCCATGGCTGCCTCTCTCCATTTATCTGCATCAGGACGCTTCATTGCATCTGCAAATGACCTAGGCTCAGCAGAGTCTCCAAAGTGTGCCACTTCATCATCAACTGCCTCAGAATCACTGTCATCACTCTCAATGGCAGGAGTAGGTTGTCTGTGTTGAAGCCACCATGGTCTAGGTGGTCTCCTAGCCCTTGCAGGGCGTCTCAGTGCAATAGGCAAGTCAGGAGAAGGTGAGCGATGAGGAGGGTGATTTGGAAGCTCAGGAGGTTGATTCACAGGTGGTTTTGCATCAAGGTCCAAATGAGGCCCATTGTCAGGCAATGGTTGAGGCTGCTGAAGCGCAGCTGGTGGGCCCATATCTCCCCCTGGACCTGGTGCAGGGACATCCTCAATCAGGCCCAATGGCATGGATAGCGAAGGTGGAGTGGGAGGTGGAGGCGGGACATTGTCAGAAGACCTCTTCAAGCCAGGGAAGTAGCGCTCATCAAAATCAGCTCTCTCAGAGATAACAGTGTGCTTGGTGGTAGGATTGTAGAATTTCCATCCCTTGTATCCCTCAGGGTAACCAATGAACACACATTTCTCCATATAAGAGCCAAAGACGCCTCTTTTGTCCTTTTGCACATGCACATAGGCAGTGCAGCCCCAAACGCGAAGGTGAGACATGTCAGGCTTGCGTCCATACCACAACTCAAATGGAGTGGCATGGGCCACTGCATCAGTGGGACACCTGTTCCAGACATGCACCAAAGCGGACAGACATTCACCCCAGAAGCTGTTAGGCAATGCAGACTCTGATAACATGGCAGTGATACGCTCAGTCAGAAGTCTGTTTGCTCGCTCTGCCACACCATTCTGCTGAGGACGATTCCTGGTGGTATGCTGTCTGACAATCCCATGGTCATCTGTGAATTGCTCAAATTTCTTGGACATGTACTCTCTCCCTTTGTCATCGCGCAGAGCCTTGATTTTACGCTCCAATTGAGTCTCAGCATAAGCCTTGAATCTCTTGAAAGCATCAAAGACATCTGACTTGGCCTTGAGAGGCACATCAACACGGAATCGACTGTGATCGTCAATGAAGGTGACCCAGTAGCGATAACCAGAGAATGTGGGGGAAGAGACTTGGTGTACATCAGAATGGATGAGGTCCAAAGGATGAGCAGAGCGAGTATCAGATGAGGGGAATGGATTGGCATGCATCTTGCCAGACAAGCACGGTTCACAGACAGGATCAGGAGCAGCCTTGGATTCCAGTGTAAGCCCAGTGACCAGATCTCTCTGTATCAGTCTCTTGACATTAGCATGATGGTGGTGAGCCAATCTGCGATGCCAGAGCATCAAATCAAGTGGTATAGTCGCAGTAAAATGTCCCAATTCAACACAAGCAGCAGTAGATCCATCAAGGAATGCTGCATTGTTGTCATTGATAGTTGCAGTGAACAAGAGAGTGTTGTCACACATAAAGGACATGGAATGAGACGAAATAGTGACATTGAAACCACTTTGACGAGTTAAATACAAGACTGAGAGGAGATTATTTCGAAGATCTGGTACATGGAGCACTCTAGAGAATTCCACAGCCCTAGCCACTTTGCCATTCATCACAGGATTAAACACCACAGTACTAACACCAGCTGAATAGACAACAGTGTGATCAGCCAGCTTGATTGGCACACGATATGGGGTATAGTGGTGCATCCAATGACGATGAGGTGTCATATGAGAAGTGGCGCCTGTGTCTGCATTCCAATCAATGTCAGCATCAAGTTGGAGAGGGCAATGAGGATCAGAGGGATGAATGGAACGAAGACTTGCATTCCCAGCTGATTCAGTGACCACAGTGGATGAATTGGCATTGTTGGGCGAAGATTTGGGCTGCTGAGAGGTATTCTGAGAGTTGCTGGAGCCTGCCTGAGCCTTATTGCCACGCTTGTAGCGATTCTTAGCACCCTCCACTGCCTGTTGGCGACTAGCAATGTATCTGTGGCATTTGTCTTGGGTATGACCAAGTAAACCACAGAAATCACACTGAACACGAGTAGAGGTGGTGGATTGGTTGCAATGATGGCAGTTAGGATGGGTGCAGGTGCTATTGGCAGTAGTAGACGAAGAATGCAAGGCAGAATCGACTTCAGCACGACGACGGCAATTGACCTCTTCAGCAAGGAAAGCATCCCTGAGCTGGGTCTTGTCCAAGGTGCCCAGAAGTAGTAGAGATGAAGTGAAGTGGGCATATTGATCAGGAAGCGCCCTAATCATGGCCATGCATGTCAATTCATCGTCCAATTCAGACAATGAGAAGCCAGTAGGACGAAGATTTTGAATCTGATGCATGCCTTCGTCAATTCTGGTCATGAGAGACTGCAGGGACTCGTCCTCCTTCTTTCTGATAGAGAAGAAGTCGTCATAGGCATTAAATCTCGTCCCAGGCTTCTTAGAGACGTGCACAATTGCCAGTTTCTCCCAGATCTTGACAGGATCATCAATGATGCCATCAAGATGGATGCGCTGCTCTTTGGTGACATTGAGATATAATGCACCAGCAGCCTTTTCAGCTCTCAACTCCCATTTCTCTATTGCTTCAGCGTCAGTCCCAGGACACTTTTCAGCGCCAGAGATGAGCCTCCACAGTCCCTTGGTCATCAACCAAGCTTGCATTTCACCACTCCACTGGGGGTAGTTAGTGCCAGACAAGGGATGGAACTTGGGATCAGAGTCAGACATGATGGGTGTTGTATAAGACAATAGAGCAATGATAAATGATGTAGGAGACGGCTATAGGCGATGGAATAGTGGCAAAGACAATGGGCAACAGTAGGAGGCGAGCAGATAAGATGGTGAGGCGGTAGAGAGAGGATATGGAGAGGGTCAGAAAGCGCAAGGATAGGTCCAAATAGGGTCCAAAAAGCGTCCAAAAGCGATCCAGGAGGGTGCTAAGGCTTCCTAGTGCTGCTACAGGGTTACGCCTGTGTTCCCCTTTCAATTCCACACTGATATTAACAGAGAAATTGCCTCGAGACAGTGTTGGTTAATAGGGCTTGTATATGAGTCAACAAAGTGACTTAAGCTCCCCAAACACCGCAGACTGAGAGAGGCTCTAGGCAACAGCAAACTGAGGCAATGCAGGCGAGCTTCACAGTCTATAGGCTTGTTCTATCTGATAATGGACAGAGTAGAGAAGATTGGAGCTTTATGCACACACCAGATATGCCAAAAAGCGAAAAATAGGGCAAAAAGTCGAAATTGATGCAGAGACAGATAAGATGGATGGATTGCCACCAAATCAGAGGTATAGGGAACATTTTTATAGAGTAATAGATGGCCCAAATATCACAAGAAGTGAAGCACAGGATGTGGAGATATGCAATAGGAGTCCAATAGGGGTGAAAGTGCCAAAAATGCGAACTTCACAGAGGATGATGGAGTGGATGGATTGACCCCAAATTGACGGTGTAAAGTGCAATAGTATAGGGTAGTAGATGGCTCAAATAGGGCCAAGATCCGAGCACAGGGTGTGGAGATATGTAATAGGGGGCCAAAAGGTGATCAAATGATGATGAAGGCTCACAGAAAGATCCAGCTCAAATCCAACCGCTCTGACAGGTCTCCTAGGGTTATTTAGGCCGTAGAAGACGATGGTAGAAGTTACAGGACAATAAGATAAGGATTGGGCGAGATATGGTGCAGATAAGACCAAAAAAGCGTCCAAAATGGGGGTAACTTGCAACAAGGAGTTGTTGTTGGAGATCAAGATGAGATCAGAGTAATCTGAGGTGATGGATGAGATAATAAGAGTCCCAGAAGACAATGGGTACGATGGATAAGCAGTAGGACGCTTGGATGGTGAGATATGAGGTCAGGAAGATGGCTAGAGCACAGGGCTCATAACCTATTAAGAACAAAGCTTGAAGGAAGTGTCTAGCCACTTGCTGAGAGCAATCAGGGACTGGAACTAGAGTCCAATGTGAGTAACTAGAGAATAGGAAGCATTGGACTCTGCAATACTGTCCGAAGTTTTGTAAACAAAGGTAAACAAAGCAGCCACAAAGGCGAAATAATAGAGAACACAATCAATAGTGAATGATAGAAGAATAGATAGAGAAAGGAATGAAAATATATAGGTAGCACAAAGGTGCAGAATCACCAAAACTAACAAAATATTTCAGTCATCAGTAATCAACTGTAACAACCAAGATTTACTCGGGCACACACAGGAACACACTATAGAGAAAGATGATGAGGGAGTGGTTACCCCTTAGAATGCAGAGAGTTAGTTGGTATACAATAGTGTAAGGACCATTTCATTATTTTCTTATCTTCACTATGCCTTGGTTCTCGAACACTTTTCCCATTACACCTCTGGCTCTAGGGCTAGAGGTATCCTTTGCCATTTTACTTCTCATAGCCCTCACAGGCTTTCTTAACCATCACTACCATTTTATATCACAGATCAGAGACTGGGTATCGCTCCCAGCCAGCCAGCACGCAGAGTAAGGACTGGTAGTAGACATTTCGCCAACCAGCTCCAAGCCTCAGTAAAGTCTGGTTATACTAATAACGCCTTATTCAGGATCGTACCTCATTATGAGGATACGGTTTCTGAACACGCGTGACAATCCTCTATTATTAGTACAAGTCTCTCACCTGCTGATTAATCAAGTCAAAAGTCGTACGATAGTTACTCTCCCTTTTTCTTATTGGTCGATTGATTCCTCAGACCACTTTTCGTATATTCTCCTTTCGGTCTGAGGAACAAACAGTTCATTATATAAAGCCTTACCTATTCATGTATGGCTCCTTAGTTTTCTATTACTGAATTTACCCGCTTTACTCCTCAACAAGAACCTTTGAAGCTTACCTCTCAAAGTCCTCTACTCGCTATATTTACTAGCGTCTGTCAACCTCAAGCTCATCGAACCCTTTACTCCCTGCAAGTGCAGAAGGAGACAGGTTTTGTTTTTGTTATAGTTTATCGTTGCCTCACAAATAGGAGGACTCGCTAAGGAGTCTCCTGGATCTATTGGAGTTTATATACTACTACAGGGTTGTTTGTACATGTGTACTATACAGTTGATAGAGACATTGGCTGATGATGTCATGGGGCCTAGCCCGCATGGCCAGCTCCACTGTGTGAGAGAGTTATGTCCAAAATAAGAAGAAAGGCAACGCGGCACGAGAAAGGGGAAGTGCCGCATGGCACCATGTGTGAAAGCTATAGTACAAGGTTAAAGCGGAGAAAATAAAAGTAAAGGGAAAGTCCGAAAATTGTGTTATCGTAACATCAACATGATTGAAGAAAATAAACTTACCTTTGATGCAGTTGAGATCCGGATCACTGCAGAAGTTGCATAACAGTCAGGGAAGGCCCCTGGAGGTTCCGGATCAGCACTCAAATCCGAGGAGAAATGGTGTAACTTCCACAAAGCCAAATCACACAACACCTCGGAGTGTCGAACACTTCAGTCAGCTGAAAAAGGTCAAAGGAAGAAGGAAAAGGAAAGATACAAGGATAAAGGAAAAGAGAAGGAAAAGGCAAATACGGCGGAGAAATCATCTGGATCTGACTCCGAGGAGGAACAGAGTCATATTGCATTGGAACATGTACATATTTCCAAGCCCCTTGCTAAATGCATTCAAGCTTACCTTGTGTCGGAACCCAATAAGACCAAAACAACAATTATTATTGACTCCGGAGCAACATCCCACATGGTCCCTCACTGCTCCTGGTTTGAGCCAGGAACATACCATGTTCTGCATCCTCCGAGGACAATCAGTTTTGGGGATGAATCCTCTGTAAATGCCATTGGCATTGGAACAGTAATTCTACAAGCAACTGTTGGCAAAAAGGACTACAATATTGCACTGTCAAATGTCTTACTTGTGCCAAACTTCACGTTAGCACTCGTCTCTGTCCACAAATTGTCCAAAACGGGGTTATCAACACTTTTTCCAGCAGGGTCAAATGCTTGTGAAGTTCGGAAAAAGGAGGAACTTATCCTCACTGCGTTACACAAGCGAGGACTTTATCACATCCAAGCAAAACCCAAAATCAACCCAGAGTCAGCTTTTGCAGCAGTAGATGTAAATTTATTGCACAGGAGAATGGGACACATTGGAATGGACCGCTTGCAACGAATGGTTACAAAAAGACAGCTCCAGGACATAGACACCCTTACCGGAACCCCGGAGTTTTGTGAACCTTGTGCTTTAGGAAAGATGAAGAAACCACCCCCCAAGTCCACTGGAGGAAACCGAGCCAAGCGCCCCATACAAATTGTGCACACAGATGTTGGAGGACCAATCAAACCAACTTCCAGGGAGGGTTTTTGGTACTGGATTATCATTGTAGATGATTTCTCCAAATTTCCATGGATATATTTCCTAAAACATAAAAGTGAAGCACTGGAACGATACAAGAAATGGAAAGAAGATGTCCAAATATTCTTCCGGACTCATTTGGGAGAAGAAAACTTCACTCCACTATACACAGAATTCCTCCAGAGCGATGGGGGAGGAGAATATACTGGCAATGCATTCAAAAATCAACTCCGAGGAGATGGTGTCATCCAAGAAACTACAGCTGCAGATACTCCGGAACAAAATGGCATTGCAGAATGCATGAATCAGACATTGGCTACATTAGCAACCACTATGCTCCATGATTCCACGCTCCCAAAGTCATTTTGGGTAGATGCCATGCAAACAGCTGCATATATCACAGCACGCAGCCCAGCATCAGGACTCCATGGAAAGACCCCATATGAAATACTGTTTAAAAGGAGAGTTGATCCAACTTTGTTTTGCCCTTTTGGATGCCAAGCATATGCCTTGATTCCGAAAGGCAAAAAGCAAGGGAAGTTTTACTCCAAGGGGCGCAAAGCCATAATGATTGGCTACACACATGGAAAGCAAGCCTAAAAACTCCTAGACACTGAAAAATGGACTGTGTTTTCCAGTCGGCATGTCATATTCAATGAATCCGGAAAGGTACAAAAGGATGACACTGCTCCCTGGGACACAGACACTAGCACAGATCAGTGGGAGGGACTCATTCCAGAGAATGCTCACTATCCAGACCAAAAAAAATTGGAGGAGGATGACCCTGACCCTCGGATCCGAGATCCAAATGAATTGCAAATGGAACCATATCAGCATGAAGATGTTCCAAGAGCAGTGGGGCAATACCTCCGTGGAGACGTTCCAAGAGCAGTGGGAGCACCTGATCAGCTAAGACACCCTCCACAACAGTCTCTACAACCAAGACCTGAACACTGGCCATCTTCAGAACGGAAAGCCAAAGTAGAGTTACAGTCAGTGGGAGGACAGCCCCTCAACATACAGCCAGCTGATGTGGAAAAAGTCCGAATACAGTTAGACAGCCTGTCCATTGGATCAGCTTCTGGAAGGCATACAACACCTCCAAGGAGTGATTCAACACCTTCAGGAGTGAGTGGGGCAACAAATACACAAATGTGTCTACTCCCTGGAGTACCTGCACAAGTTCCTAAAAGAGCAGTCATGCCTGCTGAAGTCCTAGGAGTACGCAGAAGCAGTCGCCAGACCCGTCCTGCAGACAAAAACCGAGATTATCAAAGGACTCTAGATGAGAAACAGTCTCGAAAAGAGCAGCATGACAACTCCATGGAGAAACCTAACACTCCTGAGGTTCATGAAGAAACATCTGATACAGAGGAGACATTCTTTGCTGGAATAGCAAGTACCGGTCCATCTAACACAGACCTTCCAAGGACACTAAAGGAAGCCTTATCACGTCTGGATGGAGAATTATGGAAGTCTGCCTTGAAGGAGGAACTCCTAAGTCTCAATACTAATGCAGTATATGACACTGTTCCACTTCCGAAGGGAGTAAAACCCATCACATCAAAACCTGTGTTCCGGATCAAGTTTGATCAAAACAGAAACATTGAGAGATACAAACTCCGGATTGTTGCACGGGGTTTTACTCAAAGGGAGGGGATTGATTACCAGGAGGTTTTTGCTCCAGTTGCAAACTTAGAGTCAATCCGAATTATTCTAGCCCTGGTAGCAAAGTACGACCTAGAACTTGATCAAATGGACGTATCCACAGCTTATCTCAATGGAGAACTTGAAGAAGAACTGTACATGCTTCCTCCAGGGGGTGTTCCTATCCAACCTGGATACTGCTGGAGATTGAAGAAATCCATCTACGGGTTAAAACAAGCTGGTCGTACATGGAACAAAACTTTTGATTGCAAGCTCCAGGAGCTCAGTTTCACAAGACTAAATGCAGAAACATGTCTCTATGTATTCCGGGACAACAAACAATTATGCTTTGTTGTTGTCTATGTAGATGACCTCCTCCTAGGAGCTTCATCCCAAAAATTCATGGATATCACAAAAGCCAAACTCGAATCCATATTCAAAATGCGGGACCTTGGAGAAGCAAAATACATCCTCGGAATAGAAATCCAACGTGATCGTTCAAACAAAACAATATCCCTATTGCAACGCCAATACATTGACACAGTCCTGGAGCGTACTGGAATGAAGAACTGCAAACCAGTATGGACACCAATGGCTCATGGATCAAAACTCCTTGCAAATGCTCCAGGGGAAGATATTGTGCAACATGAGATGCATATTGAAGGGCGTCAAGTGTCATACCTCTCAATTGTAGGCTCCCTCATGTATGCCATGCTCGGAACCCGCCCAGACATTACCTACGTTGTTGGAATACTAAGCAGGCATAGCTCAGCTCCAAGGAGCCATCACTGGGAAGCTGCAAAATGTGTCCTCCGATATCTGAAAGCAACCAGGGACATGGAACTACAATATGATGGCACAGATGTCTCCATGGACATGGATTTCTATGGATATTCAGATGCAGATTGGTCTGGAGACCCAGACATGTCTCAATCAACATCAGGGTCTGTCTTTATCACCATCCGAGTGTGAGGCAACGATAAACTATAACAAAAACGAAACCTGTCTCCTTCTGCACTTGCAGGGAGTAAGGGGTTCGATGAGCTTGAGGTCGACAGACGCTAGTAAATATAGCGAGTAGAGGACTTTGAGAGGTAAGCTTCAAAAGTTCTTGTTGAGGAGTAAAGCGGGTAAATTCAGTAATAGAAAACTAAGGAGCCATACATGAATAGGTAGGGCTTTATATAGTGAACTGTTCGCTCCTCAGACCGAAAGGAGAATATATGAAAAGTGGTCTGAGGAATCAATCGACCAATAAGAAAAAGAGAGAACAACTATTGTACGACTTTTAACTTGATTAATCAGCAGGTGAGAGACTTGTACTAATAATAGAGGATTGTCACGCGTGTTCAGGAACCGTATCCTCATAATAAGGTATGATCCTGAATAAGGCATTATCAGTATAACCAGGCTTTACTGAGGCTTGGAGCTGGTTGGCGAGATGCCTACTACCAGTCCCTACCCAGTGTGCTGGCTGGCTGGGAGCGATACCCAGTCTCTGATCTGTGATATAAAATGGTAGTGATGGTTAAGAAAGCCTGTGAGGGCTATGAGAAGTAAAACGGCAAAGGATACCTCTAGCCCTAGAGCCAGAGGTGTAATGGGAAAAGTGTTCGAGAACCAAGACATAGCGAAGATAAGAAAATAATAAAATGGTCCTTACATTACCCCCCCCCCTTTTATATTCTTGTCCCAAGAACTTTAGCGCCGCAATCCGTGAAGCGGTTTGTTATCCAGTCGAAGAGGCGGGGTTTTTCGGTAGTAGTGGTGAAATTTTCGTAAGGGCAGAATTGTAAGGCGGCAGCAGCAATTACGCGCGGGGCGGCAGGGTGTTGGCGATGAAAGGTGGTGATGAGCGAGGGAGAATTTTTTAAGTGATGATCGGGTTCCCACGTCCTTTCCGTGATCGGGTATCCTTTCCAATGGATGAAGTAATCAAGCTTGACCCCTTTTAGTTTAGTGGGTCGCGAAGCGATGATTTCTTCGGCTTCGTATTCAACCACGCCATCGACTTGGATCGGCGGAGGTTTCGAGGTACGAGGTTGATTAGGAAATTCCGGCGTGTGATACGGTGATAATAGGATTTTGTTGAATACGGGATAGATCGCCTTCCATGATCTAGGGACGTCAAGGAGATAAGCGGATGGGCCGACCTTTGCTTTCACCGTAAACGGGCCAAATTGCTTATCGTCTAGCTTCTTCATCGGCCGATCGGTGGAAATATGAGTACCTTCTAACCACACTTTATCCCCTTTGTGATATTCCCGTGCTTCTGTGCGTTTTCGGTCATAGTACTTTTTGAGATTTTGATTAGCAAGCAGTAATGATTATCAAGTTTGCTCGTGTAATTTCGTCATAGAGGTTGCAAAATCTTCGGCAGCTTGCGAGCGTCCGGAAGGCTTCTGACTGGTCCCTTTACGAGGGTGAGAACCATAATTTACGAAGAAGGGGGTCTGATTGGTCGCGGAGTGAAGGTGATTGTTGTATGTAAATTTGGCAATGGCTAGCCAATCAGCCCAGTCGTCTTGTTGGTGATTAATGAACGTGCACAGGTAGTGTTCCAGGTCTTGATTGATTCGTTCGGATTGCCCATCAGTTTGGGGGTGGTAACCTGTTGACAGACTGGGTTCAATCCCAAGGGTTTGATAGAAATCCTTGGTGAAGTTCGACATGAATCTATTGTAGTTTCACTTAGTTTTATTATCGCCTCCACCGCTATCCCATAATGCTCACCTCTTTGCCCCCATTCCAAACGTGCAGGGATTTGGTATTTGTGTCTTTATATGCACATGTTCTACATTGCCTACTCCTGGTCAGTTCAGTAACCTCACTCGAAGATTGTTCCAAGGCCATTACATCATGGGAGACGCTCAAGGTTCATGCAGGAACAATTGTGGACAAGTATACTGATAATGAGCTGATTGCAGTTTTGCGAGAGCAACGAGAACATGCCCAGGGCAACAACATACGAGCAGGTGATATGGTATTTGAAAATGCTGTGCTTTTCTTTTGTGATGCTATTATTTCAAGGGAGCTGACAGACGCAGTCAAGGATGGAGATTCAGGTCGGGTGATAATGGCCCTCAAGTTAATGGCCCTCAGTTACCGAGGCACAGGCCACTCAAAATATGCATATGAGATGCTGTATCTAATACACATCTTGTTGTGTGTTTGGCCAGACAGCGTAGTGTATATAGCATTACTTCTTCATGGGAAACTTGTTTGTTTAACCTTATGATGCTTGGCAGGAAACTGGTTCTCAGTAACTGGCTGGTGAATCCAACAGGGAAACAGAATAGCTTCATTGAAGTGGACCTAATGCAAGAGCATATGGACTATTGGATAAGGGTATGTCATTTTACAGCGTAACTCAGAACAATAGTAAACTAAAGAAATTTTTTGTGAAGAACTTTTACCAAGCCTATGGCAGCTCTGCATCATGGGAGTGGTTAGATATGGTGGCACCATGTGTTAATATCCTTCGGCATCTGTCATGAACAATGAATTCACTCCTTGGAACGAAACAAGGACTAATGCATGAGCCGTTGGACTTAACTAGAGACATCCCAGTACTCATGTTGAGTCTCATGGACCATGAAATAGATTCCATCAAACATGGACGACAGCTTGATGAGGGTGATTTACCAGTGCCAGATGTCATAACCATAGGTCTTCAGCAACTCACAGACGCAACAAACAACCCAATTGAGGAGTACAATAAAGTCTTTAAAAGACTTCAGGCTCGTCGGCAATTACAGCCAGTCATAGGACCTGGAAGCGCACAGCCTATGTCTGCACCAGTTACAGATACTGAAGCAACGACGACACCAGTTATGAATGACTTACCAGGAGAATCCAGTACAGTGGTTAACGAGGGAATTGCAGGAGATGGGGACGCTGTTAAGCACTTTGTGCGTAACAAAGTCTGAGGGTTCATCGAGGTTTCAAGGGAGACTTATCCGAAGACAAGTTCGAGAATATAGTTCTGAGTTGAGTTCTTCCAACAAGAGTTGGTCTTCTTCTGAGTAGAAGTCTGATCTTAGGAGTCTAGCTTTGTAAGCGTAACTGTGTAGAATTGTATTAGAGAATACTACTGCTGTTACATGTGTATTTATAATGGAAATGAATCGGTGATAGGAGTTAGGTCCTATCTAGGGCAGGTCCGTCCGTTGAGGACTAAGTACTATAATAAGTACTGCAAATGCGAGAGGAACGGAAGTGTACGTGAAGGAAATGACTCATCGGTCCAATGGTATAACCGATGAGTAAAGAGAAATGAGTAGTCCTTAAATGTCCAATAGAGATCGTAACAGACGCAGATATGGAGGAAGAGGAGGAAGAGGGAGATTTTGAGCACTCAGCCAGGGAAGATGAGAGAGAAGAGACACTCACACTTGAAGGGCCAGAGGATATTTCGCTTGATATGGATACAGAGGATATGGGTGGTGTCAACATATACGAGGAAAGCAAAGAAGAAGATGAGACAGATATTGATATTGACACAGATACCGGTTCCAGTTATTGTGAAATGTAATACTCAAAAGAATATCTGTTTTACCAAAAATGAACTTATTATTGTTGGATAAAAAGCTATAATACACGGCCTGAAGTGTATCTAGATTCACTCAAACGTAGATTATTTCACCGAATTTTGGCCAAGTCCCTTGTCACGCTTGGCAGTGAACAACTGTGACCTGCCATTGTGACGTCCACGTTTCCCAGTCCGTTCGCAAGCTCACGAAATTGTTAATGAGTTGAGCTTACGTACGCAACTGGTCACGAGTCTATGTATGTGTACGTACCCAGCTAACTGAAAACAGATGTAAGTGAGCTTATTGCGAAAGCTCATAGAATATTCGTTTCATCAAATTGGTGTGTTAAGTTGGCCAACAGTACATAACGAAATGTTGCCTAGGAACAATAATCATCTTCTACTATCCTGTGTGGAATATAGTGTAGACAGCGAAGCCGTGCTTTTGTCTGACACCTGCCTAGATCATTACCTATCTACCTGAGCCAAACCCTCTGAATCTTGTAAAGTTGCCTCCGGTGCTTCCAACGCTCACTGCACCAACGTCTTGCACCCTCTTCTCAACCTCACCAACTCTTGTTTCAACCAGATTAACGGCGTTATCTATCCATTGCAAACTTTCTAAATGGCTACTGAGGATGTGGGAGATCTGAGCCATGGGATCGTCTGTACCAAACGGTTGAGAGGCACCACCGGAGGGGGCCGACGACAAAGAAAGAGCGTTTACTGAATCAATCATCTGCGTCAGTGATCCTGATAGGTCGTCCAATTGGGCGTGTAGCTCGGTTGCCAACGTGTAGCTGCAATAAAACACGTAAGGACTGGTCAGGCCCGGAGGTAGAAACTGGTCACCTTTTGTCTCGTTCCGAGTCTGCGGGGCCTGTATCAAGAGCCCGAAGACCACCCGCTTGATTGCCTAGCAGTTCGTCTGTTGATCTTTCGTATCCTTCCAAGGCTCCCAAAAGATCCCTTTGTTGTTGCTCGATGTGGTCCAGAGATTGATCGATTTCATTTTGCTCTCGCTCCGCTGCCAGTACATGACTGAACAGCGCAGACAGCTGACCAGTCAATGCAAGTCAGCCGCATGCAGAATACTAAACCACAAGACTTTATCTTACATTGTTACCATTTTCCATGAGGGCGCGATCCCACACAGCCACTTCTCCAGCAAATGAGCTGAACTCGCGGACATGAAGCTCTAGGTTGGCTGTCCATTTATTCACGATTTCCTCAATAGTTTTACCTCTTAGCATTGATGGTGGGGCTACCGATATATTAGCCTGCGAGGGAGCCGACGCTGGCGATCAGAGATATTACTTTACGGATGCCAGTAGTATAAAGATTAATTGTACTTACAATCCTTCGATTTATCCGCTTCCGCTCCCTTTGTATTGCTCGCACCTGATAAAATGAGACTAATGCCACTGATAATTATACTTCACGACCTACCCGACAAAGCATCTTTCTTCTCCCCAGATAAGTCTTTCGACGGATCTCCTAAGCTGAAAGAAGGAGCTGTGGATTGCCTGATTAATGATGAATTTTCAGGCCAAAAGAGCTCATACCTGAAGGCGTATCCTTTTTCTCAGGTACTGGATTCTTCGTTCCGAATAAGTTGAATGTTGCTGGCGCTTTCAAAAAGTTAGCCAGGGGACAGAGCTTGTGGTATCCTGAGCTATCACACCTGGGGTTCCCTCTTTCTTTTCTCCTGAACTATCCTTGGTACCGAATGAACCCAGTATAGACGGGGCTGCAACATTGGTCACTAAAGACTAGCTAAGAAGGACTAATGCACGTCTCTTACTTGGTGTCGCGTCTTTCTTTTCTCCAGACGTGTCCTTGGACCCAAAAAGGTTGACTGCAGGATGTGTTCAAATGCGAATTATGAGGACTTCAAAAGTAACACATACATGATGGTGTATCCTTCTTCTCAGTCGCAGGCGCATCAGCCTTCGCGCTGGAGCCAAATAATCCACCACCAGCGGCTGTAGAAGGAAATGTTTGTTCATAGGCCTATGATATTCTCTAAAGACTAACTCACGAGACGATGTAGAGTTAACGGCACCAAATGCGGGGAAGGTTGCATTCCCCGTCGAGCTCGATGTTGGCGTCGGGGCTGAGTCTTCCGGTTTCTTTCCAAACAAGCTGCCACCAAACATGCTACCTCCAGGAAATTTAGCTGTCGGGGTACTTTCTGCGGGTTTGGCCACAGAGCCGAAAAGACCCCCAGTTGGTGGTGCCGTAGATCCTAGGATTATCCAGACGTGACGACGATGATGAATAAGGCATGTAAGGGAACATACCGGCCGTTGGTGTCGTGGATGCTGGGGGGATACTGAAGACTACACCAAAGATTTAGCTCATAGCAGCAGCCCTAGAACCATGGAATATAGAACGTACAGTTAGAAGAGGTTGTTTTGGGTGTCGTTGATGACTTTGAAGCGTCAAAAAGACCTGATCCGAAAGCACTCATTTAGCTGGATTGACTGTAGTGGGGTTGAACAGTGAATTTGAATGAGTTTGTCTACAAGCCCAAGTTTGGTGTGGACTGAAACAACTTCAGGTTCCTTCGGTGCCGCTACGATCTCGGTTAAAACCGAACTTCCACTTTATCCGAGTCAACTTGGACTCACTTGTTTAAATTATGGTAGTACTTGACTCGACCTTGCTAGTACTTACTTTTCAACTCGGACTTGGCACACTGCGACCTCATCTTGAACGGCATACTTTTACCACTGTAAGCATTCTCTTTCATTGCTAAGGAATGAGCGTTTAGAATTTTGGATTATCTAGCATGACTGACCTTGATCTTTTGACGCGGCATCTCCATTCGACGATATCTGGAACCAGTCAAAGCATCGAGAAGCGTAATGTCTTAGATGAATGGCTCAGGTAGTAGTGGTTTTTTCTGGATGCGACACGTCAAACTCACAATCCAAACCATTCAGGGGAGAGTCGACCGGCATGATCGGTATTGTGATTTCATCTGGTCAATGTTGATTCTCTACTCACCCTATATCGATTTCTATCTTTGAGATTACGATAGCTACAACGATGATCTTCAAGACGAGGCTTGGGAGTCTATCTTAGACGTATATATTGGACTTCAACAATGGAGTGCCCTCGAAACTCCTTCTCAGACCATGGTGTCGAAGCTCTTGTCGTACGTGCTTTTACGTCGTGAAGTCCAGCTCTCAGATCGGTCATCAGAATGCCTGAAATTGAGAAATCTCTGGGTCCTCTGTATTCGATACTCTCTAGCTCTCGGTCGAACGAGTTGATATCAGGGGAAGTAGTTGAAATTGTTGGCTTTGAAAATGTCGAACTCGTTTCGCATATTCTTGACCACCGTCCCTCTATTTTCCAAGAAGTTGGTTCATCTGTATTGTTTGGGTTAATTCTGACTGTTATTAGATTTCAGCTTTACTTGAATTCGATAGTCCCATGCCAGCATCATCAGATGACAAGACGTCCAGCCTTAATCTACATACGGCTCGTCGGCGTATGGAAGAAGTGATGAAAGCAAATTCATCCCGTTCTTTATTTTCGAACACTGCTGTGAGTCTGGCTAACAGTTGTGGTGTGCTAAGTTTGACCAGTTTTCAGCAACCTGCGCCAGAAGTGTTACCCCATGTATATACGTCGGCAAACCTTGATCAAGGCAGTATATTCTCTCAGTATGGTACTAAATACGCTTTACCTTTGGGCACCTTGACTTATGATTATGAGGTACGTCTTTACTTTCTTTCATTCGCTTGTGCTTCACTTTCTGCAGCACTACGAAGAGGTTATAATACCTCCTGCAAAAACTGTTCCACCTCGCGCTTTTGAACGCTCTATATCAATATCTGAACTGGACCAACTTTGCAGACAGTCATTTCCTGTAAGTCTGCTCTATTTTTCTGATTGACACGCTGCATATACTCCACAGAAATACACTTCTTTAAACAGAATTCAATCCATCGTCTATCCCACTGCGTACTGTTCTAATGAAAATATGTTAGTTTGTGGTAGGTCGAAGAATCCATCAGTCGTCGTCTTTTCCTAAATCGTGATTATGAATAGCTCCCACGGGTGCTGTAAGTTCTATCTACGTGTATAGCAGTATCACTGCTGAAACTCTTTCGGAAAATCAGGGTAAAACCGACGTAGCTATGTTAACGATCTTACGTGTACTTGATCAAAATCGCTCTGTCCTCAACCCAGATCTTCCTTTACATTCGACAATTGCGAGGGACAGTTTCAAGATCATATATGTGTGGGTCTTCGTAGTCCCGTATTCGTGAAAGGCTGGACATATATTAAGGAATTATGATTAGCGCTCCTATGAAAGCTCTGGCCTCAGAAATCGTACGCAAGCTGGGTCAACGTTTGAAGTGGCTTTCGATCGTAGTCCGCGAATTAACAGGTCTGCATTCATGTTATATTTCCCAGTCATATGATTGAAGTCGTTTTGTCAGGGGATATGCAAATGACCAAGGCCGAAATTGCGCAAACGCAGATTATCGTCACAACTCCTGAAAAGTGGGACGTTGTAACCAGAAAGCCCTCTGGTGAAGGCGACATATCATCGGTTGGTTTATGCAACTTACCTCGGGCAATAATTATTCACCAATGAGTCAATATCTAGCTTCTCAAATTGCTTATCATTGATGAAGTACACTTGTTAAATGAAGAACGTGGAGCAGTTATTGAAACCATCGTGGCTCGCACATTACGACAGGTTTGTTAACCTATATGCTTATACGCCTATCCTATCTTTTCTGATTCTTGTAGGTCGAGTCAAGCCAGTCTGTCATCCGTATTGTTGGCCTGAGTGCTACCTTGCCTAATTACAAGGATGTTGCAGAGTTTTTAAGGTCGGTGCTTTCATAAATGGTACCAGTTTTAATTAAGTAAATATGCTGCAGCGTTTCACCACAAGCAGGACTGTTTTACTTCGATTCTTCATTTCGGCCAGTTCCACTGGAACAACACTATATCGGTGTAAGAGGAAAGCCTGGGAGTGCAGTATCACGCAAAAATATCGAACGCGTCGCATACGAAAAAGTTGCAGAGCTGGTTAAGCAAGGTCATCAAGTTATGGTCTTTGTTCATGCACGAAAAGAAACTGTGAAGACTGCCTTGTCCCTGAAAGAAGCTGCACTAGCGGAAGGAACGCTGGATGAATTTTCCTGTGAAGAACATCCACAATGGTCACTTTTCCGTCGAAGTATTGCAGAATCCAGAAATAAGGAAATGAAACAACTTTTCGATAATGGGTTTGGAATTCACCATGCAGGCATGTTACGATCAGACCGTAACATGATGGAAAGAATGTTCGAGGCCAGAGCAATCAAGGTTATTCAACACGCTGTCATAGTACTTCCGTTTGGCTCACTCTTTCTTCAGGTATTATGTTGTACTGCAACCCTTGCTTGGGGTGTGAATTTGCCTGCACACGCTGGTGAGTTATCTTGTGCGTCGTGGGAGGTTTCACATTGTCAATAATATGCTGTCAGTCATTATAAAGGGGACCCAGGTTTACGATAGCACCAAAGGCTCATTTGTAGATCTGTCAGTCCTCGACGTTCTTCAAGTATTTGGTCGAGCCGGTCGCCCAGGTCTTGAGACAAGTGGAGAGGGTTATATCTGCACCACAGAGGATAAATTACAGCATTATCTCGATGCTGTGAACTCTCAGGCAAGTCGTGTAAATCATTAGTGTGTAATCGCCCTGACCAGTCAATTAAATCTGCAGAATCCTATCGAGTCCAAGTAAAATTTCCTCCGGATATACTAAACTTAAGGTTGACATTGTATGCAGGTTCACGGCAGGCATGATTGACTCGCTCAACGCCGAGATATCACTTGGAACGGTATCAAACACAAACGAAGCAGTTCGGTGGTTGGGGTACACTTATCTGTTTGTACGCATGCGGAAAAACCCTACACATTATGGTATGCAAATGTCCTTGCGTACTCATCTTACAATATGAACTTTTATCATAGGAATTTCTCGAGAAACGCTAGTAGATGATCCTCAGTTGGGTCACAAGCGTAGCGAGTTGGCAACTTTGGCTGCGAAGAAACTGGCTGATGCACGTATGATTGTTTTTGATCAAAGCACTGGTGCATTGGCAGCCACTGATTTGGGCAGGATTGCCGCGAGATATTACATTAGGCATTCATCGGTCGAGATATTCAACAAAGAGCTCAAGCCCAAAATGACTGAGGCTGATGTGCTAGCGATGCTCAGTATGAGCACAGAGGCGAGTTAACGGTATTATGATGGACTTGTGCCAATCTCACCTATATCTTTAGTTCGAACAAATCCAAATTCGGGAGTCGGAAGTCAAGGAGCTAGAACTCCTGATGGGGATTATTCCGTGCGCTGTGCGGGTCAGTAACGGTTAACTATTCACTCTCCATATTGTTAATAGGCTTATAGGGTGGTACGGATACAAGCCAAGGAAAGGTTAATATCCTTCTTCAAACCTACATCTCCAAGCTTCCTGTGGACGATTTCGCGCTCATATCAGATGCCGCTTACGTAGCCCAGAATGGCGGTCGAATCATTCGCGCCCTATTAGAAATGGCGATGAGTCGTAAATTGGCCAACGCAACTACCGTGATCATTGGATTGACCAAAGCGGTTGAAAAGCGTTTATGGCCATTTGATGAGCCTTTGAGACAAATGAGTCTCAAAGCCGAGATTTTCTATGGGCTAGAAAACGCACGAGAAGAGTATTCGGTCGCAGAACTAGCGTCCATGAGCGCTGGAGAGCTAGGGGAGCTAGTTCGGTTGAATGAACGACATGGAGAAGCTCTACTCGTCGCAGCCAAACAATTTCCTGCCGCGCTGATGGAGTATAATCTACGCCCTCTTGGATTTGATGTGTTAAATATCATCTTTAGCATTACTCCGACCTTCAACTGGAGTTCAAAAGTCCACGGTCACGAAGAGCCGTTCTGGCTTTGGCTAGAGGACCACAATGGCTCGAATATTATCCAAGTCGCACGGCTTGCTTTCCACCAGACCACTGAGGTACTCCGCGCTAGCTTTGTTATATCTATCCCGAATGGAGATCCTCCCCCTTCAATAACAGTGCGGTTTATGTCAGAGAGGTGGATGGGTTCTGAGGATGAGCTTATTATCCCAATGGATGCTCTAGTAATGCCCTCTCTTTCACACAGCTATACACCGTTGTTAGACCTTCCTCTCCTTCCTCGCTCGGTTTTGGATAACCTACCAGTAGAACCCGGTTGTCCAACTGATTTACAGTGCTTCAATGCTATTCAAACTCAGGTGTTTTGGAGTTTACTTCAGACTGAAATGAATGGACTCATTGCCGCCCCAGTCGGCTGTGGAAAGTCTATCATGGCCCATCTTGTGATACAGTAGGTGCCATTGTAGAATCAAGTGCGGTTATAAACTAATACTGATGAATTTGTAGATCAACCCTACTCAAGGCAACTTCCAAGTCGTGTGTGCTACTCATTACCCCGAGAAAAAGTCTGGCCATGGAGTCTCTTTCAGCACTACGATCAATTACAAAAGCGACGCCTATCGAGATCGTATACGTCACTGATCAGGATATCTTGGCTCCAACCAAAGGCAGAGTGGTCCGCGTCGTTACAGCCGAAAACCTTCTGTCAGCTCTACGTCATCGTGATGCTCGAACACCTTTTCAATCACCGGTCCTCGTTGTCTGCGAAAATTTGGAGCAGTTGAACCCTTCCTATGAACTAGGGGTATCTTTGTTGCGATACCTATTACAACCCTCTCCTACGAGATTCATCGGGGTGTCCAGCTCGCTATATGATCCCACTGATCTCGCCGCATGGTTCGAAGTCGACCCTTTGGCCATGCACAGTTTCCGAGCACGTGATCGCGATTCACCATTAATTGTTTCCACGCAGACATTCACGATACCATATTCCGCTGTCTTGTTCAAATCCATGGCCAAGCCCGCGTATGCAGCAATCCGGAGCTGTCTTCCAAGTGGACCAGTTATCGTATTTGTTCCCTCACGTAGCCAATGTCGATCCGCGGCAATGGATTTTATTACGCAGTGTGCATTGGATATGGAATCAGAGAGGGGGTTTCTTACCGATGACGTTTCCACCGAGGACCTAGAAAGCTACCTAGCTATACTGCAAGATTCTAGTCTCGTTGATTATGTTTCACGAGGCATTGGACTGTTCCACGAGGGTATTACAAAAGCCGATCGAGCTCTCATCCTCAACCTGTATACTCGAGGCATTGTACGGGCCCTTATAGTCGCTAGGGAGTCATGCTGGCATTTACCAGTCCGGGCAGCGGCGGTCGTGGTTATGGGCACTCAGCATGTGTTCAGTGAATCCGGAAGCTCAGAGCGTCAACTACGAGATTACGATTTCACGGACCTCGTGCGGATGCAAAGTAGGGCAGTGCGACCTACGGGATCTGGTCATTTCTTCCTCTTTTGCCCTACCGAATCTCGTGATACCTTCAGCCGGTTCTTGGATGATGGTCTTCCGCTTGAGTCCCGATTGCTAGGGTCGGATGAGCTGCAGGATTACTATAAGGAAAAGAGAAGATCCGGGGCGATCCGTAGTAGACAGGATGGTGTTGACTTACTCTCCTTCACGTTTCTTGCCAGGCGGTTGGCAAGTAATCCTCTGTATTACGATGCAAGAGGAAACTCTCTGGACGAAAGCTTGTCGCGGGTTGTAGACGATCTGGAATAGATACAATGCAGGGAAGGACGGGTTGCTTTAGATTACAGTAATCCTGCTAGTGAGGCACTGACTCGGACTTGCACAAATTACATATGCAACGCTCCATAGCGTGCGAGACTTTGAAACGGTTATAGGTTGAGCATCATTCTGTCTGCGCTGTCAGCGGAGTCCGCTGATCGTTCTTCAACGTTCATCCTGCTCTCGTGACCCCAAAAATGACATCGGTGACGGTATATCTACTTTGGCCCTAGCCCAAAAACAAAACGAGATCTCTCCTCACCATATTTGAGTTGTCTCTTGAAATGTCAGAGTCAGCCAGCAACGACGAGCAACGTAATGTCGACCCCAAGCAGTATTATCCCTCTGAGCTCGACGTCTCTTCACATGCGCCAACACTACGCGGGCCTAGGTTGACCATTTCCATAGCATTCATTGCTGGGACTGCCTTCACATTGTTCGGGTGTGTAGTCGATAACTATGAGGAACTGATCCCAATGCTTAATCCGTGATCCCATGATCTTCAGCTATGATCAGGGTGTCATGTCTGCGTTATTGACTGCTGGACAAGTATTAATTCGATAAACGACCATGGCATATCAGAGTAACTCATAACATAACTTGGCAGTTCGAGAAAGTCTTTCCTCAAGTCGTGATCGACGCAAGCCATCCTAACCACGCGACTTTGCAAAGCTTTGTTGTGGCGATATATGTGCGTCAGTATATCCTTCCTCCACCTCTTACTGACCTCTTCCAAAAGGAAATTGGATGCCTTATCGGTGCACTCTCAAATCTCTGGGTTGGTGATTACCTGGGTCGCCGGCATACCATCGTATTTGGCGGCACGGTAATGATCATAGGCGCAATTCTCCAAACGACGTCGTTTAGCTATGCACAACTGGTCGTCGCCCGAATCGTCACTGGGCTGGGAAACGGACTAATGGTTCGTAGACAAGAATTCATGCGGAGCATACCTGCGACGATGTGAGATTGATGAAAAGTGCTCTACTTGAAAACATCTTCCACCTGGGGCGGTTTCTGGTAATTTCGCGTCGTTGCAGGTATGCTATTGCATTTGTTCAGTATCCTTGATTTGATAACCCCTCATTCAAAGCTAACATATTCGAATGCTGGTAGACATCAACCGTTCCTAGTTACCATGCCGAATGTTCTCCTGCAGCTAAACGAGGAAGCCTGATAATGATCGAGGGCAGTCTAATTACTTTTGGTATCATGATCTCGTGAGTTTTTCGATCCCGTTCCTTTCAGAATGGCAGCTCACTTCATATTTTAGTTATGTAAGCTGTTCAAGAACCTTTTGATTATCACCACGTTTGCTGAATTCCGTAATAAAGTGGATAGATTTCGCTCTGTACGGTCTTTCGTCGATCGCACCACTGCATTCTCTGAATAATTTGTAACAGATATTGGGCTGCTGATTCATCCGCCCAATGGAGAGTACCCATTGCACTGCAGATAGTGCTTGCTTTGATCATGGTTGTTTTCATCAATTTCGTGTGTCTTCTCCCCACATAAAGCCTTTGAAATGAACTAAATGTTGTTCTATAGCTTCCGGAATCACCTCGATGGTAAAATCCAATTGTCCATCGCGCTATAGACATACGGCTCATGATATTGTCACTATCCTCAGGCTCGTTAAACATGGTCGTCACGCTGAGGCTGTAGCTGTTATATCTGCTCTGGAGGATAAACCAGTTTCCGATCTCGAAGTTCGACGCACATTTCATGCTATCCATGAAGCTGTCATATTAGAAGACGGGTCTAGCGCAGATTTACCCAACAGGAAGCAAGGTGGCCAGTCTATGAAAAATCTCATTCGTGGGGGTCGTCGCCAAAACTTCAGAAGAGCTTCTTTGGCAATTGTTTGCCAATGTTTCCAACAAATAACTGGTATCAACTTGATAACATAGTGGGTGTCTCTCGATACAATCAGTGGAATTCGCTGAACATGATCCCTTTAATAGCTATGCTGTAAGAATCTCAGTTTCGTCTTCCATGTTATTGCAGTTCAGTGACGCTGTTTCTCTCAGACGATACTCTTTCAAAGTCTAGGATTATCTGATGTGAAGTCACGGGTCACCGCAGCTGCCAACGGGACCGAGTATTTCTTAGCTTCTCTCGTCGCTATTGCGATCATCGACCGTATTGGACGTCGAAGACTTATGTTATTTGGAGCGATTGGTCAATGTCTGACCATGGTACTATTAGCAATTCTTGGTTCTATAAACAACAGCGCCTCGCAAGTGGTGAGCTGCGTCCTTCTATTCGTCTTCAACTCTTTCTTTGCAATAGGCTGGCTGGGTATGACCTGGTTATACGTAAGTCATCGAGCTATCAAAATTTCCGCCACACCTACCTAAACATTCACCAGCCTGCAGAAATTGTTGGCATCGATATTAGGGCCCAAGCGAATGCCCTATCCACAGGTGAGTTCTTCCGCTTGATAAAGTCTGACATTATTGGACGTTTACACTACATTTACTGAATAGCATCAAACTGGATATTCAACTTTGTGGTTGTGATGGTTACTAGCCCGTCTTTCCGTGATATTTCGTGGCGAACATACATCGGTAAGCTCCTATGTTTTCTTCACAGAGGACCAGCGTGTTGATCACCCTGCGTTTAGTTTTTGCAGCTCTCAATGCGTTCATCGTACCTTGTGTTTATTTCTTCTTCCCAGAAACAGCTGGTCGATCACTCGAAGGTTTGGAACTTCGTCTGATGTTTATTCGCTTTTTAACTCACATTACACTCAGACATGGACGTCGTTTTTGCACTCGCATATAACGAAGGAGTCTCTCCCGTGGCAGTGTCTCTTCGTCGCGATGTACCTCTTGCGGGTTCAGCAGAAGGCGATTTAATTTTAGGCATTACAGACGAGGGCAAAGAATCTACGAAGCATCTAGAGTCATAAAGTAGAATCAACGAAATGAAATTCAACCTTGACACCTAACGTTTTCGATAAGCAATCATTTGTCATATGTAGACAGTAAGTACATAATTATCAGCCCGGAAGTGGGAATGTGTTGGCCGATAGGTGAAAGTTTCATAGATGCTTCGTGGCCGCTTGCAGACCACTCTACGGTCGTGTCGTGTCATGTCGAATATCATGTCGGTGTGAGCCATGCCACTGTAGCGTCTAAAACAGTAGCGGGGATGCTGCCATAAACTAAGCGTAAAATGTTATCTCTTTCGCCAAATCTACACCGAGGGCTCGGATGCAACTGGTAAACTCGTTGCGTAGTAGGCCGTTCTTCCAATGATCAGATGCCTGCAAAGTAAATAAACATTCACGGCCTAGGCACTCGAGAGCATTTAAAATATCACGTACGATGACGGGAATGACATATACCACACCTTCCTCAATCGAATTTACGACTTTCACATCACTGAGTGACTGGTTGGGGATAGCCGTAGCAGGCCCTTCTGGATAAATTACAGGTCTCAACGTTTGTGCTTGGGGATGAGAGTGTGATCCGCTACCTTCTCCAGGATCACCAGACCCTTCCAGAGAGTGTTCTGGGTATCGGAAAGTGGCATACCTGTACTGTTCAAGTTTGCTGATGCAGCTGTTGAGAGGGTACCATGTAAATTCCTCCTACATGACAGATAATTTGGCTAGTCATTAACCGCATATTGAAATTGTTTACGAATCATTCATACCGGATCAGCTAAATAAGAAGGCGAGTATTCGCCTTTATAACGCATCTTTGGACAAGAGTGGATATAAAACCCTGAGAATAGGGAGAAGATTAAATATGAATTGTGTGATGGCTTTTAGACTGAAACTAACCCATGTATAACGAGTCCATTGTCTGGGCCCCAGCTGCATGCATTTCTTGTATTAGAGATGCCTCTCTCATGGCGCTGAGCTACGATTGTGTAAGTTGATCTAAGTGACAGATATTCCTTCTCGGTCACCTTTCCTAGAGAATACTTTTCCCATTTTGCATCATAAAAGAAATATACGCTAGAAACACAAAAGGGGAGAATGTCAATGACACCGACGGCGATTAGTTCGTCATCTAGTCGGTATAACTGATGGTAAGAGCCATAGTCACGGGGAAGATGGCGAGGAACATTAGATGAGTCAGCATATGGTATAGGTTCAGGCTTTATGAGACAACAATTATTATGATGCAGAGTGAATCAGCATGTGTACCCACAACCAAAGGCGATTGCACTAGAAAATTCTTGAAACCCGTAGAACTGCTGTCAGGGTCTTGGTGTATCTGGCTTTGATACCTCCTGTAAAGTGCATATTTTTCATCAGAGTAGGACGCCGGTTCCAATTTTACCTGTAAACCATAACTTAGTGTCTTCGAAGAGGATTGGTCCAAGCAGACCTGCCTCAAATTTATGAGCTGCGCGTTCAGTTGACTTGAAACTATCTTCGGAGGCGTGTATTGAACTTTGAAGGGAGAAGGACAGTTGTTTTGTTGATGATTGAGGTTGTTTGTTATCTGAGTCCCTAGTGATATAAGGCCCTGACGTTTTAGCTTCCGAACGAGATGCCATGCATTAACGTACTGCTGGGTCATGGATCAGTTGATAGTCATGTATATGTATTGCATCGGCAGTTCTTACCAGTATGTATCGATTCCACCTTCAGGCCACTTCATATAAACGCCTCACAGCTTGATGCAAGTTCACTTACCGATTCACTACCTTTCTCTGGCTACGGGACGGTTTGTACTCAAGCGCATCCAACCTGATAAGGTACATAATGAGGTTAGGTACTATTCAGTGTTGAATAACCTTATCTGTGGACATACTTGATAGTATACTGAGGACAGCATGAGCGTCTCAAGTCTGGGGAATAGCAATACTTGCCTGATCTTCTCCATCCTCGGTCTATCATTCTTTGGTAAACCTGAAATGGGGATGAGCGCAATTCTGAGCGAGGTAAGTAGTGACTACAGTGTACATTACACGATAGCTTCACTGCCAGTAGACCAGCCTTCTTGTAACTAGTTTCGTTAATGCTCCTCCTGTGTTCAGGGGGTCGACAATAACCACATGAGGAGCTACCAGGACCCAACGCTTGTCCAATCGACAAGACAGGCATGTGTGTAGATGTATCTTCGTGCAATGTGAAGTCACGCAGGATCAGGATAGAGATATCACGTTTATACAGCCACAAACAGCGCATCAATGGCGGTAAACAAGGCCAGACAAAAGACGTCACTATCTGAACATACGACCCTGAGTGTACCAGCACTCAGTATAGTACTATACCTTGCAATTGGCTGCCTCTATAGTTTCTCTTTTCCCGCCAGTTGCACTATGTATTTGCCTGGCTTGACAACATTCTCTCTTCTTTCTTCCATCATGATCCCGTCCGTTTCTTGTGCACTGGCTGCTACAACGTACACCACTACCAATTTAGAGCGCAACACTGGCATATCGACGCGGGACGTCCTCAAATCTAGATACAATACACCACATTCCCTAGAAGATAACGATAAAAGCTCATTCGATCCCCGTGATGGCTGGCAGGCCGTCAATGTCTCTAACCTCAGTTACAAATACAATTCTAAAAAGAAACATCCCCGCTCTTTCCGCTCCCACTACGCCCATGGCAGGCCACCGGCGTCCACTGGCAATAAAACGGCCCATGCGAGACCTCACAGCGTAAATAGTACTCATAATACGGGTCCTGCGGGGAACAACACACAGGCAAACAGTAGCTTCAGTGGTACAATCAAGCATGTAATCCAGGACGCATGGAAAGGATTAACAGCAATGGGCAGTCCCGAGTCCGTTGTTATAACGTGGTGAGTACTAATATTTACCTGGAGCGTTAGAGCCGAATAGTTTTAGCCCTTTCGGTGGTAAACGTTTATGTTACGCTATACCGCAGGTACACAGGCAAGGATCTTGAAAACCCAAGCTGCTGGGACAAAAGTGCATGGACTCCTACGGTGAGCTGGTACCATGTCGTCACATTATTCCTAGACAGCCCGTCCGTAGGATACATCTTTTGTGGCAGCTCTCACCTTGGAAGGTTGGACTTCAAAGCCCGCGTGCTTTTCATTTATCGAACGTATGTTTACTGATTGGGTTTTGTGCCAAAGACTCACGTTGCGTCCTCCCAGTGTGTAATGGCCCCAAGACATGTGTTTTTGTCAGAGTAGTGGATTCATGCGCAGGATGTGCCAAGGGATCGAAACATGTTGATCTCACGAAGTCAGCATTCCGGTCTTTGGCGGAGCCCGCAGAGGGTATATTAACGGTGCAGATGCGAATGGCTTCGGAACCGCAAAATTGGCAAGTGCTTAATGGTTGCTTTCATGTACTGATCAAGCTAACTTCCACGATAGGTTCGTAGACTTATGGGGACCAAAAGAAAAGCTCAACGAGTAACACCAAGTGTACAAAACCTGCAGAGGCTTATCATCACATAGATTTGTAAACGCGACACCTCACCATCTGTACCCGAAGTGTATGATTTATAAACTGTATATTAGGTTGTAATGTTAACCCTTTTCCTTTTCTTTCCTTCCTCAATTTTCGCTTGAGCAATATCTTGATCAAAACCTTCACGCTCGTAGAATTGCGTCATTCGTTCGGTTTCAGTCTTTCTTTGGATGAACTGCAAGGCTGACAGGTTGTATCCTATGATATCCTTTTGACGTCGCAACTCTGCACGAAGGTGCAGCCGTAATGGCACGAGGGCTGTACGCATAACGCGGTTCGATACTATCTGATGATGATGAACCCTCAAGAGGAAAAACAAGATTCGCGAGACGAGAATGATGTTCCACCCCTACGCGATCATTAGTTGTGAGCATGACTTTAAATCAGTCAAATTTATAACTTGCCTTTTGTGCCCATACACTGAGATACTTCATCAAAGAGATAACCTTGTTAAATGGTATCACCAACAGGGCATCATGCAGGGCCGTAGTCGGAACTTTCTCTACAACTTTCAGCACGTATGCCTCCGGTTCTACGTCGTATGCCGCTAAAACTGGATTTCGTGGGGGAGGCAAGAGACCAGCAGCTTCAAGCGTGCCAACGCGAGCTTTCTGTTCTTCGTACTCTTGGAAAACTGCTGTTTCCTGATCTGCAAGATCGATCGCTTCCAATATACGTTCTCCTGCCATAAGTGTTTCTGTCGTTTGCTTGGTGACTTGAGTCACTTCCGGCTGATCTTCGCCATGTTTCCCGTTCTCGTTTCCATGTAACTGATCCGGAAGTTCCTTTTCGTACATGAGCTCCAACTCCCGTTCACGCTCCTCTTCGAGGAATAACTACGAGAAAGACGGTATTCTAGTGAGCTTGAGCAGTCGAAAATTAACCAGCGTGACTTACAGGTTCATCTAGTTTCTCCCAAACTCGTATTGATTTATCATGGGATCCCGTCACTACGAAATTACCGCGATGACTCAGTGCTAAAGCCCAGATTTCGCCATGATGTCCACGAAGTGTTTGGATGTTCGCGAACTACGAGGGACAAGACAAGAATCAGCATACGAGCGGATAACTAGAATAGACTTTTGACTAACTTTGTCACCGTCCCAATACTTCAACATTTTATCTTTCCCTACCGTCCAGAAATAGTGCGATCTTTTCTCAAAAGCTACCTGCATAATGCTGTCGTCGTGTGCAAATATGGACTTGTGACAATCTCCGAATTCCAATCCCCAGATCTTGACGTTCTTATCCGCAGAACAAGTCACGATGAGTTTTGAGTCATCTGATATATCCATAGAAAGAACAGGAAGCTAATGGGAATATGCACTTTAGTTTCTGAACACGCCAAGAAAAAAAAGGTTATGGCTAGATACCTTATGACCATATAGTGATAGGAAAAATTTCAAGGTATCTTGATAGAAAATTTTGACGGTAGAATCGAGAAGTGATACGGCCAAAAGCTTTCCGCTGGGGCTGTACTTAACTGATAATACTTCATCGCTCATTTTGAGAGTCCGGGCATGGATAAGTGTTGGAACCTGCGAAACACGTTACCTCTAAATCAACTTGGCTATGGATGTATGCGTACCTTGTTGTCTGAGCCTTCCTCATGTGCGAAATCCCAGAACTTTACGTCCTTGTCGGCTCCCCCGCTAACTAAAACCTGCTCGTCAGGGCGTACATGTAAAGACCACACCGATCCTTCATGAGCTTTGATAGTGTTGATAAGAGAGGACGAAGCAATATCAAATATCATGATCTCGCCAGCTTTAGTCCCTATGGCGAGCTGTGAGAATGGTCATGCACTATTAACACTTGCTCCTCTGCATGTGTGCATATCTAGTAGCTTACATGTCTATCGCCTGGAAAGAAAGTGCTACATATAGCATCTCCACAAGCCATTGTACGGATACATGCTGTTGACTTCATGTTCCATATTTTGAGTAATCCTGTGAGTCTTGATGAGGACATTAGCCGCAAAACTGGTATTCAATATATCTCACCATTTGAACCCGAGGCTAAGAGCTGGTCGTCAGAGCTCAGACACATGGTCCGAACGTTACTCCTGTGGCCCGGAATGTCGACAGAAAAAACCTTGCTGGCATCTGCAGCATCGTCTTCAGACTTCGTAGACAACGGGATCGCGTAGACCTCTAGAGAATTAGAGGCCAAAGCTGTCAGAAGCTGTGGAACTTGTAAGCTTTGGCTTTTTCTACATGATCTAGTATACATACATGAAGGCCTCCTTTCGTTCCACCTTGATTAATATCAAACGCAAAAGACCGGATTTTGGCGGTGGCTCGAACAACAATATGCGGCACGACGATATCAAGTAGTTTCACTTCCTGCTCAGTATCTATTGGATTTTCTTCCGCCTCGCCAGCGTTTTGAACACGCTGTTTCTTTTCCTTTTGCCGTTTAATTCTTCTTGCTTGCTTTTTTTTCACCTCCTCTTCTGTTCGAATGCGGAAAATCTCAACAGATCTATCGTGTGATTGCACCGCAAGGTACGGTTGAGAAGGGTGAAGCGTAACTTGGGAGACGCGGTGACGAGACGACAATGGGAGGTCAGCGAAGGGTAATATGGCCTTGTTAATCTAAGGTAGCTCCCCGTATAACCTATCAGCTTCTAGGCAAGAAGAAAGTAAAATTTACCTCGCCAGATTCAGCGTCTGTTAAACCTTGAGACAATGAAGCTAGTGAGAGTTTCCACACTTTCAGTTCTCCGTCGCTGCTACCGGTAAAAACGAGATTTTGTTCTAGATCTACGTCCATTGCCCATATTCCAGAACGATGAGCTACGACTGTTTGAACGCAATGCTGCGTCGACAAATCCCATAGTTTCATCAGAGTATCTTTGGAGGTCGTCAGTAGAGCGTGCGACAGCGAACCACCTGAAGTAGATGGCAACTCTGATTCCGATATAAAACGAATGGAAGTTATCTGGTCTCGATGACCACGCAGACTTGTAGAACATCATTAATACCATCGTAAGTCACGACATTGCGATGTACACACCGGTGGAGCCCAGATTCTGCAACGACGTCCCAGATAATCAAGTCCGTGTCCTGGGAGCCGGATGCCAGTCTAGTACCGCGCTCATCGAACGCAAGTGCAGTGATGGCTTTCGAGTGACCACTAAAAGTTGCGGTCACGGACCCAGTTGTACTGTCCCACAGACGGATAGAACCGTCTGCATATCCAACGGCAAACAGGGTATTTTGAGGGGCATCTATGATGCAAGTAACTTCTGCACTATGACCAGTTTCATGCCACATTGCGAGCTTCGGGCTGTAAGCTACGAGTGTAGGCTGCACAGAAATGACAAGCTCACCATTTGGCCTTTTTTCATGTCCCAAACTAAGACATCCTCAAGTGCGGGAACATAGGCCAATTTTTTGGAGTAAAATGAGTTTGAAGAAGAGCTGCAGACAAGACCAAAAGCCTATGGGACATAAGGATGAAGTGAATGAACATAAAAAAAGAACGAACCTGAGTTGGCCCATGCCGCAGATAGCTCTGAACCATTCCTGAAGAACTGCAAGAGGTGCGAGTGTTATGGGGAATGGAGCTTCCGACGGTAAATCCTTGCTCGAGAATTTTCAAATGAAAATCTATGCGTAGAGATGCGCTGACTAATACTAGTATCTGTGTGTGAAACTGTTGACGTCTCAGGGACTCCGCCCCGAGGAGTTCAGGTTGTCTACTGTGACAGCTGTACTCAAGCTACACCATTCTGTGTTTGTCTCGGTCACCACATTCCTCCCCCTAACCTAGTACAGCGAGGCTTCCTCTGGACCGGATGAAGTGGGGTCACTACTGGTCTGCAACTCTTCTCATTACCTTCATCGCTGTTCTCGAAGCACCAAGATGGTCTGCACACCATGGTGCATCAGGTATCGTCAAGGGCAGTTGGACTAAGGAAAGGAAAATACGTTTTCGGTATGTGTGTTTTTGTATCTTCGTAAGTATCCCAGGTTGTAATGCTGAGCAGTGACATGACTCGCGACTTGTGGTACCATGGTTTCGATCACTACATGACCCATGGTAGGTTTCCCCCCCCTTCTCCATGTATCATATGTTGTCGCATGTTTTAACGACTTATTAACGCGTAGCATTCCCACTTGATGAGGTATTACTACACTTATACACGTTGTTCAGTATTAACCATTTTGCCAGCTCTCGCCTCTCTCCTGTTCCGGAAATGGTCCTGACTGGGAAAATCCGTGCGTTTCACTCATACAGCTCACATACCATGTTATTACGCTAACCGTACAGCAGTTCTAATATTGCGCGCAATGACGTGTCGGGTAACTTTTCTTTGACTCTGATAGATGTTATAGACACTCTGGTGGTTATCGATGATCGGCGAGGATTTCAAAATGCCGTGCGCAACATTATAGACTGGGTCTCTTTTGACGTCAACACAAAACCTCAAGTATTCGAGACTACTATTCGTGTTCTAGGGGGCCTACTCTCTGGTCATATGTATGCAAGCCAGCCTAACCAGCCATTTTACTTACCGTGGTATCGTGGGGAACTTCTCGAAATGGCACACGACCTTGGAAATAGACTTTTGCCTGCTTTTGCTACGCCCACGGGCATTCCATACGCTAGGGTGCTTATCATCGTGTTTCTGGAGTATTCTGAGGGCTAATTGTTATAAGTTGAATCTTCGTCATGGGGTTTTAAGGGGTGAAACGTTGGAAACATGTTCGTGCGGTATTTAGATACCACGAGTTTTACTTATGAAGTCTTGTACGATAGGTACTGCGGGAGCCGGTTCACTCATTTTGGAGTTTGCGACACTCAGTCGCCTGACCGGCGACGATCGCTTTGAACAAGCCGCATACAAGGCGTTCTTCGCGCTTTGGAATCGTAAATCAAGTTTAGGCCTAGTTGGCAACACAATCAACATATGGACAGGGGTGGGTCATCAATTATGATCATTCGCACTTCCTATCCTAATCCCTCATTAAGACATGGACACAGCCCGAGATAACCGGGATCGGAGCAGGTATTGATTCGTTTTACGAATACGCACTGAAATGGTATATATTAAGTGGTGAGCCTGAACTTGCTTTCTTCCCTAGCTGTATATGTACCAGTTCCATAGGTGAGATCGAATTTCTGGACGTCTGGCAAGAAGCCTACGCAGCTGTTATGCGCTATGCCCGGTCTCCTGATGGTCATTGGGTGAGTGGTTTACACATCGTGCCTCCTGATCGGCCTGACAGCAAACGCACCCATTACAGTACCGTAATGTTAATTTGCATACTGGGGATATAGCATATGCTTCCGTCGACTCGTTATCTGCGTTCTGGCCGGGCCTCCAAGTTTTGGCAGGTGATATCCCAAATGCTATAAAATCTCATTTACTCTGTGAGTGTGAATCATTGCTCTAATGTTGTCTTTATTAAAATTTCCCATCGCTCAGACTGGAATATTTGGAAGCGACACTCTGGGCTGCCAGAAGTATGGGATGCCGGTTTTATGCAAGCAACGTCTTTCCAATTTCCCTTACGGCCCGGTGAGTGTGGCTCGCGTGGTTTATTCAAAGTACACACTAATAATCTTGCTTTACAGAATTCGTGGAATCTACCTGGTATTTATATAGAGTATGTCAGTTATCTTGATGGCATACTATTTTACTAACGAGCTCTGGAGGCTACACGTGATACCTTTTACCTGGATGTAGGAAAGCGTATATTGGAGGATATAACTATTCGAGCGAAAGTTGATTGCGGCCTCACGGGTATCAAAGATTTACGAACCAATGCCAGAGATGATAGGATGGAATCTTTTGTACTTTCGGAGACGTTGAAGGTATGGCGTGGATTTTATCTTTTCATGTAGCTTCTTATGTTTTTGGCAGTATCTGTATTTGCTTTTTGACGAGGAAAATCGTCTACACACAGACGACTCCAACTACGTTTTCACTACAGAAGGGCACATCTTGTCCCTCCCAGCAGATAAACTCAAGCCTTTGTCCGCGGTCCGTCGAAGGATGCGGCGGTTGGAAAACCATCAGTGTCCGGCTTATAGGTCGAAGCAAACCTTGTCTAGACATCCATCTCAAGAGGGGTTGGTGCAGGGTATCAATTATCGTGATGATATCGATTATTCTAGGCATCTTGTTGGGTCATCCCCTCAGTCGCAAGACGAATTACACTGGTCGCCCGACGGCTGGTGCGCATTACCCGACGCGAAATTATATGTGAAGATTTTCCTTCTCACACACTGCTCTTGTCTGATAGTTTCTTTTTTGTAGTCATACGACTTTGTGCTATCACATCATGGTATCGCTGTCCGTGAAGATATAAATCCAACCACGCGAAAACTCAAACCAGTGGATGATGGTTTTGTCCTGCAGAATATTTCTGGAATTAGAACGCGTATGGTTAGCCGCTTAGATGGCCTGGGTTATGACATCACGAAACGCAAGTCATCTCCCTTCAACGTTTTACATTTTCTGACCGTGTCTACAGTTGGACCTTATGCTGTTCGCACTGGTCAAGTAGTTTATGTCAATGATACATCCCTCAGTCGTTTCTCGGTTGCAGCCGTTTCCAACGATCCTCACCGCAGCTCTGACGTGGAACTTCGAATTTTTCTTGAAGGGGCAGATGTCACTTCAGGTGTCTCTATGACAGGATACAGGGCTCTCTTCGGTGGAGAATTTCTCACCAATGTGCAAGATGATATAGACACATCGCTAAATCGCCGCGGAGAAGGTTTGCACATCCGGCGGGACAGGGGTAATATTTTGGGATGCGAGCCGTATAGCCAAAGCCTTACTGGTGACGCTGTAATTGTATCCAGAGGCGATTGTTCATTCTTGGAGAAGCTCGTTCGCGCACAGGATGCAGGGGCTCGAGGACTCGTCGTGGTTAGCGATAGCGACCTACCAATACAGCCTTCAGCCGGGATAGATGAAATAGAGGCTGCAGGAGACTTGAGTGAAGTGGGTTTGGTGCTAGTCACCCAGACTACAGGCCAAATCCTGCTGTCTATGATGGATCAATATGAAGGAGAGGGCATGGAACATCTTTTGATCGCCATTCACTCCGAAAACAAGTCGACAGTCGCGGACCAAAAAAGTGATAGGATTGATGAGGAGGATGATGGACAGATTCTATACATCAATGGTCACCCATTGATAAACACTAGACTGCTAATATAACACTAAATCATGAATATACACATACTAGCCATCGTGCGCCTGCTGCAAAGTGGCAGACTTCAAGAGAGTAAAGATACAGAAAACAGGCTTGACGCTTTTCAAATACAGAGGTTGCTAACAGGGGTACAATATACGATACAGAAGCCAATATTTCAGCCCTCACCATGCATCATTTTCGTTCAGTAAAGCTTGAATTATTACATAAACATGTCTCCCTATAGTTGGATCAGCTTTCACACTCAATGGCTTATTTGGCATGAGACTTACCGCTCCAGGAGGCATGAATTCATCGTTGTCTGGTTCCCCAGATTGGTTTGCCCCAAAACCTCTACCTGGTCCGCCTCTGCGCGGGAATAGGGGTCCACCCCTTCCTGGTCCTGGTCCTGGGACTATGGGATCAAAGCGTGCACCAGGGGGAGCACCCATCGGAGGGAGAAACCCATCGCCACTCCATGGCCCCCGACGCTCATGTTCGCGGTCTCCAAAACCAAATATAGGATGTTCGGGGCCCACAAACATCCCATCCCCACCGTGTGGAGGGAATAAAGACGGGGGAGCAAATGGGTTGCTTGGAAATGGATCAAGGTCTCGTCGACCGATTTCGAGAGGGTTACGAGGGAACTGTGGCGGGAGACGGTAAGGACGGTCATCTGGATAATCAGGTGCCGGAGGTGGAACGCGGGCAGAAGTGCTGTCCTGACGGGGTGGATTGGCATTGGTGGAGTTGGACGACGAATCCTCAGCTTCCTCAGTGTAACCATCTTTTCGCAGACCTGGAATTAACCTTTGCACTATCTTCAATTTGAATTGTGACATGAGGTCGGCGATCCGATTTGACGAGATGAAGCCATGTACGAGTGGTTGTGCATCAGGCTCCAAGAGGTTATGCGGGTAGAATGACGGCGAAATAAAATCGTTGGTGCAAATGTCAAGTAACGCAGATTTGTCGCTCTTATGGCAGAATAGTGTCAGCGATACTGAATGAGGGGTTGCGTAATCGAACATACCTCCACAGCAATAGCATTGATGAGAGAGCGCTGACCAAGTTTAATCACTTTAATGACAAACTCTAGACTACTTTGATCGTGTTTGTATCTGAGGGTGCGGTCCACGAGCCCATGAGTGTTCCAGTCAGATGGAAGGACATTTCCGGGGAAATTAGCGGCTGGAGAGGAGTCATCTAGAGCCAGCAAGCGGAAGCCGAGGATAGAGAAAGCTGTATGAACGAGTGCAGCCAGAGCATCGTGTGGGGAGCTCAATGTTTTGCTTGACTGAGGAAGTAAAGTTGGAAGCAAGGAAATCAAGGCAGATGGATCGAGAGCGTTGGTAGACATGACAGTCAATCGCTAAGCGTACTGGCTAAAGATTTACTTGTCTTTAGGCCTTAGGTCAGCGCCTGGAAGTAAACACAGCCAAACAACAGCATTCTTCTTGTCTCCGGTCCACTGCGACTCAAAAGGAATCTCAGGGAAAAGAGGGCAATGGTGCGAAGAGATAGATCATACTCACCAGAGTCTTCCAATAAACGGGTAAGACCATCTCGTCGCTCTTCTCGGTCTCCCTCGCCGACTAGGCGCAATACCCAAAGAACCAGCACCAGGTCGAGGTACGACGACGACAGAGAAAGAGACAGAGACAGAGGACGGGACAGAGATAAGGACAGGGCAAGGGATAGGGACAGAGATAGAGACTGGCACCGCGACGACAGACACGACAGACGACGAGACGGTTACAGAGACGACAGGCGCGATGACCGCAGAGACGACCGCAGACGTTCTCGCTCCCCGGACCGTAAAGAACGGGAAAGAAGACCCTCACCTATTGTCAAGCCTCCAGTAGAAGCAAATGCCTCTGCCACTCCTCCTCCAGAAGATGAAAAAGTCAAAGCCAGAAAAGCTAAACTCGAGGCGTGGAAGAAGGAACGGGAAGCAAAGAAAGCTCTCGATGAAGCAAAGGCAAAAGCCATGGCGCTGGCAGGAAAATCTGTTGGTAAGTCCACATATTTTATCTCACCATTATAGATGCTGCACCATATTATCCCACCTTTCTAGCTCCCGTCCCCCCTTCTCCCGTTACACCCGCCGCTCAGCTTAATCGTGCTGCCCTTAATGGCCTTGGTTTGAAAGGTCTCCCCATAAAATCTGATGTACTGAAAACTGCAAAAGCAACAGCCGCAGCAGTAATGGATGACTCCGTAGAGACTAAACGCAAGTTGGAAACTCTTGGTGATATGCCTGCTGTTGACATGACAATGACTGAGGGGGAGGCTAGTGTCGGTGATCTAGAAATGGACGATGACGACGAGGAAGCCAATCAAATAGATCAAGCCATGAAAGTCGGCGCCCCGGATACCGTGGACGAGGACGAAGATGCAGTTGACCCTCTTGACGCATATATGACTGGTGTCAAAGAAGAGGTGAAGAAGGTTAATGCAGAAGATTTGAAAAAGATGGCTTCTGGCTTGGGATCTTCTCGAGTTCGACTTGACGAACGCATGGCAGAGGATGGTACCGAGGATGTGAATGAGGCCGTCGTAGAGGATGAATTAGACGCTACAGATCTTAACCCAGAAGATATTCTTGCGCTCGCAGCTAAGAAAGCCAAGAAAAAAGACCTTGCTGCTGTGGACCATTCTCGAATACAATACGAACCTTTCCGTAAAGAATTTTACGCTCCCCCTCCGGACATTGCAGCAATGACAGATGAAGAAGCAGAGCTGTTGAGACTGGAGCTCGACGGTATCAAAATACGTGGCATCGATTGCCCAAAGCCAGTCACGAAATGGAGTCATTATGGGTTGCCTGCAAGCTGGTGCGCTAGACATACATACATAACTCAACGTATAGCAGAATACTAAATCATCTATGAAGTTTGGATGTCATTAAACGACTCAATTATACTGCCCCAACTGCTATCCAAGCCCAGGCCATTCCTGCCATCATGTCAGGTCGGGATGTGATTGGAGTAGCAAAAACTGGTTCCGGCAAAACGATAGCATTCTTACTACCTCTCTTTCGACACATCAAAGACCAACGGCCCCTGGATCAGATGGAAGGTCCTCTTGCTATCGTAATGACACCTACCCGCGAATTAGCGGTACAGATACACAGAGAATGCAGGCCCTTCTTGCGGGTGATGAATTTGCGAGTGAGTACCAAGCTGTTGTAATATGCTGCAACACGGATTGACCACTCATCTAGGCTGTTTGTGCATATGGAGGTTCACCTATTAAAGATCAAATAGCTGAGCTGAAAAAGGGCGCTGAAATCATTGTTTGCACGCCAGGACGGATGATAGATCTGTTGACCGCCAATTCGGGACGTGTCACTAACCTCAAACGTGTGACGTATGTCGTTCTTGACGAGGCAGATCGTATGTTTGACATGGGATTTGAACCTCAAGTGATGAAAATCGTCAATAACATTCGACCCGACCGCCAGACTGTTCTATTCTCTGCTACGTTTCCCAAGCAAATGGATTCGCTCGCCCGCAAGATTTTGCGAAAACCTCTGGAGATCACTGTTGGTGGAAGGTCTGTCGTAGCCGCGGAAATAGAACAAATAGTAGAAGTTCGTCCGGAGGATTCCAAGTTTAACCGCCTGTTGGAAATCCTTGGTCAGATGTATAACGAAGATCCGGAATGTCGAACACTGATTTTCGTCGACAGACAGGAGGCTGCAGACAACCTATTACGCGACCTCATGCGAAAAGGCTATTTATGTATGTCCTTACATGGTGGTAAAGATCAAGTCGACAGAGACTCCACTATTGCCGACTTCAAAGCTGGTGTTGTTCCTATTGTCATTGCTACCTCTGTTGCTGCTCGAGGACTGGACGTCAAGCAATTGAAACTGGTAATCAACTATGATGCACCTAATCACATGGAAGATTACGTTCATCGCGCGGGACGAACGGGCAGAGCAGGAAACAAAGGCACATGTGTTACATTTATCACCCCCGAGCAAGATAGGTATAGCGTGGATATATATCGCGCATTGAAGGCCAGTAATGCATCGGTGTCGAAGGAATTAGAAGACCTGGCGAATGGTAGGTCCTTACGTTACTCGAGGTCCAGAACACCGAGTACACAGTTGTTTATTACTTTCCCACAGGATTCCTCGAGAAGCTCAAATCTGGGAAGGCGCAAGCTGCGGGCTCAGGGTTCGGCGGCAAGGGTCTGGATAGGCTAGATAAAGAGAGAGAGGCAAAGGATCGAGCCGAACGTAAAGCATATGGCGAGCCTGGAGAAGAAGAGAAGGTTGAAGAAGCTGCGAAGCCTGCTGGTCCAACTACTGCTGCTGCTGCTTCTGCTTCAGCTGACGATATGACTTTCGGCAACTTCAAGGTGGAAATCAAGCGGGGCCCCGCTCCTGATTCTTCAAAGGGCTTGCTTGGGGTTGCAGGGGCTGCCGCTGCCGCTAGACGCCTTGCTCATGCTAAGGAAGAGGAGAAGCTGCAATCATCTATCAGAGCGGCGCAAGAAGCCGCTGCTCGTGCGGGCAAGGACACCGCTGCGCAGAAGCAGGCGCTCAGCGTCATAGCCAAACTCAACGCCCAAATGAAGGCCTCGAAACTTGTTTTGCAGTCTCAACTCCAACACCAGGATGATGGTAGCGGGAGGAAAGTCAATCCTGACTCAACCGACTTCCATGCCATTATACCTATCAACGACTATCCTCAAAAAGCCAGATGGCGAGTTACGAATAAGGAGACCATGGTTCAGGTAAGTGGTGATGATATACTGAATGTTGTACATGTCTTAACTGTCACCCCCTAGCTCATCGATATGACGGGCGCTTCGGTGACTAACAAAGGTCGGTTCCGACGGAAGTTGCGTGGGTACCAAATTACTGATAATTACTACACAGGTATTTACTACGATAGCGGGAAAGAGCCTCCTCCCGAAGGTCCTCCGAAATTGCATCTGCTCATCGAGTCTAACGAAGAGTATAGGGTAATCATAAAACTCCTATGTACGTTTTTGCCCAGGCTAATCATTCCGTATTAGGTTGAGCAAGCTGTGCGCGAAATCAAACGGTTGCTCATCGAAGCATCAGCTGCTGCACTGCAAGCCGAAATGCGCAATCCCACTGCTGTATCGGGTAGATACAGCGTGGTGTAGAAGGATGGGGTGTTCCGTCAGGCAGATAGTTTTAGTCTTTGCCACGCTCTTGAAACGTACATTACTGACGCGGTTGATGTTATGACGGATAGCGAGAGACCTGTCGAACTACAATACTTGTAATATATTATCTTGATAGTTGGCTGGCCAAGCGGCCAATTTCGAGACGGTGACTTGGTGTATTCCGAGGCGGGCAACCGCGAGTAACGGTTAAATGTTTACGTATGGGGGAATGAAAGGAGCGAATTACGTGAGAGAGACAAGTTTACTTTGATGTGCCCGCATGCTGGAGGCCTGTTGGGAGAGATCACCGCGAATTACGATGGGTTAGAGGTGCACGGGTTGCCTGGAGCTCAAAGGTCCGCGAGCCTTTATAATACCGAGTTTGTGTGCGGGCCGGAGTTGTACGGTGTTATATGGGCTGGTGAGTCAAAAACATAGAGGTCAGCAATAGGTGGGAGTCCGTTTCAAGTCGGCTTCTGTCGGGGATATTCATGTAATATGCCAGGCGGCGCGATATAAGTAAGGACTTGCAAACAAAACCGGTCGTCCGAGATACCTCGTCGTTCTTCTTCACCACGGTCTCGGTCACGATTTGTACGATGTCTTCAAACAAGCATCCAGTGCTGGATACAGCCTCTGTTGCAACATCCTACACTCACGTATCCGATGTCCCTAATCCAGTGGTTAACCCAATTCCGTCCGGTGGAGAGGGCGAGTCGGCGATACCAGAGGACAAGGTGGAAGAGAAAGTTGAAAACAAAGAGGAGGACTGGGAACACGATCCCATCAACCCACGCAATTGGTCATCAGGCAAGAAATGGACAGCTACAGCGATTGTAGGTGTATGCGTTAATTCTTGTCTATTTGATTCTGAATAATTATCAAGGTATCTTTTTACACATTCGTCACTCCCCTAGCGAGTTCGATGATGGCACCTGGTTTACCAGACCTTGCTATAAAATATGATATCACGAACCCCACGATTATTGCGTTGACACTTAGTATATTCTTGCTGTCTTTTGCTATTGGTCCTTTATTTTTGGCCCCATTGTCAGAAATGTATGGCCGTGTATGGGTGTGTTGGATTCAATGCCACGAACACTGCACAAACTTAACGCCTTTTACAGGTACTCCACATCGGGAATATCGTATTCCTTGCTTTTAACCTCGGCTGTGCTCTGTCACCTACATCGGGTGCATTCATTGCTTTCCGGTTCCTTTGTAAGTCATTTGTCCTTTTTACAGCCAGTGCTCGTCCTGATGAACACGAAAAAGCTGGTTTTGCTGGAAGCGCACCCATAGCATGCGGCGGTGGGTGCATTGGTGACCTATTTTCAGAACGTGATCGTGCATCCGCCATGGCCTTGTATAGTCTTGGTCCTCTTATTGGTCAGCGATAATCATCTTCACCATCAATATATTGATGATTAAGCGGTAAACGTCTACAGGCCCAGCAGTTGGACCAATAGCGGGAGGTTTCATAGCCCAATACATTGGCATACAATACGTGTTCTACATCATCGTCGGCCTATGTGGGGTAGCGTCTGCGGTCGCCATACCTTTCTTAAAGGAAACTTACGCGCCGGTCATCCGCCTGCGCCGCATGAATAATGATCCTGAGAAGTTAGCTCAAGCGCCTGCTGTTGTTCTTCAGCACGGTGGAAAATGGAAATACATGTGGATCAACCTCAGCCGACCTGCTATCCTTCTGACTCGCAGCTTTATCTGTTTTATATTGAGCTTGTATATGGCACTGTAAGTTTTCCTAGCATCGTTCACTAGAAGGTAGTCTGACGTTTATTTTCTACTGCAGGATGTATGGTCAGTATCCCGGTCTCGAGGCTTCTCTTTGTGTCTGGTTCTCATATCTGTTGTCTCAACAGGTATCTATTACCTTATGTTTGCCACTTTCCCAAGTTAGTACGACAGTCCGTCATGAAATAATAAATGCTGACTATGTACAGCTCTTTTCAGCGGTGTATACGGCTTCAGTGTCGGTATCAGTGGTCTGGCTTATATCGGTCTTGGACTGGGATTCGTCCTTGCTACCGCCTTTGGTGCCAAGATATCTGATCAGGTATATTTACATGTACGTCAACATCTTTTCTTCCTTCTTGGGACCACTAAGTCGTGCTTATGCATCATTGATTTATAGCTGGCCGATAAAAACGGTGGAAAGGGAAAGCCGGAAATGCGAATCCCTTCGCTCATATTTGGATCGTTTTTCGTGCCGATTGGTTTATTGTGGGTGTTGAAGCCATCGTGAGAGTTCTTTGACTTATGCTTGACCCATACCCAGCTGGTATGGTTGGTCTGCGCAAGCTCGAATTCACTGGATCATGCCTATCATTGGAACCGGGTTCTTTGGCTTTGGTTTGATGACAACATTGTTTGTACCACCTTTTTCCCCTTGCGAGGTCTCCACTGATAGTCTCCAATCTAGCCTTCCCATACAGCTTTATCTGGTCGACACGTTCACATATGCCGCCAGTGCCCTAGCGGCTGCATCTGCAAGTGTTATCTCCTTCATCAGCTTCGTAATTATATTAACTTATCTCTAGGTATTCCGGTCTATGCTCGGATTTGCATTCCCCCTCTTTGGGACGCAAATGTACGACGCCCTCGGGAATGGTGGTGGAAACTCTCTTCTCGCCGGATTGGCAATTGTCATTGGTATACCGTTTCCAGTGTGGATTTACTACGCCGGAGAACGAATTCGTTCTAACAGCTCGTTGGCACGATCCTAGTCTTTCTTGGATTCGGGTTGAACAGGTTATAAGATATCAAGCATTTGCAGAGAGATCCCACTAGGTTTCTCCCTGTGCTGGATATTATCAGGATTGAGAAGTCGAAGATAGAGAATACTCCTGCAACATTAGCTGTGTCATAGACATTACAGTTCAGGACAGGCACTACGTAGTTTATTATTGATGATAGCAACATTATACGAGATATCGTGACCCTTACAACGGGATGGCTGTAGTGAGCCTCTTAAAGCTCGTGCTCCTCCTAGCATACCTTACAAGACTATTCTTACAGTCAAATACATCAAATTACTGCAGGGTGTTGTGGATTTCACTTAAAAGAGTTCTTGTTGTAGACGACATATATGCATTGTAGATTTTGAATACCATATATTCATATGCATAAGTTCAATCGTTGAGTGCGACATAGAAATACTACACTTGTGTTGCCAATATGGGCAAAAGATGCTGAGTCATTACACCGGGAAGTAAATCAGGGACCTCATGAGTTAGCAACGCATGTGTATACCGAGGAGGAGGGATTCAAAGCGTATGATATACAGCGCCAGAATACGATAAGATTTTCTACACAGATTCGAGGATCTCCGGCTCCTTGAAGTCCTTCACAATCCGCGTGCCCGTCTCCTATAGATGCAAATTAATATGGGGTAGTAAGAGATAACAGAATGAGACTAACATCAGTCGACTCTCCATGAAGCTCAAGCAACTTGGAAACATCGAACTTCGGTGCCTTCAGAATCTTGGCTTTCCGCACGTATACGTTTTGCAGAGGGTAGATGCTGCGAGCAGCTTTTTCGATCTCCCGGCCAATAGCTTCTGGCACGAACTTCTGTACCAACTCCTTCAAATCACAGCTCGTTGCTTCCCGTGTCATGATCTCAAACATCTTCTTGCGAATCTCACGAATCTGACTTGTTTGGGCATATGTTGTTTTGCGCACTTGATTTGGGCGACGCTTGGTGAAACCGATAGCAAAGAGGCGGATGAGGTAACCGTCAGTGGTCTTGACGTCAACGTGGGCTTCAATGAGTGATTGCCATTTGCGAACGAGCGAGCGGAGCTTGTCAGACGTGAAATCCATGCCGTGGAAGTTCGTGAGACAGTTTTTGCCCTGAACTTCATCGATGCGCAATTTTATTTTGCGGTAGGACTGCTCTTCATCTTTGTTCAAGTCAGCCAAAGACACCTCAACGATACGGCCCTTCAAAGAGTCGTTCGCATTTTCTACAAAGGATTGAGACTGGAGTTTTATGGATTCATGGAATGAACTTACTCAGGCCCTGTGACCGGTTAACGAGGGTCTTTCCGACATTCCGTACTTCAAAGATCGAGGGAGCCTTGATGTCATACCACTCTGTAGACATAACCATTACAACAATCTGAATACAAAAAGCTGATGTACCAACCTTTGCGAGAGAAGGGGTCAACGACCTTCTTCTTGATACCCTTCTTACCTTTCGACAAACGCTTATTCTGTGTTATAGAACTTGATTAGACAGACTGTACGATTGCTAGAGATGGTTGAAGTGCGTACTTTTCCTACAGCCATATTGAATTACGAGATACCTGAGCAGCGAAGGGCGACTGCTTGTCTTCAGGCCGTGCTTGAGCTTGATGGTGGATTGGTCGCAAATTTGACCATGTGAACGCGCCACCCAGCTATGTGTGGCTTGAACCTTAATTTAGTCCTATACTGTGCATTCGCACGCCACCTTGTCCTTTGTCTCTGCCATGAAACTTCTGACCCGCGCTCAATTCGATGAAGCATGTAAATCGTTCATAGCAAAACATAACCGAGGATGGCTTTGGCGGGAACACACAGTATGCTGTTCGGCCTGGGCTTTGGAACATTCACTGATCGGCCCAGTCTTTACTTGGCTTTGGATACATGTTTCGAACTGTCAGAGTCACTAGGCGACCAGGTCCTGTGATCATCGATCACACCGTATCTGACGAATATTCAGAACTTTTGGAACCTTTGGGCGAAGACGAGGCCGTTCTATCAATTCCGAGCACTACTTCATCTGTCGATTATGTCTGCCAGCAATACGTGGTCTTTTCGGCCACGTTCCAGGTTCCCGCCTTTTACTTCTCTATTCACAACTCAAGTAAGGGGACTCCTTCCCCAGCAACTGAAATATCGTTGACAATGAACCGCAGGTGGCGAGCCACTGCCTTTGTCCGAGATTTTGCAAACGTCTCTTTTGCGTCCTTCTACCATATATGAAGGCAACGCAACCGCGTTCTCGTTGAGTACACCAACATCAACGTTCCCTCTTATATCTCAGGGTGAACATCCGACGTTTGGTATGCCGTGCTGGTATTTTCATCCTTGTGAAACGGCGTCAGCTGTCTGGGAGATAGTGAGCGAAGTACGAGAAGATGACTGGACCGATGCGCAGGTTTTTGCAAGATGGGTAGAAGTCTGGTTTATGGTACTGGGTTCAGTCGTTGATCTACATGATTAACCATCGTTCTATTCAGATCTCCACTTTGATAAATGTTGTATTGTAGACTACTGTACAAACATCGATAACACCACTCGTAGGGTCTGACCAAGTCTAGAGTAATCAATTGTCAAATTGTCAAACTCATTGTTGACGCCCTCAAGTAGAAAGCTACATTTCCCGAAGTCGCTGAGACCTGAGCGAGGATATGAACAGTTATCCGAATAAAAGGAGACTTGGCCAAATATTTCAAGTAGCAAGGAATATGCGATACATGGATCACGAATCAGCTGTGCTCCTCTCGCAATGGTGGTGGCCGTGCAAGTGAAAGGTCCAGTTTACCGGCTAAATCAGCAACCTCTTGTTCTAGTTCTGCAATTTTAGTCCGGCTGCATTGCGAGTCGAAATGTAAGTTTGCGCGCACATAGGTAAAAGACAAATACATACTCGATATGTGACCGTTCTCCGAGCTCGAAAGCCTGAGAAACCCCAAGCCCTTGAGATTTTTCTAATGATGCGACTCTCCATTTATTTTCTTTTGTTATCATTTCTGTCAAGTTGGGAAGAATGCGATCATGTTCCCGCCGGAGCTGCATTGGAATACCATGTTTTTCATAGATTCAAAAAAGAAAAGGAGAATGGTGACTAACCAGAGATGTTCGAGCGGCCAAAGATCCTTCGTCATATCGTCCTTCTCCAGCGAGCTCCATCTTCATCCTTCTTAATTCTTCAAACCACTTTTTCTCGTATTCACTGAGTTCCGGAGAAGCTTGCTGCATCATAGACTGAAGGATACGATCTAGGCGTGTTAGGAGGACTTTATGCGTTGCTCGAATTCTTTCGATCTGAGCTCGAGCCACGTCATGTCGTGACGACTGAAGGTCGTTTATCAGTCCCACCATTTCACGGCATTTATCTTGTTGTCGCGAATATTCTTGTTTCTGAAGAGCAAGCCGCAGGTCAACAGCCTTGTAGGCCAAGAGCGTGTCGTGTATTTGAGAGGTGAAGTTTGCTACAGTCGTCCCCAGGTAGCGTAGCGTATCTGGGGTCAGGGTGAATTCAGCTTTACTCTGTTGAGATCCAATAGCAAGACGGGCATTTGAAGGTAAGCCCAGAGGACGAGACAGAATTGGTGGCGGCGTGAACGATCCGGTGCCAAGCAGAGAGACATAGGCAGGAGGCTCTGCAGTAGACTTTGACAATCGCAGTTCAGACGTTTTATCCGGGGTATTTGGGGGCTGAGGCTGCAAGCTGGAGTCATCGGAGCGCAAACTGAGGGGAAACGACGTGATCCTCATAGCCGAAGTCAGAATAATGATGCTATACGTCAAGTAAATGTCATTGGGAACCGATACAGCAATTACGGGATTAGAGCATCTATCACAACATTATTATTATTAAAAGAGAAGTTGACGGAAAAAGCTGTACTGACTTTCGTTCAACAGAGAAAGTGTTCAAAATTTGTGAAACCCGGGTGCCTTTGGAATTTTGCAGAGTTTTTGTCAAGCTACTGCCTTCTATATCACCTTCAACGCGAAGAGCAGCAGAGAGACTGCGGAGAAGAACGCCAAAATCCAAGACGTTGACCCCAAATGCATGATATACATAGACAACGTCGTCATGAATGGGATCCATATGGATAACAGGGTAATTCGTCTGTAATAGGCTGACAGGAAGGGCATTTTGAGACGAACTTTGATCGAGGGATGCTATTAGTCCGAGATCAATTGATTCGAAGACGGCAAGCATCGGTAACTCAGAATGTGGGTGCTGCGATGATCAAAGGACGTCAGGATCAACCAACAACATGCCGATTCCAGTTGTACGAACCTGCTTACTCTCCCATCTTGCTTCAACCTTTTCCACATCTAAATAAACGTCAACCTTTCCATCTTTGTAAGTCACTACAACCACGCCGAGACGCTCTGTCTCCCCTTCGTCATCTTCTTCATCACCGTTGACGAATGCTATATATGCTATGTCAGTGGCATCCCCTCCTTCACTTCCATGCAAAGTGTGAGGTGAAGGTTGTAAGAGAAAGGGGCCCTGTCGTGCTGGATGGTTTTTAATTGTTGTAGGAGGATGCATGAGGACCGAACGTGACACCGCTGGAAAGACGGTCCCTGGTGGAAGCTGCTTGATGAGGGCAGACACATATTGACGCTGGTAGTTGTAAAGGGTGGAGTGGGCGGGTGTAGTTTCTGCACCACCCTGAGATAGAAACTCCTGCTTGGCTGCTATGAAGCATTCCAAAGCATGTATATATGAGGTTGGAATTGATCTATATCTCTCCATTAATCACTATAAGTGGTGGATTATGATGAAAACATACGCATTTTTCGGCATATAAGGACATATCGAATAGATGTCACCCGATTTCATGACGGCGTAGACCGTTAACGGACCCCAGTCCGCTATACCTTTTCCAAGCGTAAAGGAAGCAACCTCTCGTTCGGAAGGATCTTCGGCCAAGTATGACTTCGTTTTCTTGTCAGGAACAAAAGAAAGAATTTGCTGTGGTTCATCGGTATCTACTGAAATATCATATTCACTGATACGAGACAATTGGAATTAAGACACACTGAAATCGTCAGCACATACCGTAGCTTCCCGTCAACTGTCATGACCATAAGGGTAGAACCCGCCTCTCCCCAAGGATGCCATTCAATTTTGACGACTGGTGCAGAAGAGCTTGAAGCATGGTAAAACTGTCCTACTGATATGGACCTGAAGTCTGGCGTTGAGTTTCATAGCGAGATTTCGGATTGTTACAACGTACTTGCACTCGATTGAAGTTGGAACAAGCTTCGCATACCCTGCTCTAGGAAGAACCACAACAGCTACCTGTGAAGCACCAGCGACCGCCAATAGTTTACCACTCGGATTCAAAGCCAACTGGTGAATCTCAAATTCGATGCTGGGGGTCTTGAGAATCTGCCATTGACGTTCTTATAAGATTGTGTCTATTTAAATGTAGGGATTGCTACCTTGCTCGATCTTCCTGCACTTGAACCAAGCTTTGTGTCACCGAGTGAGGTCATCCTCAGCTCCTTCCCTACTGCCAGAACAAGCTCAGCGTCTTTGAGTACCATGACCTGCCGCCTTCCCGATGGTGATGGGCCATTTTCGACTGATTCTACGCCGAGTTTTGATTGAATTAGTTTCTCCACCTCCAAACCAACATCGTCTTTATCACGGGTACTGCTAGCAAAGGTACGATGTTTAATAAGGATAATAGTCACTGGGATTTAATGTACTGACCCAGAATTCTCCACGAGTTTGTTAGCATAATCGACCTTCTAGGTGCATCTGAGCTCTCGGGAGCGAAATTTAGACCAAAAAAGATAACGAACCTGGGATATGCGACCATCAGAAGGATAAAGTAGCCCTACCGAAGTCATGTTCAGACTGATAAATGGTGGTGAAGGTCGTAAAATAAGAGTATGTATGGGCACGAATTAGTACATATGAGCAGAGTCGAGCTTGGTTCGAATAGGAACACGCCTGGCTCGCCACAGCTTGGGCTCGGTTCGATTGGGCCTTTCTCACAGTGTATGGTACTGACGCGTCGCAGTAGTTGCGCGTCCCGACAGCCTCAGTATCACTATCTGTACTCTTTATATACGACTGTCAGCAAATAGTCCATCTGCATCAACATGACTTCAATTGGAACAGGTTACGACTTGTCCGCCAGCACATATTCTCCTGACGGTCGGATATTCCAGGTAAGCTATCTCGTGATCTCGTTATTATTCAGTACACTCAAATACATATGCAAGGTTGAGTATGCTAATAAAGCAGTGGAGAACTCTGGGTCAGTAAATTTAATGCCAGTAGTGCATATATGTCTTGATTTCTGTGTTCTCCCAGTACTGCCATAGGACTGCGCGTCAAGGATGGCGTTGTTTTTGCTGTGGAGAAATTGGTTCACTCGAAACTCCTTGTACCTGGTGCCAATCGACGCATTCAGAGTGTGGACAGGCACATCGGGCTAGTAAGTTACCACAAATATCCCTATATAGCCTACTAGAGGTTGTGATATCTCAGGCTACTGCAGGCCTCCTAGCAGATGGGCGCAATATATCGAATAGGGCTCGTGCCGAAGCAAATGATTTTCGGGAACTTCACCGTTCTGGCATACCACTTAAGGTATATTTATATCACCATTGCGGATAATACGTCTCACTTTTGTTTCTGGAAAGGAAATGACGAGTCGGATAGGTCAATACGTCCAAGTCTACACGTTGTACTCGTCCGTTCGTCCGTTCGGAATCAGCACAATCGTTGGAGGTGTTGACAAGGATGGGCCATCATTGTATATAATCGAGCCAAGTGGTGTTTACTTTGTACGTAGATCGCACATACTGCTCTTGCATACTTATAGGACTAACCGTTACCTGCAGGGGTATCACGGTGCGGCGGTGGGCAAGGGTCGCCAGCTTGCAAAGACAGAACTGGAGAAGCTCAAGCTACAAGAGATGTCGACACGAGAAGCTGTTCTCGAAGCCGCCAGAATGTAAAATATCTCAATCATTATATCTGATCTCCATACTGCACGCTGACATCTATATTACAGAATATACCTGGTACATGACGATGCTAAAGAGAAGGAATTTGAGCTAGAGATGTCATGGATTGGTGATGAAACAAATGGCTTGCATTTAGCCGTTCCAAAAGATTTGCTTGATGAGGCGGAACAAAAGGCTAAGGAGGCACTGGAGACTTTCGAATAAAGATGTAGTTATTGTAATGCTATACACTGTGCCAATGATGAACTACTGAAGAAATCTTTTGCCAGCTAATGCTTCCTCATTCGGTCAGACAAAGACAAGGTATCTATACAATTTGCTCGAGTTCTCGTGCATAAGCTAGGGAAGCGGCTATAAGCTTCTGTCTGGGTATTTCTATCTTGTCATCGCCTTTTCGCGTAAATGTAACAGTGCTCTCTACCAGGCTTACTTGCCATCCACGCTATATATGCAGACCTGATTAGTTGTTAATCATTAAAGTGGCCATTTGGCTTACCTGTTGTGCGAAGGCGACTACTTCATTTATAGTAGAGAAGAACAACAAAGTAGCCGCATCTTTCAATGGTAAGCTGTCATAAGCCATTTCCTCGCAGCTTGCGATTTCATTTCTACACTCGTCATGTCAGTACTGACGCAAATGATGAAAGGGTAATCACAACATACCGAATTGTACCCATCAGACTGTCAATGAAGAATTTGTACTCCTCTGCGGGTGCTTCTTCTCGGGCATTCCACACCTTGCTATAGCTGCCTTCCATTAGCCATCTCTCCAAATTAACGGGATGTCTGATGTAAGGGTTGGCATTGATTTCATCTGCAGGAAGAGGTAGAGACTCTAATGCTGTGTGAAAGTCGGCGATGCGGTTTTGAGTTAAGAGACGAATTAAGTGGAGGCCCCGGATGGGAAACTCGCGTGGAGACGGAGGCATAATTGAGCTGATAAGACCATGAGGAATACGCTAGCAAGAAACAGAACCACTATACACACCTGAAGTCTGTGTAAAATGTTTGTAGCTGGGAGAAGTAGCGATCGAATGAGGGAACATTTTTTGTCCTTATACTCCAGAAAGCACCAATTTCGAGAATATCGCCTAAATACAGTTGTAGTGCATGGTCAGGTTAATCGCAGCACGACGTACGAGTCATTACTATATCCTCTAGCTTTGGGTTCTCCTGGGGAAGTAGGAGGCCATTATCTATCAAACCAATCTTTCAATTGAGTGAGCGGTGGTAATTCAGCCAACATAGTGGTCTACAAGGTACCTTGAGCTGCGCCAGCAAAGACCCGCATTTGCTGAGGGTGTTGGCATCGGAGAATCTTGATTCGAAAGTACGTTGCAGTTCCTTGTGGAGAGAAATGAGTTGTTGAGGAGGCATGGTTGTAGCAACTTTGACGAGATTCAAAGAATGAGACACGCGTCCAAGAATCGAGGTCACGCAAAGACGCGTCAGCCCGCCACAGCCCAAACTCGAAGTAACCGCGGCCACTTATCGACACCAGCTCAAGCCCCTCCCACCACATAAGCTTTTCTTACTCCTTCAGTCAACCATGGAAAGCGTAGGCGTAGACATGAACCGTCTCAAGAGTGGGGAAGTAAACCTCGGTGTGCGTGAATCCCTACGAATCTACGGTGTAGCGAAGTGCTTACTTGCATATACAGACATCTATCATGGCCGTTCAGTTCGATCGCGGGGTCGTCATCGGAGCAGACAGTCGTACCACGACTGGAAGTTATATCGTATGGATTTTACTGTCGACTTCTCCTGCTAAACTCACACCAACGTTTGACAGGCTAATCGTGTAACAGACAAATTAACCCATGTCCACGATCGTGTATATTGCTGTCGCTCAGGATCTGCTGCTGATACTCAGGCCGTAGCAGATATCGTACATTTCTATCTGCAGCAGTACTCGTATGTCTTACGTCTAATTCTCGCCATCGTCCATGAAATTAATACTCTCTTAGCCAACAAAGCGGTACTCCTCCACCCGTACACATAGCAGCAGCAGTCTTCCAGAAACTCTGTTACGAAAACAAGGATGCACTGAGTGCAGGAATTATTGTGGCCGGCTGGGATAAGGACGTAGGCCCAAGCGTGTATAATATCCCTCTTGGTGGTGGTCTCTTCCGACAGCCATGGGCTATTGGCGGTGAGCTTTTCTCTCATCACCATCTAACTATTTATTTTTGGTCTAAACTGTATCATAGGATCCGGGTCCACATACGTGTATGGATACTGCGATGCTACTTACCAAGAAGGTTGGGGTAGGGACGAAACTGTCAACTTTGTCAAAAACAGTAAGTTTACCATGCAGTTGCCTGTAGTATCGTATTCTCACCGACTTCGGTTGTTCTTTAATATCAGCCCTTTCGCTTGCCATGTCGAGAGATGGCTCCTCAGGTGGTGTAATCCGTATGTGTGTCATAACAGAAGAGGGCGTTGAGAGATTATTTGTCCCCGGTGACCAACTACCGAAGTTTTGGGAAGGACGTGAAGTACTTGGAGCTGCGGCTAAGAAGGTCCTGGAACCAGTCCCCATGGCTGTCGAATAGAATCATAACCTGTAATTTAAAAAATGCGTGTTTGTCATTTTCTCAGATTGGCCAGCATGTTAGACCGGCCCTTTCGATTAGCCCCAATTGAAGGAACATAGTCTGTATTATCCTCAAGTCCATGAGTTATTATCCTCTTGTGCTCATTATATTCTCCAATTCTTGTTATAATTCAACCTCCACTCCTTATTGATCTCCCATCCTTCATTGCCATCACTGTCGCCTTGCCATGCTTCCCCTTCCCACATTCTTAATCGCCATAATGCAATCGCCAAGGCAGCCGTATCACCTCTCTTCACAGTACGATCGTCAGAAGTCAGTAGGAATGCATGACTTCCCTTTTCATCGCTATTAGTTGATTTTGTGAGCTCTTTACTAGATGGGTCAGGGTGCGCGTGTGTCCGCCATCGCGCCTTACGTTCCACAGCCAACAGCTTACACAAAGCAGCATATAACACTGCACGTTGTGGTGCTGAGGGAAATAGAGTTAAACCGTTATATAAAGGCACCTGAGAGGTCGGTAGCAGATCAGGGAAAGGAAGGTCCTTCGTATCGAAATTATCACATGGATAAAGGGAGGAGAGTGGAAGGGGTCGCCGTGAAACCTCGGAGTCTGGATCCTGCAAATCAACTGAGTCCGAATGGTCTGGTTTCATTGAAGCGCTTGATTTCAGTTTGGTTATAGGATCTCGATTGAGAGGTGGTACAACGAGTACCGCTGCAGCGCCATCATGCTTGATTAAACCATTTGTACGCACTGTTTTCCATTCGGCGCGAGTGAGCCTCCGAAGGACCATCGTTTCCGTAGATCCACGAGGAGAAATCCGTAGACTGTCGGCCAGCACCTCAAGCTCTTGTAATACCCGAAGCCGTAATAGATGTCCGATATGTGAATCAAGAAGAGCGTGCACCGAAAGATTAGCAGCAAAACGACGAAAAGGCTCTATCCGTACATAATAAGTGAAACAGCGATCGGAAGAGAGAAGAGACTCTCACTTCGCTCTTGAAGTTGCTGGACAGCTGCTTTCCAGCAAATCATATATACTCCTGTGTGACCTTTTCGAGCCTTGTATTGAGGGTGTTCAAGTCCATCAGGTAATAACGAGGTAGCACGCGTCGCTTCCAAGTCCACTCGCATGGGGGTCAATCGAATGAGAAAATCTTGGAAATAAGAAAGGTTGGTGGGTGTCTGATATCGCTAGAAGGAAACAACTCACCAGATGGTAAGAATCTGCGCGTGACTATACATTGACGCAAGGGGGTAGATAGCATTCTGACTACCAAATAAGCGGAAGGAACGATGTTCCATCGCAGACAAAATAGACATACGGTATGGACTTGACCAGTATTCGCGCTCAAGAACCGTCATACTCCTTGGACTCGCATGATCTGGATCCTCTGTGAGATGGCGACGTCCTTGTACTCGTACTCGAGGAGGCGCTGATTTGTGCCGTGCACGAGTCCGAGGGTTGGTGATGGGATTCAAAGGGTCCAGAAGTATGGACTGTGTTCTGTTGACCAGAGAAAATGAAGCTGCAGGCAGCGAAGGTTTTCTCGAGTTTTTCTTGGTTTTCTTCGAAAAGCGTGGATTATTTTCTCGACCTCCTTTCTTTTGAGCGGGGAGCGCATTTGCCAGTATTCGTAAGAGACGGGGAAGAAGACGGGGCATGTCGCTTGCACAACCCAAGGCTTCAACGCGTTGGACAGGATGTGCTGGTGTACACTGTAATGTTGCAGCGAAGAATTATTTCGGAGACTCAGTAAAGTTACAGTCTGACACACGGAAATTAGAGGTAACAAGAAAGGGTAAGACCAACTGCGTAGCTCTCGCTATCGGCAACAAATAGTGGTGGTAACGTTAGGTTTTTTCCAGCTTTCCAACATTATATACCTCATGTTCTTTTGTGTATAAACCCATGCAGAAATACTCAAGCTGCCGGATTATGGTTCAAGTTATCAGCGAATCGAGTCACCAAACAGGTTTGGAAAGCTTTACAACTGTCTCGTGATCATATCGCAACACATGTTACCATCAAAGGCCACCCAAGACAGCCTATACCAAGCACATACACAATCCAACTCGAAGTGAGCTATCTTTTCGTACCATGGGTTTTGAATGCAAATCTCCAGCAGAACCCATCACTCTTGCAGTAGTAGGATGCGGTCAACGTGGCAAGGTTAAACGCTTCTCGGCTCTTTTATCAATACGATACTCAAGCTCTGTTTCCAGAACTACTCTGCCTATCCATTGGACGAACCCCACAAATGCAAAGTAGTCGCTATCGCCGAACCTCGCCCAAAGACGCGTCAACTATTCGCAGATGCTCATGGAGTCGATGACACTCTTGTTTTTAAAACATGGCAAGATTTGCACAAAGCATCAGCAGAGACTATCGAAACAGTCGGGAAACGGCTGGCTGATGCAGTTATCGTTGCTGTCCAAGACAAAATGCATCTCGAGGTGGTGCTTGCATTCGCTGAACAAGGGTATCACATTTTGTGTGAGAAACCAATGGCTACGAGCTTGGAGGACTGCCTGAAGATAGAGGCAGCTGTGAAGAACGCTGATATCATATTTGGCATGGGACATGGTAACTAGCTCATCCAAGATTTCTTCGCATCCCAGTCAATACTGATATATCTGTCAGTTTTGCGTTATTCCCCGTACAACAAAGCTCTCACGGAGGTAGTACACTCAAGGGAGCTTGGGGAGCTCGTGAATGTGGTTCACGTCGAACCAGTTGGTTATTATCATTTTGCACACTCGTATGTACGTGGAGACTGGTCCAAAGAAGCTGAAAGTTCTTTCTCTCTCATGACGAAGAGTTGCCAGTAAGAGATGTCTTTATTTCGTGTTTGAAACATGCCGCTCATGCTATTTCTTTTAGTGATATTGATATCTTATGTCATTGGCTGTCACCTGCTATTCCCACTCGTGTCTCTTCCTTCGGATCGCTCAACCACTTTTCTAAAGCCAAGAAACCGTCAACAGCTGGAGATGCGTTGCGCTGTTTGGACTGTTCGATCAACGAAGAATGTCCTTATAGTGCGAAGAGAAGTACATTTTCACACGTGTAAAAACCTATGCTTGCTCACAAATTATTATCAGTTTATCTTGAACCTGTTTCTCGTGGCAACACGCGTTGGCCCGCGAGCACGATCGTGGATGGTATTCCAGATATTGAGAACATTACCGATGCTTTGCGGAGTGGACCTTATGGTCAGTGTGTATATGAGAGCGACAATGACGTCTGTGACAATCAGGCAAGTCTCTTTTATGCGTTACCAACAGGTATATCCTAACATGTACTTTCGATCTAGGTGGTGAACATCGAGTTTTCATCTGGGGCTACTGTCTCTTTCACCATGGTTGCACAAACATCCCTCATTTGCGATCGTCAAACGCGTCTGCACTTCACACATGGCGAGATTGTTGGCGATATGTCTCAGTTCACTGTTACGAACTTTCGGACTGGCCAGGCGACTACCTATCACCCGAAAAATGAAGGTGGAGGTCATGGTGGAGGGGACTTGGGATTGATACGAACATTTGTCGAGGCAGTCAGAACTGGGAAGCAAGAGTTGCTTGGGACTCACGTGAGTGAAGTATTGAACAGTCACTTGACAGTGTTCGCTGCGGAGCACAGTCGGAAGGAAGGGAAGGTTGTCAACTGCGCCGACTTTACGCAGGCTGCCAGGGGGGGACTAGGGATGTGACCGCGCATGTCAATTCAATGAAAGATACCGTGTCGGACAATGTTCCTGCGCAAGATGCGCAGCGCCGTCGGCAGGTACCAGATATATTTAAGTTGTAGACGTAATGCAGATGTGGGTGTTGAATCTGTAGACCTTAAAGGTGCCTTCTTGTACGTGTGTTGGATATATATCACTCCTGAATTGCTCCTGAACACCGATATTCGTTTCTTCGTATTTCTTGATAGAGGCAATGGATGAATCTGTGGAAAAGAAGTTAGCGTTACCTGGCGGACGTACTCTCGCGTATGCAGAAGCTGGAACCCTGACCAGCACCACTATCATTCTTTATCTTCACGGTGCCTTTACCGTTGGCGAGGCTTCGAAGACATCCCAAATAATCCTGAGCAAAAACATTCGCTATGTCGCTCCCACTCTTCCTGGTTGGGGCAACACATCTCCTCCACTTCCATCGACTTCATATCCTGCCTGTTTGACGAGCGACATCACTGCGCTACTCGAGCATCTATACCCGAATAATCATGCCATTAAGCTCTACATAGCTGGAGGTTCGTTTGGAACTGTACCTGCACAGATACTGTTTGGTGCGCCATACGACGCGTTCCCATTCGGACGATACATTGCAGGTGTATTGTTGCTCGGTGCCCTCTCCCCCTTCCACTACCATGTCGATTACGCGAAGCACATGTCGTGGTCAAATTACATCATGGCTGGCCCACCAGCGCGCTTTATTCCGTTCAAGCTCATCCCACGACTAGTGAAATTCATTATATCCAAACAGCTGGCCACTGAAGCAGGGGCCGAAGCCTTTCTTCGCAAGACTTTGTTCGACACGATGGATCAGGCAGAGTTGGAGGAATATGCTAGGTGGAGGGAAAGGCAGGGTATAGCAGAGGGCGAGACGGAGCTGAATATGGCGAAGAACGCCATCCGAAGCGTAGCTAAATCTTGGGAGGGCTTTTCTCTGATGTCCGACGTGCTTCACGCAGACTGGGGCTTCCACCCTAACGAGCTTGACGAGAATCATTCTCGTCCTCCAGTCCTCCTCGTTTTCGGAAAGGACGATAAAATGGCTCCTGAAGCCATGTCACAGTATCTTGCGGCGAATTACAAGAATTCACGCTGCAGGTCTGTCGATGGAGGTCACTTGGCTGTGTTATACCATTTGGATAGCATATGGACCGAGTTCCTTGCTAACGAGCATGGTGCTAACGCCGGCGCAAGCGGTAATTAATCGATGACTAGTTATACTGATATTATCATATCTTTATCTTGTACATTTACGTGCACTCTGGTACACTGGACATAAATCTATCGGATGCTTTGATCAAAAACTAGTATATTTCATCACGACTACATTGACAAATCGAACTAAATGAAGGAAAGCAATATAGATAAGCATGATAGATTCCTTAGTCCTGCAGTTCTAGTTCTTTCCTAATGATCTCCCTTACTTCACGCAGCCCTCCTGCCTCACGTTTAACCCTTCTAGGGCTTCGCGTCAACAATTCCGTGGCACTATCCTTCACTTTAGAGCCTGGACTCGGGGGTGGTACAAGCCCTTTAGTTCCAGATTCAGTACTGTTCGAGGCTGGAGTTGATGCTGGCATCTCTAACCACTCTTCGCCAGTGATCTCAAGTTGCCGAAGAAAGAATGGACACAGGCCCGTCAGCAATTTCAGGGACTCTGTCGCTTCCGAGGTAGACATTGGTACAGGGGAGGATTTGATGATGGCAGATTCAACTTCAGAGTTAGGTAGCGCCTTTCGCTTTCGAAGTGCAGGAGTAGACGATGATCCAGTTGGGGCAGAAAAAAGCCTGTATTGCAATAGAAAAGCTTAAGGGATCATGATCTACACGATTGGAGAAAGCAACTTACATCCATACGCTTTCAGCGACGCCGCCTAGACGACCTAGTAGACAGCGGCGGCGCATTTCTTCTTGACCAAGCTTCTGAATCTGTTCTATGGTCATTTTACTCCCGGCCACCTTTGCACCAGCCGATTTGCTTGGCGTTGCTGTAAGGGAACGTTGATGAATACGCTCATAAAGGGCTTGACGACGAGATGTCGTAGGTGTGCTTGGGGCGGTCTCAGCTTTAGCTCCCCTCTGGTGAACTGGAGTACATGGCCTTGACTCGTCAGAGGTGCTTTCACGAGCAACCTTCAGAGGAGTCTTGAATGGAGTCAAGTAGCTACCCGCGGGGTCTCGAATACGGCGTGAGGATGGGGTTTGTGGGAAGGTTACGGAGTTCTTTGCATCCGCAGCGCTCGCGGATGAGGTGGCTATTGTTGGAAATGGTACGGCAAACTTATTTGCTGTGATCGCTTGTTTGGCAGGAGACTTGGTAGGAGACTTTGTGGCTGACTTGGCATGCGATTTGGTGGGAAACGACGGGCTTGAAGGTACCAAACCTGAAAGAGAAGCCATTCCTTTAGGAGATGCCGACACTAGGGCACGAGTCAGCGCGGATGCTTTCGTAGCGGTGCTAATTTCAGGCAGATTTGCAATTGGAATGTTGGGGATCGATTTGACATTGTGGTGTAGCTTTGTGCACAATCGATAGATTAGTTCATGACCTAATTTACAGGAAATAACACATACCTCGATCCATCGTCTGAGCTTGCCACTAAACTCCTTGCGCCTTCGTCCACCGTCTGCTGTCCATCGAGCAACGGCTGCCATTCCGCCGGTCATGTTTTTGTCTATGTCCATCTCGACTTCGACACCGACGCCATACACAGGGACACGCTTCGCCACACTCTTTGAGAAGTGGCTTGTTGGGCTGATGATAAAGCCCATAGAGCCCCGCGTCCAGTCCTTGGGTGGAGGCGAGGGCGGAGTATCCAAGAAAGGATTTTCATCGTCACGGTCGTGAGCTTCGGCCTTGGATTCGGGAAGAGCTCTGCCATCCCATTCCCATAGCCAGCAAAGTCGTTTTAAATCATCAACTTCGAATTTCGTAGTAAAACCACTGTAGGTCGTTAATGAGACATGATTGAGTATATTTCGTACGATGCCCGTGTCTGAAGAAGGTGAAACAGCAGCTGTAGCAAGGGCATGTGATAGAGCATGCTGTAGGGCGATCTGAAGGGAGTTGAGTCGCAATAAATGTGTTGGTAAAGAAAGTAATGATGAGCTGCTTTTGTGAGCGGAAGCAGGAGGGGTGGGTGGCCTGTTATTGACGGGTATTCTGTGAATCATACTAACATGGTTATAAGCTGAACTATACGCACGCTAATCTGAGTCTCTTCGGGGTGACCTCGCCATCAGGGCTGGAGAGGCGACGTTTTTTCTGCGGAGAGACTCCAAGGGTAGTGTATACATCGGACATGATTATCAGTAAAAGGAAACGGTCGTAAGTGGGCGCACTGGACGGCGCTATAGGTGTCGCAGAGGGAAATGAAGGAAGGAGAGTCGTGACGGACTGGGCGACGCGAACAAGGCGCGTCCACGTAACAATCTCCCACGGGCGCGTTTTAAGTCCCGCCACCATCTGCACTCGAACTGGAATGTCTCCATGCTGCAATGTCAAGCAAGGACAGCGCAGGTTATTATAATGCTGAAAATCCGACAAATCCTCGGTCTACTGCACTGCTTATCGATGTTGAATGCGTTAGATCGTATTTTTTGTTTTGATAGAAGCGCTTCGTTACTCAGAACAGGCTGTGGCCATGGGACTTGGTTGGACGGTGATTATCGTTTTTGGACCTTCTCCGCACTACAGCCATGCTCGATCGGTGCATGATCATTTACGGTAACGAGACCCTTACTTCCCTCCTCATCAAGCCAGACAATAGTCACGAACTGTACATGTGATGGGACCTGGCACCTGAATCATCGAAAGGGGATCTTGAGCGCTTTCCTAGTAATATCTTGAAATCGTTTGGTTGCCAGTGAGCTGATTCCATCTCGCATACAGAGTATGTCCCTTATTACCAGCTGCTCCTGGATCTTGAAGAATATCCTGATTTTCATCCCCACAACGTGTTTTACTATTTACTCACGCTATCACTGACAGGTCGAAGTATCAAAGAACTCAGAAATCTGGCACGAGGATGCTCCATTTCTTGATTGGATTGAAAAGGCAACACATTCTTCGAAGGATAATATAATATCATGCGTTTTGACATCAAAGCATCTTTTTCATTCAGTATGTTGTCCTTATGTTGAATCAGCTCTGAGCTTAGGCCCATCTCTATATGCTATAGCTCCAATATTGATGTTCAGAGTGCATTACGTCTACATCCAGAACCTAGCGTTCTCTGAATAGGTCGCCACGGCGACTAGTAGTAGCCCTTCATCCGTTCACCATAATAGTTTGCGTGCCATACCAGTTTCGACACACAATATTACCAGGATAGGACCGCGTCACCAAACTCAAAATAGGTGTCCTGACACCGTTTCTCAGAGCCCGCGGCTGGTAAGTTCTGGTCATTCTACACTTGATGTAGTTTCTTCTTCTTTTTTCCTTTGTATATAGCAAACCGACTCGGAGGATCTTACTACATCCGCTACTTCAAGGTTTCCTTATGATTATCGTCTACTGGGCATAGTTATGGCATGCCGATATCGATACGTCATTAGGTTCAACCACTAAGCTCAAACAGCGAGCATCATATCGAGGTCGCATTCCGATCCCATGGTTGTGTTGATCGTCTTTAATATTAACGAGTGAGTTCCAAGTCTTATCCTTGCTGTACTGTGTTCTTTGGCATGTAACAATTGATACGGCAGATAACCCCTCTATCAGTGAGCAAAGGCGTACTATCTGATGGCATCGCCCTGACCTTCTTTTCATCGGATCTTTATCCTTCTTAATTTTAGCCACATGGATGCTGCGTGGCGCAGCCTCTTCGAAGAGGACCACGTTATCCCAGTGGTGCACATCAAAGAGCGAAGCTTCTGCTAAGGGTGAGCAATCAAGGCATTGTCCTGAAATTGATGTATTTCTTCTTCTCTGTAGTAGGTATGTAGGCACTTCAATGGTCTGCATGAGTATGACATCTTATTTCCAAAGTGATAAGGTCTCGGACAAAGCGAATAACCGTAGATTCGGAAAGTATTTGTACGTGTATACGCTGCCGTCATGATTCAGCTTTCTTCAGACCAAACAATGCCGAAAGGTCTACAAATTAGAGTCACAATGTCCATTTTGACGCTGATAGAAGGACTCCATTGACGTACTCGAGCACACCCTCCGAATTCTCAGCCAGACGTTCGGAATAGTACGCCCTTAGGACGTGTGACTTAACTATATTAGTCCTCCGTTGTTCTACCAGTCTTCCTAATTCGCGGATTGCAACCCCCTGGAGAAGCCCGCGATCTAGCCTGATTAACCGCTCATAGTTGCAGGTAACATCGTGGCTTTAATGGTTTTAAAGCGTACGCCCCAACTTCGGTTAGTCTTTCTTTTTCCATCGTTCGTACCTACGCTGTAGAGGCTTATAATTTGCCTCGATGGCGACACCAGTAGGAGGAGAGGCAAGCAAGCAGCTTTGGTGAGGTTTTCCTTTTTTCATCTGGAAATCAGCTATCACACTAAACTTTCTCGATCCAACCAGGGACGAAACTCTGACCAGGCTTTTGAGTAGGCATATTATTGATACTGGTCCATATTGGAGTCTGAGCTAATCGGTTAATAGACCTCTCCACAGCTACCGTCAAAAGGAATGTAGATTTGGAATCCAGAGTAACCGAGCTTGAAGTTGAGCTCGCTGTATGGAAACAAGCCCATGCTACCGCTCTTGAGAGCTCTGAACGGGAAGCGAAAACACTGGGTGGGCAGCTAGCCACATTAAACAGGCAAATTGTGTCGATGGAGAATTTCATGGTGAGCCGCCACAGTTTGTGATTTTTGTTCTTACTCCTCTCATATCGCTTTCAGACCCATAACCTCCTTATACTCTGTATAATCGATGCGGACGAGTGTTTGTTCACAGAATCTCTGTTGAAGCAGGGTCACAATGGAGGGCGTCACGCTGCTCAGCAGATAACCAAGTGTATTGCTGAGTACTTGACGAACGAAGATGTTCACATATTGGGGCATCTTTCATTCTGGATTTCTATATACTATAACAAAAGAGGGCTTGTAGAGTCTCTCATAAGCCGCGGTATCTGTAGCCTCGAACAATTCGAGGCTTTTGTGGCAGGGTTTAGTCAGGCTTCCCCGAGGTTTGTTATGGTCGACGTAGGGGTTGAAAATGAGTCCACTAGCACGAAGATAAAAGGTGGCGCTTCTCTGTCTATCACCGTTTAACATTCAAAGCTTAACTCGCCTCCTGATAACAGAGTATTTGCAAACCTACATACGTTTTCCACAGACTCAGCGGGTGTTTTTTGCAGGTTAGATTTTATGATGAGCACTCTCACTCTCTTAATCATGTTAATTTCAGGCGGAAAAGAAAACACGTACGCATTAACTTTTAATTCGTTGGAGAACGATCAACTACTCGGCAAGCTCGTCATGTTACATGGACGAAGTGAAGACGCCAGTGACATGCGAAAATATCGTTTTCCTATCGTAAGATCGGAATGTTTATCTACGAGTCAAAGACTCCTATCATCAAAAAATCCTTCGCCATTAGCGATGAACGGGTTGGTTAGTTCAGTGACAGATTATGGTTTACCCACTCCTTGTTCTCCACCGAGATCTACTTCTTCATCGACAGAAACAAAGCCACTTGATCCTTCTTTGGTACGAGATTTTAGGCTTTACAAGATTGGAATTTTACTGAATTATACGTTCGTAGCCGCTTCATAAACGTAAGTCAGGCTATCTTGCCTTGATCTTGCGCTGATATGTGAAACTCCATTGCTAGATTCCCCGCCACCTTGTAATGAATACTACCTGATGAGTTGCTCCAAAGGCGTGCGTCTATGCTCGAGTTCGTTAAAGCCTCACTTTCTGACGATATGACTATTATTTAGGGAGCTTGCAAATATTCGCACAGTTATATTTTAACACCGGATCAGCTTGCTACTCTGGCAATTAATGCTAAGAAAGCACCTTGTAACTTCTTAAAAAATGGTAGGGGCACGCAATCTGTGTATGGAGTTGCATACTGACGGTACATCTGCATTTCGATTTCGAAGGGCTTCTATGTCCTTACGGAGATCGGTGTTGCTGGGGCCATACATGCCCTAATGGGCCCAAATGTTTTCATCTGAGCAAAGGAAAGTGTTGGTTTAAAGGTGGTTCGTATGAAATTCATCGTAATATTGTAAAGATATCTGATCTACCGAGGACAACCACAGAAAGTATGCATTCTCTTGAGTTGCCTGCTCTAGGATGATAGTCCACTTCAGTAGTTGGTTGTTTTGTTTCATTTCCAGGTTTTATGCTTCGAGTTTCCTGGTTGTATCCAGATTCTTAACTGGATCTTCACTTAAGTTCTCTGTTTGTATATGCTACTGTTACATTGACATGACATTGTTTGAACTTCATCCGCTACGCTCATGTCACTAACACTATGGAGGCCTCCCATTTTCTAGTTTTTTTTATCTATAAATTCAAATGTACTGTTAAGTGTCATGTCAATGTACCCTCGAAAAGCATGTGGACTTCAAATACTGTGGGAACCTTCACCTAATGCCAGCTCTAATACCCGTCATTGAAACATTCACACGAAGAAGGTCAGTAAGCCGTGTGAAATCGATTACTTTGAAGTTATCTATCGACAGTGAGGTCCCCAGGCTTGCCCACTCATTGTCTAGCAGCCACCATCATATTCCATATTCTACTTGTATAACTGAAGGGCCTTCAACATGTCTGGAGTCAGTATGCTATTATTTTATTCCCATTTCTTTACACTCATCATTCAATATTCAGCACGAAGACCAAGATGATCTCAAACCTTCCAACACCCCTGGTAAGCATCATGTGGCTAGGGAATGAATAAATGTTAGTGTGTCTGACGCAACTATACAGGTTACAAGCCCTCCGCTGCAAAGAGCGCCGAAGAATATGCCAAATTAGATGCCAATGATGAAAGTCTGGCCCGCTGGAAAGCCAGTCTGGGTATCACTGGAGATGTTCCCGCAGGGGACACGAGTGGCCCGAAGGTTTGTTGCTCGGGTGTCATATCGCCGCTTTGGTTCACCACAGGAATGATCTCTTAAGGTCACCGTCTTGACCCTCGAGCTTGATTCCCCCACTCTACCACCGGGAAAAAAACTCATCTTCAACTTGAGTGACACCGCCAAGCTCGCAGACACGAAGAAGAATCCTATTGTCATCAAAGAAGGAGTGGAATACAAGTACTCTATTTCCTTGTATCTTTAGCTGAGTTAGTCTCTGACAAAGCTATGTGCAGTGTTCGTATCACTTTCAAAGTGAACCACTCCATCATTTCGGTAATGCTCCCTCGTTTAGTTTTAAACACACACAATATTAACATATTTGCTTATAGGGTGTCCGGTACATTCAGCTCGTCAAACGGGCGGGTATCAAAGGTAACGCTCTTGTGTTGCAACTAGAACTCTCTATATTCGCTAATCATCTATTTTGCTAGTGGACAAGTTGGAACAAATGTTGGGTTCTTACGGCCCACATCCGAAAGGAGAGGCGTACGCCAAGAACTTTGATCCAGAGGAGTCTCCTTCCGGTTTAGTCGCAAGGTCAGGTTCATACAATGTCAGAAGTAGGGTCGTAGACGACGACGGAGAAGTGTATGCAGGTACGTCTTTAGATGGGGAATCTACAGTGATCATTTACTCAGTGTCCTGGATAACAGATTGGGAATGGGCATTCAAACTCGCCAAAGAGTGGTAAATGGTAGCTTTTTCTTCCCAAACTTTCCAGCATTTTGACCATTCACTGCATTTCAATACACGCTACAAGCGCATGTACTTGTTCCGTTCACCTGATCCCGAGTAGCTTGCCTTTGTACTTATACCACCTGAGATGTACTAGTTACGACTAAAGAGAATCTATCTTGAGGTTATAGTTGTAGCGATGATTTGCACTAGGATTGCACGCTAATTCGTTGATTCGTTGATCATCTACCATTCGTTGGGTCAACGAAATCCCAGTCGGCCAAATAACGTACGACAGTCGATACCAGTACGAAAATTAAATCCAAGGATCCGGTAAGCTGCAAACATGCAGTTTTCAGCTCGCGGGCTTTCTACTTTTCGACCTTCAGTTTTCGTTGACTCTAGTACACTAAAATCATGGAATCGTAGTAACCGCTCGCCGTTGTCCTTTTATTTGGGACATAGAAAACTGTCGTGTTCGTCAAGCAGACACCATCCTTTAAAGTTGCCATCTCGCCTAGTCTCTCTCTCACATGCACCTGTCCCAAAGAAATCATGGGTCGAGCGCTTTCCAGCTCCAATTCAGCCTTATCTCTTTCTCACTCGCATAGACAAACCCATTGGTACCCTCTTGCTATTCTATCCATGCGGTGAGTACAGAAAATGAAACGTATCAAGAACCATAGCTTAACACATAACGTCGGGGTCTATCAGCATGGTCTATAACGATGGCGTCGTACGCGTTAGAGGTACCATTCTCAACGTCGATGGCATACATCGGTATTTTTGGGTTGGGAGCCTTGGTCATGCGTGGTGCAGGTTGCACCATCAACGATATGTGGGATAGAAATCTGGATAAAGCTGTAGGTGGGTGTGGTTTTACTATGAATATGGTGAACACAACGCGACGCTCTGCCTTGAAGTACGAACTCGTGAAAGGCCTTTAGCCAGAGGAGACATTACACATAGACAGGCTCTTGGTTTCCTGGCAGGACAGTTGGGTGTTGGCCTGGGAGTTCTGTTGCAGTTAAATTGGTACAGGTATGACTACTTGAAAACGATACTATTTCACTAGGGACTAAAGCTTTCATTATAGTATACTCCTCGGAGCGTCTTCATTATCGGTTGTGACTATTTATCCCTTGATGAAACGCATTACCCATTGGCCCCAAGCTGTCCTTGGTTCGTTCATGATTAGTTTCTTCTGTTTGCTTACCAAGTATAAACCTTTCGCACAGGTCTTGCGTTCAATTGGGGAGCACTATTGGGCTGGTCAGCTATCGCAGGTGCAGTGAACTGGAGTGTCTGCTTACCGCTATACGCAGGAGGTGTCTGCTGGACACTAGTCTACGATAGCATATATGCTCATCAAGTGCGATATAAAGCGTCCGTTTCTGTCTTTCGATCACTAACATGACGTCTGCAATCAGGATAAATCGGACGATATCCATGTTGGGATCCGTTCCACTGCCCTTCTCTTCGGGAATAACACCAGGCCGATTCTGAGTGCCCTCTCTGCATCAACCGTTTCTCTCATCACCTACGCAGGCATGCTCAACGCTCAGGGATTACCGTTCTATGTGGGTGTTGGACTCGGCACGATACAGCTTACACGAGTGCTGTGGAGGACTGATTTTAATCAACGACCAAGCTGCTGGGCAGGTTTCGTAGGGTGTGGCTGGGCTGGATTTTGGGTATGGATGGGAGCTTTAGGGGACTATGCATTAATGCTGCTACATTTATAGTTCACTGTAACTCATTCACACAGAGCTACTAAGAGTGGGCATTGAATAGAGGCTTCCCCCCTCGAGTAATCTATGTGGCTAACGTCGTGTCGTAAAGAGAAGGTCGTAAAAAGGTAAGTGACACGGCGCAACTTGGAGCGCAGGTCGTGCTAGATATAAAAATGTAAAAGTAAAACAAGTTTGACAACAGTAAGATACTGGGTAACGCCGGGAGGATGGATACAGGTGTTGGGAATGGGTAAAGCAGGTATGATGAGAAAATGGTTAGAAAGCAACATAGATAATGACCTGACGATAACCAACATGAGAAAGGGTGAAAGCTAAGTGAACATGTGTAACTAATCATGGCGATGATGACCCGATGAATGAAGGCCGAGATTGAGATCGCGACTTGAGCCAACCCTTGAGCGCGACAATAGAAAGCGTCCAGCAGAATGCGAAGCAAGTAATGGCGACGGCAACGTTGAGGAACAACATCATATCTGCAAATGAGCGTCTTTCTTCAATACAATTACAACGAGTATAGATGGCAAATCACGTACCATCACGCCCTTTACGCATGGCGGCGATTGTTATCTCCTCCGTACTGAAGATGAACATGAGTCCTCCACAGGCAAGGAAGAAGCTCCCGAGTGCTTCGGTCGGCGGCCGAGAAGGGAGGATTGAACGAGGAGGACCCAGCCAAACGAAGAAATATGTTAGGCATCGGAGAACCGAAAAACCTAACAGGAGCCATCCCCAGATTTCATGGATCTGGACCTGAAGTGTGATTTATCCAAGTAAGTCAGATGATCAGAGCAAAGATGAGGTAAGCCTCACCTGAAACAAATAAGTCTGGGCGTGAGCACTCATGGCCGCACCAGTCACGCCAATGACGAGAGCAGGGAACGGGTTGAAGCTGGCTCGGTAACTCGGTGGTTCGGCTATAGTCTCATGCGAGACGGTGGCTGATCTCATTGCACTCGAGGCAGAAGCCGCCAGCCATCGACGAACACGCTTCGATTCAATTCCCATGCCAACAAGACCAGCAAACCAAAACATAACCTACAGACAGTCAGAAAACCAACGATGATCAAGCAAATGGGTAAGCTTACAGCGATACTTATGTGCTGCAGCTGTTTGGTCGTGTAAGGGTCGCCAGGGTGAGCGCCAAAACGTTCCATCCATGTGTTGGTGATACCATAGATGAAGATGACAAGCGACTCGACAAATTCTGCTGAGACATAGTCACCAGCAGGAGTACGATTCCACGACCAGCCCAGCTCAGAGAAGGAACCCAGGAAACGAGCAAAAGTGACAAGACCGTAACACCAGAATATTCCTCCCTCTGTAAGGTGAAGTCAATTGGTGAGACCTCTTTGTAAAGAGGGATAAAACATACTGATGAGATGTGCAAGACAGCCATTGATGTAGCCTTCGCGACAACCACCGGTATAAACCACAACACCAGACAAAAGCATGGCAAAACCCGCGAAGACCAAGGACCTCTCTAATGTGGCAAAGGCAACATTGGCAACACGGCGAAGCATGTGTGTCTTTGGCCGGATGATGGCGGGGATACCCAGATCGTGGAGTGTGTCATCAGAATGTCTCGATCCCCGAGGAGACCTTATGCCAAACACAGTTCGTTCTGAAGATGTCGACTGAGAATACTGATGACCACGATGGGAGCGCTGTACATCGTTGGCCCAAGATGCGGTCTCGTCATCATCCAATCTATCGATATGGACAGATTCCACTGCTTCAGCCACTCTGTGAGGTTTCGTTTCAGCGTCGAAGATTTCCTCTGACTCATCTACTAGCCCAGTGTACTCAAGGTCCGAGCCTACGTTGACATCTTCACGACCGAGGACGACGGTTCGCCAAAAGGTCTTGAAAACAAACGGTTCCCGATTTCTGACGAAGGTATAGAGACGGATGCAGAATGCGGCTATGTCAACAGCAGACAAGCATAGACTAAGGAAAAGGACAAAGTAGCCATGTGACGTATGAGTAGACCCGTCGTACCTGAAATTTGCAAACAGGTCAGTTGTATGTGATCGACCGATGACGCGTCTGGCGCTTACATATTGGGTGTTAATTTTTTATAAAGTGCGCTCGCTGCACAACCGAGGGCACATAGGCCGTAAAATACCAATACAACGACAGCGTGCCATGCATGGCGTACAGAGCGCAAGGCGATACCTGATTTGCCATGTGATCAGCCGCACGTCCAGACGCCGTGACAGACATTAGCGCACCGACAGGCAGAGCAACAAAGAAAGCCAAAGACATCATGACTATATGCAAGGCCATGAGGCCAGGATAGCGGGCAGCGTCAGGGTCGCGGTCTTCGATATCGATGGACCAGTAGGACGGTGGGGTCGGGGGGTGCCACATTTGAAGCTCAGTCTCGTTGAGCTCGAGGAGGGGTGCTCCGTGCATGTGCATGTGCTCGTGGTCGCCATCTCGTCTGGAATGATAGCGCCCAGCGAGTGGGGACAGGTCTGATATCTGTCGGGTCTGTAAATCAGCGGAAGAGCTTGCGAGAGCAGTGGTGGCAGTCAGAGCAAGGGCTGGGACGAGGAGACCGATGGTGCACCAGGATGAACGCATGATGGAGGTGGACACTCTCGAGAGAGAGCTAGAGAGCAGGGGACCCAAGTGATAGGAGAAAGCGAAACAAGGCTCGGGGACCAGGCCAATTTATTATGTGGGCAGCACCGTCCGTCTGGCTCGGCACCGATCGGCATGCGACCAGTCGGTCTCAGTCAAAGCACCGTTCTTGATAATCAGATATTTTACATATCCTCCTCTCACGTAAGAACAACCCAGCCCTCCTCTCCGACTTCCGTCCGCCATCGGCATATATCCTCGCAAGTACAGCGGCTGTAGAGCCTCGTGCATGGCGAGACCATTACCATGATGTGACCCTTCTACAACCAATTATTCTCCCTGTCGCCCCTCCTATACCCAGCCTGTTGTGGCCCACCTTACTTATTTAGTACCTCTTCTCATCCATTGTACGCACACTGCTTTCGTGATCACCCCTTTCCAGAACCCATTGCTGCTAAGCCGCATCTGAAAGATTAGAAGATTATCGATCATCGTTCACGTGAAGTGATCATTGACATGAAGTACGCGGTAAAATTCTCACCCAGTTTCAGCAGCGAATTGATTTTTTTGGTTCGCGCTCGAGGATCAAAACTTTCTGAAGCATAACCCTTGCTGAGTCATGATCAAATGGACTCGTCATTATCCCCGGGAGTAGAAACGACCTCGGCTCTCGGCAAGGTACGACTTTTTTCGGTGAACGCATTTGAGTCATGTCCCCTAACATTGAAATTAGTCTGTACAACGAGTCACATCCGTCGGTCCTCGGCCGACAACAGTAAGGGTTATCAATTGGTATACGTAGCGTCGTTAGATGTTGAATAGGGAGGGCGACAGAGTGCTATCAAGCAACCTGTACAGTATGAGTTCATATCATGACATGATCCGAGCAAAAGGCCGAGAAACCGAGAGTAAGTTGGGATGGTACTGACTTACGAATCACTTGCGACCGCAGTCCATGTTCAAAGTTATTAGAGGGTAACCGGACAGCCTTGGCGCTTATTGCCATAATGCCCTATGTATAATGCCTCAGACGTTGAGGCGTCTGCGCAGTGCGCAGTGCAAACATATTTCCTTGTTCAAAGGAGTCGAGCCATTTTAGGAGTACCAATGGCTTGAAAAAGTAATGGCGTTTAAAGTAGACGCCACTGAGTCCCCCAATTGTTACAATGGATTGTCGTACAGTCGATTTCAAAGGGGTGCAGACAGGAATTCGTTGGGGAGTGTCACAGGTATATGAGAGTCACACCGATCGCTTATGCGTGACCCTAGTGATATGTGACGTCACTACCGGCTAGCTCTGTTTGAAAGAGCTTGCTCAGCTTAATGTTATCCGCCTTTCCTCCTTCATTGCATAGTGGAACAACGTTTGACGTTGTGCACAAGGGTCACCGGGTTCTGGTTGTCCCGCTGCAGATAAATAGATGCAACTCCAAAGCATCAGGAGATTCGTTTGGGGCGATATTCCTTCTTCGAAGGTGGAGCGGAGGCTCTTGCTCAAGATTGATTGGTTTATACTATCGTATTGCTGCCTTATGGTGCGTAATACGCTAGGATGTCTGTTAGTAACATACCTGGACTCAACCAGCTCCACATGCACCATAGTATTTCGTCAATTGTGAGTTTTGTGTTATCGATCAGCTTTCTTCACACCCCTAGCTTGTGTAATTTTTATGCGAGACCAATTCTCGCAAGATAGATTTGGAGAGAAAGATGGATTTGAGAATTGTCTACATTTGTGTCGTGTGCTGAGACTTGTAGCTAACATCCCTTTGAAAGACTTGGATAGAGCGAACGTCAACAATGCCTACGTCTCAGGGATGAAGCAAGAACTCAACATGCAAGGAAATGACTTCAATGTGAGTCTTTATAAAGAGCCGTATATATAATAGAAAGGACTAAGTTCGATTAGAAAATAAATACCGTTTTTACCTGTGGATATATCGTCGGGATGATACCAAGTAAGGCACACGGAGGAAGCCATGTTTCATCGAACTCAAATCTTCATAGATAATCTAATGCTGCAGGTTGTATCGCCAAGGATATGGTTTCCTCTGATGCAGATAGTTTGGGGTGTGCTCACTTTTTGGTAGTGCCGATTTCCCCTTTCATACCTCCTTTCACTCATATGAAACAAAATGTGATCAGCACTAGCGCTGTCCATAACGTAGAGCAGGTTAGCCGACTATTCTTCCCTCCAGAGAACCACGTTCTCAGTACGCAACTCCTGTAGATATATGCTATCAGATTTTTTCAAGGCATGGCAGAGGCGTCAACGTTTGTAGGGACGCATTATATTTTAGGCTCGTGAGTCGCCGTCTTTGTTTTTCAAATAGTTTCTTTTAAAACTGATAGGACAGGTGGTATAAACCTGGAGAACTTGGTAAACGCTCCGGAATATTTACGAGCTCTGGGCTGGCCGGCACACTGTAAGGAAATCCCGTTCTTTCTCCTTGTTCTCGCTTAAGAGGCATCTCTTTGAATTAATGACTGTAGCTTTTCTGGCTTACTTCAAGCTGCAGTTTATCAGTAAGGCTCTATTAGCTCATCTGAAATAGTACTTATCTTGGAACTTGGATCTTCCCAAGAAATCTAGGGGGAGTTGCACATAAAAGCGGATGGCGATGGCTGTAAGTATTTATGAATGCGACACGATCGTACAATCCGAAGATGGCCATATGTAAACAAATTAAACACTTCTCAGGTTTATAATTGACGGCGTTATCACGCTGCCCATCGCCATTTATGGTTTCCTCGTATTCCCAGACGTGCCAAATTCTACACGGGCGTTCTACTTGACACAGGAGGTTGGTTTCTCTGGCTACATACCCATGTCTTTCATGAACTGACATCATCATCTCTGTTCGATGGACACGCTTGACTTCGCGCGTTCAGGAACGAGAACTTGCATATAAGCGACTGGAATCAGACACGGCACAGCACAAGCTCTCTTGGGATCTGTTTAAAAGGGTTCTTGGGAAGTGGCGGTGGTACGCATGTAGCTTACTCGTGGGTTTCTTCCCCACGGTCGTATTTTAATCCCAAACCGATGCCTTTCACCAGTTCGCAATATCCGGTGAAGTAGAAAGTTTTGGTTCAAACAATCTGATGGGCCAATGGCTCTCAGCTATTGGTGGCTACACTGTAGAACAAGTTGGTGAGTTTATAGGCATTTTTCATATCAGTCAGTGCCTTACCACTATGGCCTTACTCGCACTCTCCGATACGGCGATGTCCTAGACTATTATCCATCTGGTGTCACTGCTTTTGGGATTGTATCAACACTGGTCTGCGCAACATGGACTGATTATACGCGCGCAAGATGGCCCGTCCTCGTCTGGATGTGTTTCTCCTGCACAGTAGCTGCAATATGCATCCTTGTGTGGAGCAGTCCTATAGGACTAAAGTTCTTTGCCTACTGTGCGTTGTCGCAGTCAAATCCCAAATTAAGGACACCAGAGTTGCTGACATCGATCTCAAGATTTCGCAGGAGCGGCTTACTCAGGGCAAGCAACCACTTTTGCGTAAGCATTCGCAATCCTTGAAACAATGTCCCGCTGAGTACGAGCTTTCACAGTTGGGCCAATCAGATATGTGCAGATGACCACCAGGAACGCGCTATTGTATTGGCATCCATGAAGTCAGTCCTGACGTTTTGACAACTCCCCCCACCCACAGCCCTCGTACTAACTATGTACATTTCTCACAGTATGTGGAACAACGCTGTGAACGCGTGGTGGCCGTTGCTTTTCTATCCTGCGACAGATGCACCGCGTTTCCGCAAAGGCATGATTGCAATGATTTGTACGTGTGTCGCAACCCTTGGCGTAACCTGGCTTGTATGGTATCTCGAACGGCGCGAGCATCGAGTGACGCGTAAAGAAAAGCCAGACAAAGAGCGCGACGGCAGTATGGAGGAGACGAAGTCCTACGTGGGTTGAGGCTTACGGCGAGAGCAGTGTCAATTTACGAGAATATCATTTATGATATATCGAGTTTTAAAAATGTTTAATTCTGAAGCCATCACATCGCTCATCGGTGAAGCTACTGATACACGTATGATTCTTTTAAAATTGCGAACAACAGTCTAGACTAAGGGTCTGTCTCAGACAACAACCCTGCCCATAAACAAGCCTTTGTAATGCGCTGCAAAACGAGGCAAAAAGGTGTACGGTGTTTTGTACGGTGTAAAGCGTTTCGACGACAACAGCTCGTGGAAAAAGACGAGCAATTAACTAAATTGTATAAAAGAGTGTCCACTTTTAACAAGAATTGAAAACAGCATCCTCCAATACAGAGGATGAAACAGAATGGTAACGGGTATACGAAAGAGATACTGGCGTTTACTCATTGGCAACCTGTATGGAAACGGTTAAAATTAGAATCTTTCTGAGAGAGGAATTATTAGCTTACCTTGAGCACGCCAGGCGGGGCATCTCCGTAGATATCAGTCAATCCAGGAGGCAATGCGTGTTCCCGTGGTAGATCAACAGAAACTGTGCCATTAGGGCTCACAGATCTACCTTGATAAGGGGCGAACGGTGCTCCTCCACCAGGATTGCCAAAGTGCGGCAGTTGGGAGTGCGATGGGTCATAGACAGGCTCTGGCAAGAGCGGCGGGACAGGCTTACGGTCAGAAGGGTTGCGCACCAGACTGGTCTGATTATTGTTGTAATTGTTGTATCCAGCACCCTGAGGGGGTGAAGGCGCACGTGGCGCGTAGGTGGTGGGCTGCTGTTGCCCATATCCCTGGCCGTAATAGCCCTGGGAAGGAGGCTGTGCATATGTTGGTTGGGTGTATCCGCCGCCATAATCGAAGCCATGGCCGTGTCCCGAAGAGCTCCCGCTCAATCTATATTTTTCGATTGAATCAAGACGCCTCTCCTCATCAACGTAGTGCTCCGCAACTGTCGGATCGAACGAGACAGCATCTGCGATCTCACGGTCAAGGCGACTGCGGCGGCGTCTTCGGCATGCCATGGTCACAATGATAAAGATAATAATCATGACGACGATACCGACAGCCGCGAAAACACCACCCTCGAGAGGCTTGTTCTGTAGAAAGCCAGGGGTAGGTGTATAACTGGGAGTGGCAGAAACCTGCGCAAGCTCTGTGGTGATGTAGACAACCGAGTTACCGCTAGAGGAAGTAACTGTGACGGGGGTGGACGTAGGAGTAACAGAGGGTGGTGGGGTAGAAGTCGAGGTAGGTGTGGAGGTGGAGGTGGAGGTGGGCGTAGAAGAGGTGCTTGTTTTCGACCTGACAAAAATGAATTAGCATTCACGAATTTCTGCGAAAGATGTGCTGGATAATTTTGAGACCGCAACTCACTGAGTAGTGGTGGACGACGAAGAAGGCTTTGTTGAAGTAGTCGAGCCGGTCGAGCTAGAAGATGAAGATGAAGCGGTTAGGGGATTTGTTGCTGATTGAAGAGAAGTGGAAGATTCGGACGGGAGTGGCAGAATGGACGTGACACCATCGATGACACTTGTAAGACCATTAGTTAGGCCACCAAGACCAAGCAGGCCTCCATCATTCTGTGGAGCGGTTGTTGCGCTCACAGAGGCCGACGCTGAGTTCTGCGTCGAGGTTGTTCCTCCGCCGCTGTGAAAATAGCAATTCAGTGTGAACGCGCGACATCCAACCAGGGTTCAACATACAGAAGTCCACCTATTACTGTAGTCAAGGGGTTGCCAATGAGTGAAGACCATTGATTGTCACAGATAAGACATACCACCGCCGAGGCCCTGCCTCTGAACGATATCGTTAAGATGCAAACCATCCAGGTTGCGAGCATCCATGTCTGAAATCGTTGGTGATACGTTACGGGTAAAGAATGTAGGGAGTTGATCTGTGTTCAAGACACGAATAAAGATTTTGAATCAGTATGGTCAGTAATTCCGAGCCAGCCTCAGATTTGTCGAGGATGAACGGGTGGTCAGAATTCGAAACGGACGGGGTGGAAGTAAAGGAGGGAAAGGAGGCTTAAATAAAGGAGTGTGCAAAGCAACAAAGCCCAGTTGACTTCCCACTCCACCGAATAAAGCACTGAAAATCACAGGAATTGTGAGGAAAATAGTTCGTTTGTTGGCATCGCGACTTAAAATGGCCTTAGCTGTGGAGCGGACGACCGGGTATCATTGTCAAGTCTATTGTCCGCGAGATAAGATAATCGCGTGCATTACACGTGCTAAAACACCCAAGAAATACAGCAAAAACAATTATCGACGAAAACATAACACGCCAGGCTGTAACAAAGAAAACATTCAGCGACTCATACTAGATCGCGTATTCAACCCATAGCTTTCGCCAGCATTCCTCTCCATTATTTCCCGCAACGGCCCAAGCAGCCGTGTAAATGCCGGCGCATCAAGTGCAGCCACTTTTAGCTTGGGCCTCGACAGATCTGCCCTATGTACAGCGCTCACAGTGGCAGCTCGAGGTGCCAGTCGAAGTAAAGATAGTTCTAGAAAATGGGGCGATCAGCAACAGTCAGACGTTGGGCCTGACAACTCACCTCCAAAGTAATCCCCTTTCTTGAGTCTTCCAACTGTAATCTCCCTGAGCTCCCCATCATCTACATGTTGTGTCTTGGTTACGACAGCTTCTCCTTCCTCAACAAAGAAGAACGTATCACCCATTTCTCCTTGACGGACCACAGCATCTCCATCAAGGTACACCTTGCTCACAAGGGCATCAGCAACTTTACTACGCTCCTCGGGCTGAAGGGAAGAAAGCAGGGTAACTGTCGACAGGAAGTGCTCGTACATCGTCCGTCTCCTGTGAGCCGCTTTAAGGATGATCGTGCGGAATGTCATACGATCCAGCGACCAAACAGTCGAGGGTTCTATAGCCAATACAGTGGCAGCTCGAGGATGGCCGTACATCAACGCGAGTTCACCAAACGAGTTCCCAGTTTTGCATTCTGCGACCTTCTTCCCAAATTCAGCGTGATACCCTGGTTGAATGAATTTATCAGAGGCAGAGTTGGACAAGCGCGTATCGGTGACCCGCGTAGGAGGCAGAGGATCAGGGTGGATGTAGCAGTGAAATAGACCAGATTCTACTACATAGAAATACTCCCCCACATCTCCCTGCCGGATGACGACTTCATCTTTGCTAACGTGTCGCTCCTGCATCGCATTCAGTACACCTGTCTCTTGCTCCTCGTCAAGGTCTCGAAAGATAAAGTTGTTAGCGATGGATGCTTTGATGCGGCGCAGCTGGTCTGCTGTTTTGGGATAGACTGGCAACGGGTCGTCATGTCCGCTATCGACTTCAATGGGTTCAGCACTGACGGAGGTGCGCCGTGCAAAAATCATTGATGTCGGTGGGTGCAAATAGTCGCCTGGATTCAATGAAAGTGAAGATGAGATTGTCGGGGTCGAGTTATCATATCTCGAAAATGAGTTGGGATGGTTGGGATCAGTCGTAAGGGGGGAAGTGGGAGGAAGCTCTCTGCCATCGAGGCTGAATGTGGGATGCGGTAATCCATTGCTTGAACCATTGGTATCTAGAGAAAGTAAGGCATTTCCTGGAACATTCAAGGTACCAAAAGGGCTCTGCGATATGGAATTGTGCATAGATGAAGAACGACTTTGCGGGGCAGCCTGCGAGAATGGTGATACTGTACGAGGAACAGATCCTCCTGAGCTGAGAGGCGTATCAAGATATATTTCTGTTGGGAAATCTCGGGAGAAGGAGTGTCCACGCTGAGCGAGAACATCGCGTGTACGCGTCCGCTGTTCCTCGAGCCGCGAATGAAACCAATTCGCACAGAACTGGAGAGCGTCCTTGGGCTGAGCACGTTGGATGTCGCGGGTGAGGTCCGCGACCAGCGAGTCAAAAGTCGACATAAGAGTAGTTACTTCGATAGATGAATAAGTCTTAGAACAATAGAACCTGTGGTTTTGTAAAGCAGAGCCACTCGAGTTTTGGGAGAGAAGTACCAGTAACTAAACTGGACACAAAAGCGCACAGCACAACACGTGCGCGTGCAGCTTTATTTCGTCAATGGCTCTTTCTCAGTCTTTCACCTCCAGCAAGGGCAATAAAGACACAAACAATACTTTGCGGCATCCTGGCTCACACCAAAATATGATCCTGTACTGGAATGGCGCTGGGAAAAGGGAACATATGCATTAAACGCATATGCAAGAGATCTAGATTCAGAGCTATGTAGCCTATGACTGAACAAGACACCCAATATCGCGCTCTTCAAACATACAGCTGAATGGTAAAGTACAGAACAAACATTCCAAAACGAGATAAAGGACATGGTCGACGTATATCACATCTGTTGTAGAGGAGAAAAACAAACATGGAAATGAGGACGAGAGACAAACGGAGCACATTGTATGTCCTGCTTTATACATTCGCCTTGCTGTACAAGGCTTTTGCTGCGCGTTGAGTATAACAAAACGAAGAGTCGCAAGAATACAAGGGATTTGAATAAACGATAGGGATGCGAAGGACCAAGAGATATCATCGGCCATGTGCATATTGCGGGGGCGCATACTGGACACCCCCATAGCCAGCCGCTTGCGCCTGTGCTTGAGCCTGTGCTTGCGCGTGCGCGTGCGCATGAGCCTGGGCCTGAGCAGCTTGGGCCTGCGCCATAGCCTGTGCCTGAGCAAGTCGCGCTGCATCCTGCTGGGCGTAGATGCCTGACTGTGCGTGCGTATATGCTTGCGATTGGGGTACCTGCTGAGCTTGCTGTTGCTGTTGCTGTTGTGGTTGCGGTTGAGACGGCTGCTGGTGTGCATGTGGATGAGGGAAATTATAGGGCGGGGGAGGCATGGATCCAGGGGGTGGTGTCAGACCATAAGATGGATTAGTGGTGCCAGTGAAATACGGGTGCGAGAGTGCTTCAGTAGCAGTCATACGTTTGCTAGGATCAAATTGAAGAAGGCGCTCCAAAAGGTCGATGGCTATGTACAGGTTCGATAAAAATCATACAATGAATATCGGAAATACTTGCCTTGCGCGGATGCCTTCGGAAGGACTTGTTGGAAAGGAGTTTTGGGGTATCTTGGATACTGTTTCAGCGTGATTTCAGGCTTGACGGTGAATGAGTCATTTATACGTGTTCAGTATAGGATGATTGACGTACTGATTCGGTTGCTATTTTCCTCAAAACCCTATCTTCTGGTGTACCAACAATTCGCATGATATGCAGAAGCTGGTCTTGATTATCGCGACCTCTGAAAAGGGGAACACCCGAAATCATCTCTGCAAAAATGCAACCGCAGGACCAAACATCAATCGAGGTGTTGTACGTCCGAGAACCCAAGAGGACATCGGGAGCGCGATACCATAGGGTGACCACCTATTGTAGACAGGTCAGAAAATTAGGATGATAACAAGTATAGAAGTGCAAACCTCGTTTGAGAAAGTGTTGACAGGTACTCCGAAGGCCCGGGCAAGACCAAAATCACCCAACTTCAGCTCACCCTTTCTATTGATGAGTAAGTTCTGTGGCTTCAGGTCACGATGTAAGACCCGATTCTCGTGACAGAACGAGGTGCCTTTGAGAAGCTGGTACATGAAGCTGCGTACAGTCATGGGATCCAGTGCGCCCCTATCGCCATGTTGATCCATATATTTTTTTAAATCTTGATCACAATACTCGAAAATGAGCACCAATTTTGTCTCAGTGTGGATAACATCGTGAAGGCGAACGATGTTGACATGCTTCAGCTCTTTCATGAGTGAGATCTCACGGATCGCAGTTGATGGGGTGCCCTCTTCAGCATCGAGATGGATCTCTTTCAAAGCGACAATCTCGTTCGTTGTCCGTGAGCGCCCCTGCAAAAGATATATTGTCAGGGCATAAACTGATTCGAGTGTATGGTATTACATGCCTTGTACACCGTGGCATAAGTACCCTCGCCTTGACAGAAAATGCGTCACCATCAACAATGAAAACTTAATAGCACATAGTCACATTCATACCTAACTTCTCTAACTAGTAGCAGTGAGAGATTATGATTGAGGCAGTAGTTTAGTAAGGTAGACCGCTCACCTGAATATAATTCATGTCTGTCTAGTCAAAATATTCTCGGACTTCCAGGTCTCAAAGGCGTCTAATGGTCGTAAGAGGGCGTAGCGAGTTTGTAGTACAAGATTCGAGGGGTTTTTACCAGGTAGTAATACAGCGAGACGCAATTTTACAGCGCAACTTCAAGACCAGTGCAGCCGGATCTGAACTTTGGTTGAAATCCAGATTACCTTATCAAGAGCCGTGGGAATTCAGTGCACGCGACCTGCCAAAGTAATTTTCCTCCAGAAACACGCCAAAGACCAAGGGAGTGGGTAAGGTATTACTTTCACTGTGTATTAAAGCTCTCCAGTTTAATCTGATATTGTAATTCACACAGCGGTAAAATGGCATCTTCACCAGCGCCAGCAAAAAAAGCGCGGACAAAAGCTTCCCGCAAAAAAGTGAATACTCCTCGCACAGATCTTGGCGAGGTAGTTGTAGAAGATGAACCTTCGGCGATTGTGAGTATCATGGTGATCTTTCGCTCCTGGATATCCTCAGTGACCTCGAAAAACTGAACAGGCTGCACAAAGAAATGTTCGCTATGCGGAATCTTCATCACTCGCTGTGCATTCGGGCACAGAACTTGGGCAGGACCAAGCCATGGAGGACCTTGCAGCTCGTGACGTTGACGGGAACTTAGATACAGACTTGGCTGAGCTTAGCTTAGGACAGCGGCTAACCGCATTAAATGGAACGGAGGCTGCCACTCGAATAGCAGAGTCGGACAGCGACGTGGAAGATGATGCAGGAGGTGTATCGCGCCAACCACAAAAACATCAGGAGACACCGAATCTTGTCCCCGCAAATTCATTAACCCGCACCTTGATACAAGCACTGCATTCTTCAGATTCTCGACTCCTGGAAACCTGTTTGGCTCATTCTGACCCAACCCTGATACGAAATACTGTAAGAAGACTCCCATCGCAATTGGCTGTACCACTATTGTCAGTGTGTGTGGAAAGGTTAGGGAGAGGCTCGAGAGCGGCTAATATGAAAGGCGGAGGTGGGGGAGCCAGCTCACAGAGAGGGATGGGTCTGATTACCTGGGTCAAAGCGGTCTTAGTAGTTCACAGCGGGTATCTAATGACGGTATGATTTTCTTTGAGCCATCACGATTAACAAAAGAAATTCTAACAGAAATATTGTGCAGTTGCCCGACCTAGTCGTTCGGCTATCTGGTCTTCATGCTACGCTCACTTCCCGACTAGCTCTGCAAGATAGCTTGCTTGCTTTGAATGGACGGCTTGACATGGTACTTTCACAAATCGAGATGCGATCGTCAACAAGTCCTGCAATTTTGACGTCTAACAAAGACAAGGGTAGTTCTGGCTCACGGACAACAAGATTACCAACACGATACGTAGAGGGTGAGAGTGACAACGAAGAAGAACAGATGGATGCAGAAGTAGCAGTAGAAAGCGGGGAAGATGAAGGTAGCATAGAAGACGTTGAACTTGGCGGAGAGAGTCAGGAAGATGATGATGACGACGACGACGAAGGCGAGAGTGATGAAGAGGATTCGGACGGTGAAGGCCCAATGTTAAATGGATTTATCGACGATGAAGCAGAAGAGTTTGATGATGATGAACAGGATGACGGTGATAGTGAATAGTGCTCGTTTTTGCTCACCAGGCTTATTTTAGCCTGGCGATTCTTCTACAAGATAGACGCTGAATTCCATACGAATGCATGTATTCGCCACAAAAGAAAAGTACAATACGTTCTACATCGGTTATGATTTTTCTCAGTCATCCAAGAACTCTCCACTCCTTGCACGCTGCACATATTCTTTGACCCAGCGCGGTCGACGTGCATGTTGCTCCAGAAGTCGAGCACGCATTTCTGTCTGCCTTAACTCGTTACTATTTGCATCATTCGAACTGGCCTCTCGGGTACCATCTTCTCTATCCCTCGCATCTGACTCCATGGCATTCAGTTCCGTACGTAGTTGTCCCTCTCGCTGTTTCAGTGCTGCTCTCCGCTTATTCCAAACCGCAGGATGTAAAGTTAAGATGAGTAAACTCAAGAAGATAACTAGCTTGCGTAAAAGACCTGGTTCTCGTGGTCCTTGAGCGCCCTGCATAGGCCACAAAGCATGGCTCTCGCTGTGTATATTGGTGAGAGCAAGACTATGGAGAACCCCATCCGCTTGAGTTTCTGTCGGAAGCCGAGGACGATTCTGTGGACCAGGCTGTCCCTGATTTCCGTTAGGACCAGCAGGGGCCTGAGCGCCAGGTTGGCGGCCTTGGCCCTGAGGAGCAAACTGAGCATCGGCAGCACCCCCGTTCTGCTGAGGTGCCTGAGGATTGTTCTCTGCACCTTGATTGAAAGGGCGGACTATAACCACACGAACGTGTGCCCACATTTCGTACATTATCATTGCAATAATGCACATTCCAATTATCGGTTTGCGCGCCGGCGAGATAAAGTAGAGGAGAAGTAGCGTGCGAACAATAACCATCATCAGGGGGGCCAGGAGTGCACGAACCGGGATCTCGTGGACGAGCCGGTCAGCTTCTGCATCCGGCGCGGGCACGTTTTGGGCATTATTTATTTGGGGGATTTGAACGGGAGGAAGGTCGAGCCGCTGAAGAAATTCGTTTGTATGTTGGAGAAATTCCGTCATGTGAGCGGGGGAAGCAACCCGTTCGTAAACTGCATTGGTAGGAATGAATGGCAAGTGGGGAAAATTGAAAGAGAGAAGAGGATAAGTATAAGTGAGTGTCTTTAGGGCATGTGCTTGTCTGGAACTGGGCTTTCCCTCTGGGTTCCGAAGAGTAAGGTAATTCCGACCTCTGATACAAAGTATCAAATCACAATGCTATGATCAGAAAAGTAGAGCACCCACTCTATTGTAACACGCTCATAAGTTAGTCCACCACCTTCACTCTGGTCAACCACAGGGTATTCTTCATCCAGGATGTTTGGCCAGATATATCCGCTATTTTCAAGGCCAAGCTTGACCTGCATTCGAGATGCTTCTAGATGGCTTGGTGGTGGTAAAATAGTGTCGTTCGTTAATATGGATATTGCATTTTGATGCTTGAAAGCAATGAACCCCAGTTGCTGATCGGTAACAGAAGGTTGATGCGATGACTGAGTTGCGTTGGTTTGTTGTGGTCTGCCGAAAGGACTGGCGGGAATTTGAGGAGGTTGAACTGCTTGTGAGGCTGATGCTAATCTGGTAGCGGGAGAGGATGAACGCGGGACCGTTGGAGGAGAAGCGGACCAAGCAGAGTGATGAACCGCTAAATGAACAACACGCTGCTCTTCTGGAGACTACAGTGCACACATGTTGTAAGATATACTTGGAGCCCTTTCTACAGAAAATCTACGCACCTTCCAGATGTCAGAAATCTTCTCCTCATCGTTCAAGTATCGCCCCCTCCAAATGAGTCTCTGGCCCTCTACACGTGGTTGACCGGTGCACCCTGCGAATATTGCCTGCTTGACGTCGAGGACGATGGCTCCAGTGTAGACTTGCACGGTGAAGGAATGAGAATAAGTGGGGAGCTCAACGCGGATAGGAACGAGAGACATGAAAGACAATGACAAGTTGCCTTTGGTCGACGTGGAGGTCACGCTATCACGGCAGGGCAGTGATACCGGACTTTTCCTTGGTATCGGCCACCGGCAACCCGAATATACTGTTAATCGTAGCGGGGCGCCAATCCCCGACTCAGTTATCAAGACAAATTAGTACCAAGAAAAATCATCAAGAAAAAGATACAGTCTATATAGCCCTGGTACTGTAGATTACTAGGTGTCACATTCACAATTCGACACTGGAAATGGCACCAGTTGTTCACACCGACTTTTATATTTCTTTACGACTGTATGTTCCGCACACCAATACTTGCACTACTAGCGGACAACTGAATCTTGTCAATGCAATTCATGTCATTATGGTTTGAGATCACGTGCCCACTTCAATATCATTGTCAGTGCCAGGGGTGCCTGGAGGGCAATGCTATTCAATAGATGAGACATTCATGACTATAGGTCAGATCAAGGTTCACATACAGGGAAACAGACCAATATGTATGGCTGAGACAACAAAAGTGTCTGTTGCACTGCAGGCATTGGCTTATTTAAGCCCAGCCTATATCCTGAAAATATGGGAGTTCTGTGATTGGCGAGAAAAAGCTAAAATTGAATGTTTTCAGGATATAAGCTGGGCTTAAATAAGCCAATGCCCACAGTGTTGTACATGGCCAAGCAAGCACCAAAGGAATTCAGTACAGCAAAAGGGTCAAAATCATCAGATGCAGGAAATACTAGTCTGTAGTTGCACTTCTTGGTGGGAGATTCAGATGTTGGTGTCCCCATCGGATTTGCACTGTCCTTTCCCACAGCAACATAACTAACATCCAAGTGTGACTCTTCCAACTGCTCAATACCTTTTGTTTTTTTGTTTGACAAACAAGCTACTTTGTGCTTGCTGGAGGGTGGCTTGGTAATAGTAGTCCCCGTCACTCTCCTTTCCAACATACTAAATTGGTGTGTCAAAATTAGTATTGCCACAGGTCAGAAAACCCAAGCCTCCAAAATGCCAGAACCCTCAAGTCCGAACTCCCAAATCTTCAGCATCAGTCAAGTCTCTTACTTACAAACCCAGCTTGGAGCTGAGCTTGGATTCACTACCTACTTAGTATATAAACCCATATATCACAGTAGGATAGGACAAGTTGAATCTACTCTTCAATTCCCTGCTATCATCATGAAGGAAGACCTCAGTCCTATCATCTGAGGAGACTATCACATCCATAATCCAATCCCTATCAGACAATTATAGACCAAGAACCTTGAACAATCAATGGTAGCATAACATTAGAGTTGAATTGCGATCATAATGGAAGACCAGATCGTAACAGCTGCAGCTGTTGCACATGCTGGTGCATATACCGGCTGGTCTTGAGGACGCACGTAGTGCGCGCCTCTTGTCTGTCCAACAGTGTCTCACTATTGGAGAAATTGTCGTGCTAGTGCCTATGCCCTACACCAACGCCACTCACGAGTTCTTAGAACTTGTCTTCTCTTCTCATGAGAAAGAGTTGGCGGCAGATGTGGCTCATAAAAAGCTGCAAGCTCTGCGTGATGCAGGAAACTTCCCCTCTTCGCTAGGTAGCTCTAGCCCTGAGATGCCACTTACTCAGTGGTTCTAAGAGGAAAAACGGGAGGAGAGCTCTGCACTTGAGAAGGCGCACCTCGCTTACAAGAAAGAGCAACTGGACCGGGCCATCACCTTAAGTCGTCCAAAGCTTCTATGTACCAAAAATCCCTACTACCACACACCATGTACAACTACATTGTACCTAAGTTCACTATCATCCATGACGAGCAGACAAGGCTATGCCAAATCCCCACTCTGGGAACGGTTGATAGCCATGGTATTGAAGGGCCCTTAAGGGTCGTATCATGGGAGACATCTCCAGGAGTAAAAAGAGAGATAGCTGTGTGCAAACTGGACTGCATTGCATGGGCAATGCGAGCTTATGTATTTGCCGCACGCCAAATATCACAAAGCGGAAGTGAAAGTGCAGAACAAGTGGTCCTTGAAGGCAGACACCAATGTTGCGATGGGAGAAGTGACGGCATCCGGCAGTAAATCCGTGGAGTCCCTCATAGACCGCAAGGTCTCCATGGCCCTCAAGAAAATACTTCCTTTTCTCACACTCTTACAGAAGAACAAGGTTGACTTTGTGAAGAGAGCGGCAAAAAGGAGGAGAGAGTTGACAGACCGATCAGAGGGCGCAAGCAGAAGCAATGAGCCCCCTCCCCCTGCCAAGAAAGGCAAAAAAGGTGGAGAGCCTTACAAGGGGAAGATCAACAGGGTGAAGAAGGATGGGAAGGGCAAAGGGAAAGCCCCCCAAAAATAATTATACATATCTTCAATAGCCGTTATCACAGGACTCTAGTACAAGCTGGTTCGCCCAGTCCTAGAGTATTTTTCTACTATACATGGACACTTTGTGCCGGGACCGTTTTCAATTATATGTGGGATGATGAAAAATTCATTTACAATGATTGCAACACATGGCCAGACTCCTTATTAAGTATCCCAGCCCCAGATGCTGTCGGTATTGTCCTAGACCACGTGCCTATCTCAATTCTTGAGGCAGCCAGATTTTGTGGCCTTATACATTTAGGACCCAATGTTACCGTTCCAACTCATCTTGCTATACACCTAAGTGCGGGAATGAAATACCAATTGATCCAAGAACAAGACACTCGCTTGCTGTTATCTGCTTACAATGACTTAGAAGATCACCTAAGATGGCGGTTCTTTTTCGGATTAGCAGAAGGAGTGAACCCAGATAAAGATACTTATGACCCTGGTAGCTAAAGTTAGAACTACTGCCGAGTTATCATATTATGGCTACATTGAGCGCGGCTTCGGTATCGGAAGAAACATCGTGCAGAACACAATTCTCACCATGCCGGTCAAGACACATGGTGGAGATAGATCCAGAATAACCTTGGATCTGCACATGGCCAAACTCAAATGATTCATGACCAATAATAACTATATGGTCACGATCACAGATAAAAATCTTGGAATAGCCGTCATTAGGAAAAGACTAGTTCATAGAAAGATGTCTGTCACAGTTGTCCGACCCCGTTCAATACGCAGTTGTAAGTCAAAATGAGGCAAACATGATTTTAAACAAACAATGCATACTCTCACAAGAATGCAGCAATATGGCGGGCGCAAGCCCATATGGAAAACAGCTGACACAGTTCTTTATTTCCCAAAAGATGCCGGCAGGTGGCATACATAAGATCCCAGAATTTTATGGCATCCCAAAGATCCATAAAACGCCAACTAAGATGCGGCCGATAATCCCCTACTACAATGCAATTCAGAACCCAGCTGTGAAGTATGTAAGCAAGATGCTTAAACCCGTGATCTCCGGATCAGAAACCATTTTAGTTTCATCTAAACAAATGGCTATAGCACTTGATTGTTTGAACACCAGATGCAGACAAGTATTTTTAGTGACAGGAGATATAGTGGCATACTACCTGTCCATTCCGGTGAAGCGATCTGAAGAGATTGTGTTGTAGTTGCTCTTAGAACACTACTTCCACCGGACAGATCTTGATGTACTCAAATGGACTGAACTTAAAGCTTACCGGCTTTTTGAATGGTGTCTGCAACTGGCCCATTCAGAATTAAGAACACAATTTCAAGGAACAGTTTACCAAGTGCTCAAAGGCCTAGCAATGGGCATTGCAAGTAGCCCCGACGTAGTGAACCTGTTTGGTCACTATTTTGAGACTCGGTCCAAACTCCTGCATGATCCACACATAGTTTTATACAAACGGTTCATAGACGACTTGTTTGTTGTAGTTGAAGCAACATCTGCTTTAGAAGCCCTTCGACTCGTTCAAACTCTAACATTTGAAGATTGTGTGATTGATTGGGAGTACCCTTCTACGTCCCAGGTATTTTTAGATATGCAAATTTACCTGGACTCTATCGGCGGAATCCGATGGAGACCTTACAGGAAGGCGAACCATCATCTCGAACAAATTCCATGGATTTCCCACCACCCCTTAGACATGAAACACGGGGCTGTTCTTGGCAAAATCTCACGGCTGTTACGATACACAATTTTTGGACCTTTAATTTTCATTCTCCTCTTCAACTTTCTTTTGTAGTTTTCACACACTGTGCCATGCAGCACTTTCCATTTTGTTCAAATTCCATCTTCTTGCGCTACACTGCCTTTTTCTTATTTTAGCTACAAATCTCTCACGCAGTGGAGTTGGTCACACGGGCTGCGCCCTCTGACATCATCAGCCACTGCTTTCATCAACTGTACAGTACATAGGTACAAACACTCTGTATTAGTATAAATACCCAATAGATCCAGGAGACTCCTCAGCGAGTCCTCCTGTTGTTTACCCACAACTAACTTGATCCTACCTAAGGGGTAACCACTCCCACTCATTACTCTTTTGCTTGTCTGAGTTGTGCGCCAGAGTACTCTGGGTTGTTACAATGGCTAGCTACCCTCTGTCCTCACAATGATACATTCCTGGAGAGTATGCAAGGACTCTATCAACTATGTGTTGCTCATGGCTACCCTGACGGAGAGTTAAAGAAATGGCTCAATTTGGAAGAATTGAATAAGCGTTGGTTGAACCGGCTTTTGATCCGGGATGACGACAATGCAGCAATGGACCTGCTTATAGTCCTGAAGAACCAACTTAACCCTGTATGGAACTAATTTGACGCTAAAGAATTGCAGGAAGCCATTGTCGGCTATTGGCGTGAATATTGTAGAAAGTTCACGACTGGTGAATGACTCAGTGTTAGTCTGTCCCCGTGCAGAGCAGGTTGAGACCGGCGGGTCAGTGGCTTCGGCCGCTGATCCGATGGACTCCTTGTTTTTGCCTGTGGGCGGACCCCCCCAAGTGGCGTCTGAGCCCCTTGCACTGTCTCCCTCTGACTGTCGGGTCATTGCGGATGTGCGGAAACTCAAATTTGCAAACGATTCTCGTTGGCTCATGTCAAAAAAGGTTACTGACAATCTTTTTAAGCGAGTCAACAAATGGAAATGTGCTGTGTGTAACAACCAAGAGTTAGTTACTCTGGCACACACAAGAACACACTATAAAGGTAGTGAGGAGGGAGTGGTTACCCCTTAAGCTGCAGAGAGTTTGTTGGTATACAACAGGAGGACTCGCTGAGGAGTCTCCTTGATCTATTGGGGTATTTATACTAATACAGAGTGTTTGTACCTATGTACTGTACAGTTGATAAAAGCAGTGGCTGATGATGTCAGAGGGCGCAGCCCGTGTGACCAGCTCCACTGCATGAGAGAGTTTGTGTCTAAAAGAAAAATAAAGGCAGCGCTGCGCGAGAAGGTGGAGTTAGAATGAAAAAGGAAAGTGCTGCATGGCACAGAGTGTGAACTATAGTAAAAAGGGTTAAAGCGGAGAATGAAAATTGAAGGAAAGGTCCGAAAATTGTGTTATTGTAACACTGTGCTTGATTGCGAAAAGCCAGAGCTTAGAGCACCGGTAGACTGGAGCACCTATCAGATAGTGGCACCATTCAAAAGCATGGAGATTAGCTAGGATTGAACTAAGAAGAATATATCCCACATCCGGTATTATCTCCGTGCCCCCCGGTACTGACTTAGTAACTATCTTAGATGTAGAATGCCCGTAGGAACAACCCTGTAAGGGAACAATACTTGTTCTGAATTGGGTGTAGATTCAAAATTCTATCCACAGAATTAGACAATAATGTAAAGGATCCTGAGAGGGACCTTCAAACGGTGTACGCAAAATTAACCCTGAATAAACCTATGATAAAATGTTTATGCATGTGCATATGTGCTTGCAGGTACACAATATTTTTGATGTTTGTAGTTTTGACAATAGCTGAAGAAAACCCACAGATGATCTGCTGCATTTGAAATGTTATATATCCGGACGGAGTTATGCAATCTCACACTAACCTAACCGTACATTATCATGCTAAGTCTATTCTTGGAATAATGACCTGATAAAAGTCTGATTAGAGAACTTAACCAATTCTAACCTTATCTAACCAACCAAATTGTGCAAAGGCTGACGTAAGAACTTGGCCTATTATGGACCAAACCTTTAATGACCCTCTAGGGGGGCCCAACATTATTGGAAGAACTCTATAAATGCCTGTGCACTCTTGAAAGGATGGTGGTGCTAGGCTGCCAAATGACTGAAAGAGTCAACTAGTTTATGTAATGCAAACTCACTATCCTTGCCCAACTTAGTAGGGTAATTGGAATGTTCCCCCGGCCATTGCGTCTGTGGGCTAAGTGTGGAATTGCCCACATTGGTTGCACTTGCGATCGGAGCAAACCTTCTATCCAAAAAGGGACTGCAGGTGTTTGGCGATAAGGCATATGGTATTCATAGTTTTGGATATGTATTTTGATTTTAGTTCAGGGGCGAAGACAATACTGTCCCCCGGCAAATTAAGGACAAGCAAAATCAAGATACCCGAACGGTTATCTACCCCTGGTGCCTACGTAAATCGGACCGGTAGATAAAATAAGATTTAGATCTAATCAGATGACCGCAGATCAAGAATAAGCATTAAAGCATGTCCGGCAAATAAGGCCGAGTACCAATACTTTAGTGCCCGGTAACCCCACACTGTGGCACGTGACCGGATAGGCGTGCACTTATGGAATGTTCGAGAAAGAGTGGCATGTGTTATGACGTGACCTTGAGATATATACGCAATTGGTCCACGCATTATGGCATGGTCATGGTGCCTTCTACTGCGGATGAGTCATTACTTACCTCTAGCCAATAGCATTAACAACGCTTGATTGGTCATGTTTGGAGATAGGTCTTTAGAATTCTATAGTGAGCTTTCAGCTTTGTAATTGATTTACATCATTGCTGGCGAAAGGAATGTATCTTTTCATTTAATCACTCACTTTAAAAAAATTGTACCAATCATACATTACAAAATGGTATTAATTGGCACTGAAGAGACATACGTCAAAATTGGTGTAGGACTTCAACTTTTCGGAGTCCCCAATCTGCCAATACCTCAATGCCTCAAAGCCCAACTAAGTATTTCTTTACTTCCCCCAGGTCAAGGACATGTGACCATAATATAGAGTATTCTTGGAAGAACTATAGATCACAGGGTATAGGGCTAAGGCTATGTTGTCCAAGAAGGAAAGAGAAAAGATAAGATAATAGTACAAGGTTCAAAAGATAAAAGATAAGAGATAAGATGGGAAAGTGTACGTGTGGGAATATGAAGATAGTGGTAGATGGTAACTACTAGACAAAGGAAATATAGTCCAAGTAAAGGAAATGTGAAGGATAGAGTGAGAGTAATTTGAATTGTAACAGCAGCCACAGCAAATGCCGAAACCCCAGATGAATCAATATGCAAGAAGGTTCGAGGATCAACCTCAATGAGGAGTATTCCCCGGACAAGGCATCGTCATGCACCAAATTTGATTAGTAGCATGGACAGGTGTCAATAATGGAGTGAATATTCAAAAGACTTGCCTTTGCGCCACACAAGCACAGTGCCATGTGGAATAGTAATCAATATTGCCTTTTTCAAACTTGTGGCTGATCAGCACCACCTCTATCAAGCAATCAAGTCACGCTCACCTTTGCTTTCCATTCGGTACTTTCTGCATTTTGGCATTTTGGCATATTTTTGTGTTGCCACTGGCTACACATTGCGCCCTCGCTTTTGTTGTTCTCCCTTACCTTTTTTTCTTTACTCAGCCCCACCATGGGCCCCTTACTCTCTTTTTTATTCTCACCGGACGGTCGTTTCTGGCTCCCTATTCCAGTCCACTTCCTTGTCACCTCCACCCTCCTCCTACTTGTCTTTCTTGCTCCCCCACCATACCTGATGTCACCACTCTCCATCCACTTCCATTGCTGATCTGTCAACCACCACATGCCACTGCTGATATCAGCAAAGCCCCGGTGGCTGGTCCAAATTGGGCAACAGGTCCTTCATGACGTCAATCTTCCATTGTATACTATCAAATCATTGGTCGCTCATCTCGCCTGGTTGGAGCGTGGGTGGGTAGTTTTAGTTTTTGAGCTGGAGAAGGTTTATCCCCTTGCGTTGCCTACGTACATCGCTGTCCCATTCACTTGGGTACATTTATCCTTCATCCATCATCTTTGCTACAGCTACACTTACCACACACTGCCAGGGACACATTTGTTCCAGATTGGAACTACTCCCCTCCCTCCCTGGTTTGACCAGGTGGTCCAATACAACCAGTCCATTGGTAAGGCTATGGAACCGTCAGATTTGGACTAGGTGGTGGACCAGTGGCTCCAGTTTCTTTTTTTTCAGCAGAACATTCATTTACAGTGCAATTATTTTTGATTTTTGAATCATTTTTATGGACACATATTTTTTTAGAATGCCTGACTGACAATAAAGGAACTGTGTTGATACTGATATTGTTTTGCCTTGCCCTTTTTTTACTGCATCTTCCTATAACATCATGATTTTCTTACTTTCTTTCTGCTATTGGACTTTATTTTATGGCTGTACAAACCTGTGACATTACTTACACAGCATTCATTGTTCTATTCCTTTCTTTTCCTTATTTTGACAATCTTATCCTGTACTACCTATGCAGGATTTGTCAGCGTACTCCTTCATGTTCTTTCTCATTCTTTTTGCACAGCTATACTGTGCATAGCCTACTTTTCTTTTACTATATAAACCCCTGTATTTTACCTTGTAAAAATAACAAGAACTCCAATCCAGACTTTTTCTCTAATCTCAAGTTCACTACTCTGCTACTTGTGATCCAGTGTGGTCACAATACTTCCCACTGCTACTACTGTTGACTGCTGTCATTGTCACTCATCACTTCCAAAGCTATTGCTATCCCTTTTGATTAAAGTCCATCTGAGCACTACAGTCTGTGCATCAGGAGCCTGCTATCACTGGGAACCTTGTCATCTTGTCACCTCGTTGTTCTCAAACCTACCTGGTGCTACAATTAGCAACGGAGTGCTTGTGTATACTCTTTATAAAACCCCTACCTTTTATATTCCAACTATCCCTCCTCCTGTAACAACCAAGGGTTAGTTACTCTGGCGCACACAGGAACACACTATAAAGGTAGTGGATGGGGAGTGGTTACCCCTTAAGCTGCAGAGAGTTTGTTGGTATACAACAGGAGGACTCGCTAAGGAGTCTCCTGGATCTACTGGGGTATATATACTAATACAGAGTGTTTGTACTTATGTACTATACAGTTGATAAAGTTAGTGGCTTGATGATGTCATGGGGCCTAGCCCACATGACCAGCTCCACTGTGTGAGAGAGTTGTATCTAAAATAAGAAGAAGGCAACGCGGCACGAGAAAGAGGAGTTTGAACAAAAGGGGAAGTGCTGTGTGGCACTATGTGTGAAAGCTAAAGTGTACAAGGTTAAAGCGGTGAATAAAAAAGAAGGAAAGGTCCGAAAATTGTGTTATCGTAACACCTCCTCAAAACCCACACCCATACATCCCTGGGTTTTGCTTTGAAAAATCATTATATGTATCACCCCACGACCAACCAGACTACTCCACTGTTCTAGGAGGCAAAGCCCATACACAAGTTCCGTGGAATCTGGGAGGATTGTGTGTTAGTTTGTTTTGTGTGTGGTTTTCTAACTACAGTTCTCATCATCAACAGTGTCGTGAAGTGGCTAAAGAATTCATCGCAGCATTTATTTTCCTGTTTGTACATAAGTCTGTATTATACAGCAGTATCCGTACATCTCTGAAACAGGCATGCAGGTATGGCCAATTCAGTCAGTGTATGTTATTACTGTAGGCTCAATGTTTATGATTGCCATTCATAGTTACTTGTTTCATCCCAATGATACTGCATGTGTATGTATGATCCCCCACACAAGAAAGACAACAATAACAACCCTAACTTCAAATTTGGCATGTGTGGTCATGTCATAAATGTTACTAAAACACTTCCCACATCCAGTGTTATGCCAACCTCACATTTAGCCTACCAACACCACCACACATTGTAAGCTCTAGACACTGGCATATCTTGCCTCATTATTCAAACTTGACAAAGCTGACTATAAGGTAACATAATCATACTTGCTGACAGAATTCATTCATGATGTACTAATTATAATCTCACCATGCATAGCAGAGAAATGCCAGAACAAAGCTGATTGATAACTCTAGCATTCTAACTTTATTTGTATGTTTATCAATCTGTAAACAATATGATATAACTTTCAAATTTTCATAAACACGGCCAAAGCATATAAAGGTTAATCCCACTGCTGATCAGAAAAGCATAGTTGATACAATTTTTACTGCTAATAATCACATCTATGTCTAAATAATGCTTTATTGGACCTTCACCTTTTTCCTGATGGAAGCATCCAATTAGGCTTGTACCCAGCCAGATCACTGGGTTTAATTTCGGTTACTAGCCGAAATTGTCTTCGAGCACACCCAGTGAACGACCGGGACCACTTGTCACCATTTTGTGAGGAGGATGAATTTGATGAGGTGGTGATTTAATTGTAGGGACTTAAAAGCCATAAAAAATTTCCCCCCAAGTTACTATACAAAAAGGCAATTTTGTAACTCGTAAACATTGAATATAGGAAAATTTTGCGACTTTTTTTGCAAGTGAACTTTGCCAGAAAATGGTAGTGACAGTGATGACAACCTCACCTCAAATTTTTCCAAAAAATATCTATTAACAAAAAATGATCTACTGGTTACAAAAATGCTTTTTTGTATACTAAGTTTTTGACATTTTTTTCTGACTTCTGAGTCCCTACGACAAAGTCCCCACCTCATCTTTGGTGAGGAATTCATCCTCCTCACAAAATGGCGACGAGTGTTCCCAGCCTGCGAGGTTGCGCAAATATGATAAGCGCGAGCTAGCCGAGCAGGTTGGGGACGAACCTAGCATCCAATCATAGTCAGTGTACAGTCACGGTGTTAGAGTTACGTACTATACTGCTATTAATATTATGCCATGTTTGTTCCAGTCTTGGACAATTTTTTGTTGGTTTTTACTGAGGTCAGAATCGACTTCGACGTTCCGCTTCATTGATTGATTAGGATAAAAATGGGACATAAACGCCAGATTTCAGATCGATTCACTCCATCCTCAAAACGTCTGAAATCTAACTCTACAATTTATTTGTCGTTCGAAGAATCCCCTCCTCCATCAGTTACAATCAAGGGGCTCACCTTCACTCCCACCAAAGTTTTTGATACATTCTGGCGTTACGCGGCAGAAAGGCAGGCCATTGATGATAGGCGCCGCAAGGGATTACCCCCACCGTAAGTTTCGTTGTGCGCAAGGTGCTTGTTGAAGGCATTGACATAGGTCACTTTACAGTTGGACAGATGATCCTATATTAGGTGGATATCGATTTTGTAACGTTTTCCGGGTATTGGATCGAGTAAGCCAGTACATCATCCGCGAAGTGATCGAAATTGGACCTCAAGAGCCGACAGAGGTGGTTTTTCGAGTGGTGCTTTTCAACACTTTTACCAGGATAGAAACTTACCAGCTTCTTCGCTCAAACTTTGGTACGCCCACATGGGCGCAGTACAAAAGGAGATCCTACGAAAAAGTGCTGCGGGCAGCGTATGAAAATGGTGTCAAGCTGTACACTGGTTCATTTCAGAAGCCCGCACCCAACATGGGTTACAAGGAGGCCTTCATGAATCATCTGATATTCCTGGAAGTCTTGATGAAAGACTTACCTGACCAGCTAGCAAATGCGCATTATATGGCTGACATCTTTGATTGGCTCTGCTCTTTCAAGAGTATGGGTGATTTTACAGCCTATCAATTGCTGCTCAATTTGTCATACTCTGATGTGATCAATTTCTCCGAGGATGATTTTGTCAGTGTCGGAATTGGCGCGCGTCGGGGCCTTCGCGATTGCTTTGAGGGAAGCCTTTCGCGTTCCGTAGAGGTGGATATCATTCGATGGATGCAGCAAACACAGCAAGATCACTTTGCTCGGCTTGGGTTGGATTTTAGAGGTCTTAGTCCAGACCAATGCTCGATGCAGCTTTGCGATGTGGAACACACATTGTGCGAAGTCTACAAGTATATCCGTCTCTGTAGGCGGGGAACGAGTAATAAGACCTTCCAAATTTCCGCAAAATTGGCCGCAAGACGACTCCCCAAGGCATGGTCCCACCCCGATCGTCAGATGCTTCGCATTAGGACAGAGGAATCAACCGAAATTGTCGAAAAATTCACTGTTTCACAAATATCGGCGCACCGTATGATAAACGGTGGTCGAGAGTTCCTGGTTTATTGGGAGGGCTATAGCGATGACGACGCAACCTGGGAACCGGAAGATATGCTCATGGAAGATGCTCCAATCGCTGTGAAGGACTACTTGACCGATGCAAAAATTAAAAGATGAGGTATGTTTTTCTACTGACGAGTGCGTGATTTCTTATCTCACATGAGCGTGGGCTTGCTCACAGTGGCAGAGGAATAGCATAGTAGAGGGAGGAGCTTTGTTCTAGGCTTCGATGATACATATAAGGTGTATAGCGTCATTGACAAACAATTTAAACTGCTGGGACTTTTGTGATCATAAACAAGACAAGATTCTGTGTGCACGTTATGTACCGTAGTGAAGACTTGGCTACGTCATACGCACGTGCCTTATGAAACCGTGACACGCCTGAGTGTGGGCAAGGCGAACGAACATTTTGTTTTCCACTCTATGGATGAAATAGTCATATCTGCGTAGATGGATCAGAGAAAATTCACGACCTCCGAGGCCCCGGGAAGTTTAAGCCAATGTATGTTGATGCGTTCATTATATCAGCTGCAGTATGGGTCTAACAGTTATCTTACTCATTAGCCAAAAAGCGGCGTTGGGTGGACGAAGTGCCATCAGATATACCAGAGGTCGCAGCAAAAAAGAAAAAGCTACAGGCACTGTCCAGCGCAGGTGGTGATGCAGTCCAGTCGAGTCACCTGGAGTGTAAACTGCGTAACAGGGACGCCATTGTCGCGGACAGAGTCATCGCCTTCCCAACAGAAGTTGTCATTCTCTACGACCCACCCCTCGCGACAATAGAAACCCGATTAATGACTCAAATTCGTCATCTCGATCCAGAAGAATCAGTCTACCGTCGTCACTTCCGTGCCGCACGTCATGTGCTCTTACAAGTAGGACCTTGTGCTTGTGATCTGTTATGGCGCAGTGTGCTAAAGCACCATGAAACTCATATATTGCCCCCCTACGAAGAAGATGACGATGCCGATATTGCTATTGCAACTATCAAGCGCGCAGTGCGCGACTTGGTGAAGAATTGGATGTTTTCTATGCCTAATTTTGACATCACTTCAAGAAGCTTCAATGTTACGCCAAAATTTGCTAAGCTGGTCCAAATTTTGAAATCGTGTCAGATTCTTGGAAGCGACTTCCGTGGCATTGTCATTGGTATATTGATTTGGCAGCACCTTGACAATACGCACTGAACGACTTTCAATTTGTAGTCCAAAAACGTGCGGTTGCATTAGCTATCGTCGATTTGTTGCGGAATTCAGATAATGGACTAGGATTTTTGCGACCATATGCTCTCATATCGACTTCAGATTTTTACCATCAAGTGCGAATAATATCTTTATAACCTAGTATTATCTCATACAATTGATAAATATTTTCAGGACGAAACTTGTCGCAAATTTTCATTGGGAACACACAATCTTCTCGTTATTACCAAGTCTAACGAAGACCTTGATATCTCTGCTTCTTCTCTTGTGATAAAGTGGGCCCCCCTCGAACGGTTGTCGCTCTTGGTGCTAAGTCATTTATTTCAGATATGATTTATTCGAAAGTCAACTTTCATACATTTATGCATGGTGTCATACCGGCAGATGTCATAGCTATCTGGTTCATATGGCAGAAAAAGGAGACGAAACTCACCGCCGCATCCTTTCGGAGCTTACTAGCTTTAGCCAAGAAAATCGAACTTCGATAGAAAAGTTCAAGGAGTATAGGGGACGCTTCCTACTGCCTCACAAACTTGAAGATACTATCCATTCCTACGATTCGCAAACCGAGGACGAAGGCGAGAAGAGTGTATCTCTAAAGGATCCAGTCACCAGCAACCGTATCTGTCTTCGAGATGCCACCAGCACAGTATACCGTCTTGCTGCCGCTATGTACGACGTTGAAAAACCTTTCGATGTTGAGCTATTTCGGATCAACAAACATCTGGATGAGCAAGGATCCTGGACATATTCATGCAATGTCATGTTACCTGCACACCCAACCCTACGGGTGTTTACTGGATCTTCGTGTCCTACGCCAGCCGATGCTCGTCGTTCAGCTTGCTACTATACCTGTACTGAGCTGTTCAACGCTGGGGTCCTTGATTATCGACTTTTTCCGCAACAACGTTTGAAGCCGGCTAGATTCTTGGAAGACGATTTTGAAGAGCCGAAAAAAAATATGTCAAACAAGAATGGCCAAGCTACGCCTAATCATTTATATCCGCGCAGGAAACCTGCTTTTTGGTCCAATTCGCTTACTGCTGTTTTCAACGACACACTTTATCCAGTAATGGTGGCTCTCAGTGGATTTTCTCCCGACCAATATGCTCCTGTTTTACTCCTCACTCGCCATCCTCTACCTCGAATGCACGATTTCAAACTCTTCTTCTCCGGCATCTCTGCACCTCTGCATCTAGCATGGGGAGGCCCCCTCGAAGTTGATCAGAATCAATTGGCTTTACTCCACCAGTATACGCTTAGAATCTGTCGCATTGTCGCGAACAAGCCATTTGCTTGTCCATTGAATGAGATGGCATATTTTTATGCACCCCTGAAATCTGATTGCACTCGTACTTCTAGTCAGGTACAGAGTAAATGGAATATCCCCGATTTTAGTGAATTCATTTGCTGGGAGTCTGTCCGCATCGCGAGTCGACAGTGGGCAACCCCCTTAAATTGGAGAAATGTTGAAGATTTAGCCAATGACACCGCTGACGCCGTTATCCAGGACCGCTGGGTGGAATTCACTAGACGATACTATGTCGTGAAGACCAGGCCAGACTTGTCCCCGATGAGCAAGCCAGCGGATAGTCCTGTAGGTCATTGATTGAATGCTACATCATCTTCATACTGATATGTAATAGCGAGAAGCCGCATATCCTAATCTATTAGAATATTGTAAATCGCGTAGAAAGGGATTAGATTGTCTGGTAGATCAAGAGCAGCCTTTGATCGAGGTGTCGAAAACTCCTGGCTTGTCCAATCATCTGAGCCCGACGTTCCGCCCTCTGACAACATCTGCAAAAGCGTCCGCTAAGTGTTTGTCTGATTGTATAAGTATGTAGAAAATCAGCTAATCTGTCGACTAGATCTCATTCCCGAGCTTTGTGCTAAACTCACCATTCCCGCAAGGTATGTTATCACATTTCGAAGTCTGAGACTAGATAGTTAACCTGGTAAATACAGCACACTCAGGACTGCTTTGCTCTTACCGTCAATCAGTCGAAGGATCGACGATATCTTGATCGTGAAAGAGTTGAATGCCAAGTTTTTCAACCACCATATAACCGAAGAGCTTTTGCTAGCTGCTATATCCACGCCATCCGCGGGCTTTGACTACGACTACGAGCGTCTGGAGGTTCTCGGTAAATTCTTTTTTTCTGCTGCATCCCAAATGTCACTAATGAACGAGCAGGAGACGCATTCTTAAAGTACTTGTCTTCGATTTATGTATTTGTCACAAACCCTGCAAAAAACGAAGGAGCGCTGCATGTGTCTCGACAGCAGATTATTAGCAATAAAGCTCTACTGAAAACTGCCTGTACGGTTGGTCTGCCACCATTTATACAATCAAGGCCCTTCAGCTATAAGGTATGGCAACCACCCAATTTTTCGCTGGTGTCCATCAGAGAGGACTTCACTCCGAACGACGACACAAAAAAAATTTCAAAAGCACCCTCCCAAAGTCCACTAGCTCGCAAAGAAACCGAAGCCATTATGGAGGCTCCCCCCAAGAAGATCGAATCCGAAGACTCCGTGAAGGGGAAAGCTCTTCCAGGCTCACACGCAAGCTCTAAGAAGGAAAACCGCGGTCAGCAGGACACACAATACACACAATGGCTAGGTGACAAGGTAAAGAGCTCGCTCGTCATTTAAACAGTACCAATATTTTAATTTTTTGCAGGCCATCGCTGACGTAGTAGAAGCCATTATCGGTGCAGCCTACATTTCTGGAGGACGCGATCTTGCATTAACTACTGCGAAAACCTTGGATATACCCATTCGAAACATTGAACATTGGGCTGACTTTGGACGGAAGGCGCTAACCCCTCCTCCTCGCGTCACCGCCAAGTTGCGCGATGGGTCTATCGAAGCAGTAGAAACTATTATAGGACACAAGTTCGCGTACCCACATCTTCTGGCACAAGCATTGGTTAGTTACTTAATATATTTTGATATTTTGCTTAAACTCCAAACTGGCGGATATTGTTCAGACCCATGCGTCAGTTCAAGGTTATCAATCGACTTGCTACGAAAGACTTGAATTCATTGGCGATGCTATCTTGGAATTTAGTAGGAATATTCATTACTACTAAGTTTTAACTTCACTCATCCTTACGCTCAGTGGTGATCCGCCATATTTTCAACCGCGACGATAAGATGTCTCCGGGTGTCTTAACATTAATGAAGGTTTGCACAATTACATTACTTTTATCCTAATCGCACTGAAAAACCAATCCAGGGAGCTATGGTATCAAATTCTGCCCTGGCAGCTGTTTGTGTATGGTCCGGCTTACACGAACATATACTGTACGAGTCTTTCCCTCTCGCTGGCAACATCCAAGGCTATATAGATGAGCTGAAAAAGAAGCAAACTGAAGAGTATGAGTTGGCAGCTCGCGAACAGAGAACCCCAGGACAGTTTTGGCTTGATGTAGAACCGCCAAAGGTAAGGTGAATGATCTCTATCGCGAGCCAATTCTTGATACAATGCATCGGGTTTAGGCTCTCTCAGATGTGGTGGAGTCAATTATAGGGGCGATCTATATATCAGATGGCTTTCAGCCCATTGGCTCAGAATTAGTGTTCAACAACATCCTGAAACCGTTCTACAATAAGCATATCACGTTGAAAACACTGTCTCATCATCCTACTAAGGTTATACTGGAGCTCCTCGAAGCACATGGCTGCCAAAGCTTCGAAATTGTGAAGAAAGAGGATACCAACCAACCTGGATTGACGTGCTGTGAAAGTAAGTTCGACTAAGACGCGTTAAATACGTCAGCGGCTAATGACTCATCGACTTTAGTTGTGATCCACGATGTCATTCTTGCAGCAGCTACAGATACATCCGCTGCTATGGCAAGTCGGCGAGCATCGGCTTTAGCTATCGACGCGTTGGAAGGCGATGCTGGATTTTTAGGACGCACATGCGACTGTCGAAATCTCGCCCAAGCCAAGAAAGGCCGTAAAAAGGCTGTGGACAAAATCTTGGCTGACCTCCAAGATAAAGAAGGAAAGGATATTGAGGCATCATTACTGGATTCAACAGTAGCCTCTCTAGGCTAATCTGTAGTCGTATGGGAGGCGATATGATGTTATTCTCTAATAAAGAACAATGCTGTGATCTACTCAAAAACATATGCCTTATCAAACAGCTCCGGATTTTTTCCTGTCATATTTGGCAGTCAGGAAGAGGTCGTAAGCCCTGATTCAACAACAACACGTACAGCTGAAATAATGCAGCAGCGAAAGGCAAGCTGAAACCTGTAGTCAGGAAAAGTGCAACCTTCAGGCCAAATGCAGCTTTCTTCTTCTCCCCCGGGAACTGGAAAGGAAAGTGCTAGAAAACCTTGTGAGGATCCGTGTATATCATACCCATTGTGAAGGGCTACGCACATGATAATCGTGCATCGAACGCGAAAGCACAGTACGAGAACGGCCAGCGTGTTGGCGTAGCGTCAGTGGTGCACGAGCGAGCAGCGACATGATGGTTATGAATAAAACGGTGAACTATTTTCGGGTAAACCCGTGAGTGGAGGTTAGGCTCAATTGCCGACAAGCGAGCACAAGTCACTTCCACCAAATCACACCCAATCCCCTTCCATGAAATCATGTAAGATAGAAACAGCAAGATCTTTCCGTTACGGTATAGGATATCGCTGAAAGACACTAGCCCAAGAGCTGGTTGTAGTGTATTCACTAGAGCCAGTTCTTGGTCAGGCTCCGGGATGACAACTACCCTTCAAGAAAGATCCAGATTTTTGGATCGATGGTCTCAGTAGTCTCAGTACTAGCAGCATAGTATTAAACATTCCTAAGCTTCGCTTCTCCATTGTACTTGTTCTCATCTAATGAGACTTGGGGCCTAACATGAAATTGAAAGTCTACTAGTCTGTCTTTCGGTGCACCTTGTCCTCAGTGCTCGCCTGAGGTGAAAATGAGATACAGTAGCTTCGACCAATTGCATTATTAAATGTGAGTAGCAGACGGCCCAATACAGCTATGTAGTTTTATCTAGTAGTACAGGTTCATCTTGTACAAGTAGTGCCCAAAGCCCCTCAATGGTGATCGCAACATGCAGAGACTATACCAAATTATAGCCTCTGGATAACAATGGCAGACGCAGCTCCGCCCTGGAAATCCTTTCAGGATGACGAACTACAGGAAATAAGAAGATAACTTACACCGTTGCAAATTCCAGCAGCTCCATACTGTCCTGGTTTCAAAGCATGGACCATAGATACGACAATGCGCGAACCCGAGTTCCCAATGGCGTGACCAAGAGCAACGGCACCACTGGTAATAATAATATCGATGTCAGAAGCCGCACATGAAGATATAACAAATACTCTCACCCGTCAATGTTGATCTTTGCAGGATCAATGTTCAGCACTTTTTCTGCAATACGAACGACGACAGAGAATGCTTCGTTGATCTCGAATCGTGATATATCGTCCACGGTCAAGTTAGCTTTTCGTAGAGCTTCGGGTAGTGCAACAGTTGGGGCCATGGGGAAATCAATGGGGTCAACTCCAGCATCGGCATATGCTAGAATAATGTTTAGAAACGAGCCCATTAGTCGGCATAGCCTAAATGAAACTCACAGACTACTTTGGCGAGAGGCTTAAGACCAAGCTCTTTGGCCTTCTCGGCAGACATGAGGATGAGAGCAGATGCACCGTCGTTGAGATTAGAGGAGTTCGCGGCGGTAATGGTACCTCCCTGCTTGAAGGCGGACCTGAGTGATGGCACTTTGTCGAAGATAACCTTCTTGTATTCCTCATCCTCCTTGACCACGGTGTCACCCTTCTTGCCCTTCACGGTGACGGGTGCGATCTCTTTATCGAATACATTTTGTTTCCAAGCCCGGTCAGCGCGCTTGTAGGATTCGATAGCATGAGCATCTTGAGCTTCTCGCGAGATACCGTATTTTTCGGCAGCAGATTCACCACAGTTACCCATGGCAAAGTTGTTGTAAACATCCCATAGTCCATCAATCTCTACTGAGTCTTTGGTCTCGAATTTACCAAACAATGGGTTTTGACGGGGGAGCAGGAAACTACGTAATAGGGGTTAGACCAACTGACTTCATGCAAGTAACACGTGAAAACTTACGGTGCATTACTCATGCTCTCCATTCCTCCGGCAGCAACGACGGTCTTGTAACCGCTCTCAATGCTCTGAGCAGCGAGCATGATGGACTTCATTCCACTAGCACAAACTTTGTTGATGGTAGTAGCATCTGACGACGACTTCATGCCAGCAGAGAGAGCTACCTGCCGTGCCGGGGATTGACCAACACCAGCCTGCACGACATTTCCAAGGTAGATTTCCTCGACAATGGCAGGATCCACTCCCGAGCTCTCAAATGCATGTTTGAGAGCAACGACACCGAGTTGTGGGGCAGTGAAGGTCTTCAGAGCGCCGTTGAGTGAGCCAACAGGCGTTCTTGATGCAGCAACGATGACAGCTTCATGAGACGACTGGGAAAACGTGCTTAGGCAGTTCTATCAGATTTGATCCTAAGAGATGCTCACCATTGTGCGTATAGATTGTGTAGTGAAGGCGAAAGATTTGAAACGAGGTAATGCAAGAAATCGTGCAGCAAGCATGGCAGACCTTATATGAGTTAGACAGGCGATCGGATTACTCCGAAACAGAAAATCGATGCCTTATCACCTCGAACCATACAGGATTGGATTGGTAAGCGATTAGTCATCGTTTGGATGGTACGACTACCACGGGATTGCGCCAATACATCATCCTGCGGCCGCTCGTTGCACCTCGTTCCACATTTCTCAAACACATTCATCCACCAACCATCAAACGCCGTTGCATCAGCTCACTAAGGGGCAGTGACCATTGGTTTGACAGAACGGTACATTTTGTGAAGTAACTCTCCGTGGGTGCAGATCAATTTTATCAATTTTATCAATTTTCTATGAAGCTCGCCCCTTATCGCAGTGCCTTCATGATGCACGTCTAGGACTGTATTACCTTGTTCTTCTCCCAGATCTCGGGCGACAAGAACTGAAACGCCGAGCCTCAAAAATCCAATTCGCAGTTTATGGCTGTTAGCATTAGATCCCGAGTGAACATTCTGTGCTGTAAAATGCTGTCACGGCGCCACCTAAGTGTGTCGAGCAATGCAGCACTATATCTATGCACTTGCTCCGCTCAAGGCTTGGTGCGTCATTTGTGAGAGTTTATGGCATCCATACACAAAATACATACATATTCACAATCAGAGACATCTAGTGTAACAACAATTACTTGACAATTATTTGATATACTTACTCAGACCTTGAAGTCGTTCTCCGGCCCTTCTTAAGGTGTCAAGATCCTTACAGAATGCGAAGCGAGCATAACTTTCACCGATCGTACAGTGCTGTTCGCAGTAGAACTGTAGAAATAATGAGAAAAGGGAACAAGACTCCCGAAGAAGACGCATACCTCGCTGACGGGTATAGAAGATACGCCCAGCTCCATAGCAATGAACCAGCAGGCCCTGGACAAAAAAGCATCGTTTAAATGATTGCGTACTTCCGATCGACATCCGAAAATATACCTGAAATCACGTCCCCGGCCTTCTACGGACTTGGGAAATGGGTAGTTATCTGGGAAATCAACCCTGGATATATCCTTTTGATTGAACAATCAGACGAGAACTGAACGAAGAAAATATTTCCGACACTCACGAGTAATACGAAATAGCTTCCTTCTGGCATGCTGTATTTCAGACCGAGTTTGTCAAAAGCACTGGTCAAAAGGTTGCGTCTCTCCTCGTACTCCCGGTTTTGAATGGCAAAGAAGTTACGCTCCTTTGCCTGTTCAAGCCCAACTGCAGCCGCTTCCTGCAATGGTGAGTTGGTACAGAATACGATACGTGTCGTTACAGCAAGAGTAGGCGCGATAATGGAGGGGGGGCCAATCAGCCAGCCAATTCTCCACCCCGTCGCTGCAAACGCCTCTGAATAACGCGCTTGAGAATTACACTCGGGGGAAATTGTACTATGACTTACTGCCTGCGGAGAGAACCGTCACTGTACGGTCCCACATCCCTGGTAAAGTTGCGAAACGAACATGTTCCTTCCCATCAAAAACAAGGCAATCGTACTATTAATGGCGTAAGAGGTTGAATAATAGTCTATACTTTTTTGGACAATAAATTACGCACGACTTCGTCCGCCATAACGAGGAGATTGAATTCTTCTGCAATCACAGCGATTTTCTCGAGCTCTTCTTTGGTAAATACTTTCCCAACGGGATTGTGAGGTGTATTGATGATAATCATTTTGGCTTTCGGAGTTATGGCCCGTCTTGATTGAAAGTTAAAAGACGAATAGAACTACTGAAATGAATAAACGTACCGCAGCTCATCAAAGTCGATCGTCCAGTCGTTGCTGGTCGGTCGAACCTTATCAGTGTGCGGATGCAGCGGCACATAGACGGGCTTTCCGCCATTGAAAGTCACCGATGGTAGATACTGATCGAAGAAGGGCTCAAACATGATAACTTCATCTCCTTGCTCTAAAAATGCCGTGAAGACAGAATACTGGCCTGTGCACAAAGTTACTTGATCCTGAAGTCGGACAAAGAAGGTATTACATGCCTTCATTGGCCCCACTCGTAACAAGAATCTCTGTCTCTGGATCAAGGGATCTGTTGAAAGATGGCTCGTAGAATGCCTTAATCGCTTCCCTAAGGCGTATGCGGCCTTTGGGATGAGAATAGTGGTTCGTGGCGACAACCTGCAAGGCGTCGTTGGCAGCTTCAGTGACCCATTTCGGGGGAGAGAAATTCATGTATCCTTGTCCAAGGTTGATACAGTCGGCAGGTAAGTTGAGAGCACTGAGCGATCGTGTTAGCTCGGAAGCCGAAATAAGACGGTTCGTCAAAAGCAATACTTATAGATGGACCAGACATCTTGGGCCAAAGCACGACCTTCATAGAGTCGAGAGGCGAAGGGAATAAGATTCTTGCGATCGCTACCTTCAACGTTCTTGGAGCCGTTCATGTGTTTGGGTGAGAGAGACATAGATCGGTATCGACAAGTTGTGAAGCGGTTAAGGAAAAGAGAACGAGACTGAAAGGCCACAGTCAGAATATGGGTCATACAACACGGTATAAAGGTGGGAAGATAACCAACAGAGCTTCGAGCTTGTGCTGACTCTCCGCGGATGAAGTAAACACTATACAGCACTTGGAGTTCTTCGTCTCACCACAATCGGGAAAATCGGCGTCGGGAAATTTTGGCGATGCCGGCGCACAAGGTTCCATGCTTCCATATTGACATGGATTCTTCACAGATTAGGAAAAGTATCGATACCGCTTGTCGCATCTCAGTTGATCCGAACATGCTGATCACCTAAATCCAAGGAAGCGAGCAACTGTACAGCCCTACTTCGCCACATCTGTAAGGTACTTGATTAGATTAGATGATTCCTGGACCCGTACATCTGAGTGAAATATTAAATATTTCCTAAAATGAATGTTGGAGAAACTTTCTAAAAGATAAAATGGGATGAGTTCAAAAACAACATCTGAACCTAGTCTGGTCCGAAGTAAGGACCTTTGGCAGGAACCCCCGCTTTGGTAGTAATAGAGAAGGCACCATGAGCGGCACATTCGGCTTGAACTCGGCATTTTATGGCTAGTCACACCAGGAAAGAGCACATGAAGGTTTCAGCTGAAACAGCTACTGTAGAGAACAAATGTTATGTACATGATCCCTACTATTGTATCACAGCTACAACAATTTATGTAGCACCTTGGACCTATATGACTCTGAATATCCCATTTCTTTTTGCCCATGTTTTGGTTCAGGTGTGTCTGCAATTTGTAGCGGTGTTTTAATTGGAGTGGCTGACAGGTTCACTATCTCAATGGCTCAGCATCTGTTTGGGATGGAAGAAAAATTTGAAACTAGCGTTGTTTGTCATCTGAGAGCTTCACTATCAACTCTACTGATTCACACAAAGGCTAAGTGGTGAGTTACGCTGGTTGAAGCAATAGATAGCCTTTGCTGTGATGCTCAGCCATATTCAATCGGAGCGATTGAGTTTAAAATCAGGGTGCAAAAGAGCTCAATATTCGTGTTATTGGCACCAAAGGGGGGGGGGGGGGGGGGTTCACGTCAAATGGCCTTACTTTGGTGCAGACCTTATTTACAAGATATTGACTCATCATATGTTGAATTAAGTAAGCAAGGGAGACTAATCTGAACCTAAGATCTGGTATGTTACCATCTGCATATAGTTAAAGACAGTGTCGATGATGAGAACTGTTGTTAGAAAAAAACACACACAAAAACAAACTAACACACAATCCTCCCAGATTCCACGGAACTTGTTTATGGGCTTTGCCTCCTAGAACAGTGGAGTGGTCTGGTTGTTTGTGGGGTGGTACATATAACAATCCTTCAAAGTAAAACCCAGAGATGTATGGGTGTGGGTTTTGAGGAGGAGGGATAGTTGGAATATAGAAAGATAGGGGCTTTGTGGCGAGTATAGACAAGCACTACCTTGCTAATTGTAGCACAAAGTAGGTTTGAGAATGACAATGTGACAAGGTGACAAAGTTCACAGTGATAGCAGGCTCCTGACACACAGACTGTAGTGCCCAGAAGGACTCTAATTGAAAGGGATAACAATCACTTTTGAAAAGTGACGAGTGATGATGACAGCAGTTGACAGTGGTAGCAGTGGGAAGTGCTGTGACCACACTGGATCACAAGTAGTAGTGAGTAGTGAACTTGAGATTAGAGAAGAAGTCTGGATTGGAGTTCTTGTTGTTTTACAAGGTAAAATACAGGGGTTTATATAGTAAAAGAAAAGTAGGCTATGCACAGTATAGCTGTGCAAAAAGAATGGGAAAGAACATGAAGGAAGGAATGTACGCTGACGAATCCTGCATAGGTAGTACAGGATAAGATTGTCAAAAAAAGGAAAAGAAAGGGATAGAGCAATGAATGCTGTGAGTAGTGTCACAGGTTTGTACAGCCATAAAGTAAAGTCCAATAGCAAAAAGAGAGCAGGAAAATCATGATGTCATGGGAAGATACAGTAAAAAAAGGGCAAGGCAAAACACTATCAGTATCATCACAGTTCCTTTATTGTCAGTCAGGCATTCTAAAAAATATGTGTCCATAAAAATGATTCAAAAATCAAAAATAATTGCACTGTAAATGAATATTCTGCTGAAAAAAAGAAACTGGAGCCACCAGTCCACCACCTAGTCCAAATCCGACAGTTCCATGGCCTTACCAATGGACTGGTTGTATTGGACCACCTGGTCAAACGAGGGAGGGAGAGGAGTAGTCCCAATTTGGAACAAGTGAGTCCCAGGCAGCATGTGGTAGGTGTAGCTGTAGCGAAGATGATGGACAAAAGATAAGTGTACCCAAGTGAATGGGACAGCGATGTACGTAGGCAACGCAAGGGGATAAACCTTCTCCAGCTCAAAAACTACCCACCCACGCTCCAACCAGGCAAGACGAGCGACCAATGTTTTGATAGTATATCAGCAGTGGTACGTGGTAGTCGACGGATCGGCGACGGAAGCGGATAGGAAGTGGTGACATCAGAAATGGTGGGGGAGCAAAGAAGATGAGGAGGTGAACTAAAATGGGGATCCAGAAACAACCGTCGGGTGAGAATAAAAAACGAGAGTAAGGGACCCATGGTGGGGCTAGGCAAAGGAAGGGAAGTGAAGGAAACGGCAAAAGCGAGGGCGCAATGCAATGTGTAGCCAGTGGCGACGCAAAAATTTGCCAAAATGCCAAAACGCGGAAAGTACCAAATGGAAAAGCAAAGGTGAGTGTGACTGGATTGCCTAATAGAGGTGGCGCTGATCAGCCACAAGTTTGAAAAAGGCAATATTAATTACTATTCCACATGGCACTGTGCCTGTGTGGCGCAAAGGCGAGTCTTTTTGAATATTTGCTTCGTTATTGACACCTGTCCATGCTACCAATCAACTTTGGTGCATGACATTGTGCCGCGCTGCCTCATCAGCCACTGCCTTCATCAACTGTATAGTATATATGTACAAACAAACCTGTAGTAGTATATATACCCCAATAGATCAAGGAGACTCCTCAGCGAGTCCCCCTGCTGTATCCTCACAATTAACTTGTTGAAGCCTAAAGGGTAACCACTCCCTCATCATCCTCTCTATAGCTTGTCTAAGTTGTGCGCCAGAGTAACAAACTCTTGGTCATTACATCATGTGACTATGACAAGTCCGAAAATGTAAAGTAAAGTAAATGGTCACATGATCAGTCATGTGACTTGGACAAAGAAAAGTAAAAGTACAAAAGATGAAGTGTAAGTAGGTGCTGGTATGTCAATTGTAACAGAGGGTGGAGGTGACAGAAAAGCAGACTAGAATAGGGAGCCAGAAATGACCATTGGGTGAGAATAAAAAGGACAGTAAAGGGCCTATGGTGGGGCTAAGTAAAGGAAAAAGGGTAGGGAGAAGCAACAAAAGCAAGAGCGCAATGTGTAGCCAGTGGTGACGCAAAAAATTGCCAAAATGCCAAAATGCGGAAAGTACTGAATGGAAAATAAAGGTGAGCGCAACTTGATTGTCTAATAGAGGTAGTGCTAATCAGCCACAAGTTCAAAAAAGGCAATATTAATTACTATTCCACATAGCACTGTGCCTGTGTGGCACAAAGGCTATACTCTTCATAAAACCCCTATCTTCTATATTCCAACTATCCCTCCTCCTCAAAACCCACACCCATACATCTCTGGGTTTTACTTTGAAGGATTGTTATATGCACCACCCCACGAACAACCAGACCACTCCACTGTTCTAGGAGGCAAAGCCCATAAACAAGTTCCGTGGAATCTGGGAGGATTGTGTGTTAGTTTGTTTTTGTGTGTGGTTTTCTAACAGCAGTTCTCATCATCGACAACAACCAACAGCAGTATTGCGTGGAGCCTTGTTGGAGCCCGTACTATGGTTACCTGCACTCTTGCTGTGAGATATGATGGTAGCGCCATCATCACCATCATTGTCCGAGAGCGCAGCATCCCGGGCAGAGCACTTGCTTGCGAAGGATGTGACAGATGAGCCAAGAGGGGCACAAACAGAGGTTGGAGATGGGAGACCACCGAGCCAGTGGTTCACATTATTGGGTACATCAGAGCTAATGGTGGTGGGACTAGTGACCCCAGACATGCTAGGATTAATCTTGTTGGGAGCAGCCGCAACAGGAGCTGGAGACAGAATCTTGTCGGGGGTGGCGGTGTTAGGAGGTGGAGTTGGGGGCACTGTGGCAGGAAGAGTGCTCTGAGACGTGCGAGGCTGCTGCTTGGATGCTTTTGTAACCTTAGGTTGCTTGGGGACTTTGGGAACACCAAATATGTTCAAACCTTTGGCTGGGGCGTTGCCCAGTGCAGCATGCATGGCGGTAAAGTGGACCCATCCTCTCTTCCAAAAGCCCTTTGCTACCGGATGTTTCTGTGTACTGATTAGCTATTAGTCTCAAAGCAGGACGGAAACATACCGCAATAAGCTCCTTCCAGACCACTTCACCCTTGTTGAGTATGTTTAGTCCCAGTGCATCGTCCCAAGGGGTGCCAGATAGGTTGGTGATAGGCTTCACAAGGTTGTACTTTGTACAAAGCTGTGAGTCTTGAGGTTAGCAACATAGATTATGATAAGATAAGAGACATACCCGTCCCCATTCTGAGTTGCAAGCAGTGGCACTCTTTGCTGGTCCTCTGGTAAGAAGAGGTGCTAGATGCAGTGCAACTTTGGGCCAGAATTGAGGCTTGAAGTTCAAGCCATTGCCCCCCTCTGCACAATTTTTGGTGATGAATTGGATGAGTGCTTGTGTCTCAGTGTCGGTCCATATGGCATTACTATTGTCACTGCTATCTTGAGGGACAGCACTACTATCTTCTTCTATGTCTGTTATGTTGCCAGATGCTCTTTGGTCAGGCTGGACGTTAGGGTTCATCCTAGTGGACCATAGTCGTTTTGCAGGAGGGATTGGGGCTAGGGTTGGCCCAGACGCCTGTCATTTCTTTGCTCTGGACATGAGGTTGATGATGGAAGTATGGTGTCAGCCTGTAGGGTGAGATGCCTATCCGTCTCTCCGACGGCATTCCGGCAGATTGTGGGGGGGAAAAAAAATTCAGGAAAAACAGAGTTCCTGCTGTCGATGATGAGGACTAGTGTTAGAAAACCACACACAAAAACAAACTAACACACAATCCTCCCAGATTCCACAGAACTTGTTTCTGGGCTTTGCCTCCTATAACAGTGGGTGCTCTGGTTGTTCATGGGGTGGTATGTATGACGATCCTTCAAAGTAAAACCCAGGGATGTATGAGTGTGGGTTTTGAGGAGGAGGGATAGTTGAGCTATAGAAGATAGGGGCTTTTATGACAAGTATAGATGAGCACTACCTTGCTAATTGTAGCACCAGGTAGGTTTGAGAATGATGATGTGACAAGATGACAAGGTTTCCAGTGATAGCAGGCTCCTGATGCACAGACTGTAGTGCTCAGATGGACTTTAATCAAAAGGGATAGCAATGGCTTTGGAAGTGATGAGTGACAATGACAGCAGTCAACAGTAGTAGCAGTGGGAAGTATTGTGACCACACTGGATCACAAGTAGCAGAGTAGTGAACTTGAGTATAGAGAAGAAGTCTGGATTGAAGTTCTTGTTATTTTTACAAGGTAAAATACAGGGGTTTATATAGTAAAAGAAAAGTAGGCTATGCACAGTATAGCTGTGCAAAAAGAATGAGAAAGAACATGAAGGAGTACGCTGACAAATCCTGCATAGGTAGTACAGGATAAGATTGTCAAAATAAGGAAAAGAAAGGAATAGAACAATGAATGCTGTGTAAGTAATGTCACAGGTTTGTACAGCCATAAAGTAAAGTCCAATAGCAAAAAGAGAGCAGGAAAATCATGATGTCATGGGAAGATACAGTAAAAAAAGGGCAAGGCAAAACACTATCAGTATCATCACAGTTCCTTTATTGTCAGTCAGGCATTCTAAAAAATATGTGTCCATAAAAATGATTCAAAAATCAAAAATAATTGCACTGTAAATGAATATTCTGCTGAAAAAAAGAAACTGGAGCCACCAGTCCACCACCTAGTCCAAATCCGACAGTTCCATGGCCTTACCAATGGACTGGTTGTATTGGACCACCTGGTCAAACGAGGGAGGGAGAGGAGTAGTTCCAATTTGGAACAAGTGAGTCCTGTGAGGCAACGATAAACTATAACAAAAACAAAACCTGTCTCCTTCTGCACTTGCAGGGAGTAAGAGGTTCAATGAGCTTGAGGTCGACAGACGCTAGTAAATATAGCGAGTAGAGGACTTGGGAGGTAAGCTCAAGGGTTTTGGTTGAGGAGTAAAGTGGGTAAATTCAGTAATAGAAAACTAAGGAACTATACATGAATAGGTAAGGCTTTATATAGTGAACTGTTTGTCCCTCAGACTGAAAGGAGAGTAAATGAAAAGTGGTCTGAGGAATAAATCGTCCAATAAGAAAAAGAGAACAACTATTGTACGACTTTAACTTGATTAATCAGCGGGTGAGAGAATTGTACTAATAATAGATGTTTGTTACGCGTGTTCAGGAACCGTATCCTCATGATGAGGTACGATCCTGATCAAAGTGTTTATTAGTATATCCAGGCCTTAATGGGGCTTGGAGCTGGTTGGCGAGATGCCTACTACCAGTCCCTACCCATTGTGCTGGCTGGCTGGGAGTGATACCCAGTCTCTGATCTGTGATATAAAGTGGTAACGGCGGTTAAGAAAGCCTGTGAGGGCTATGAGAAGTAATATGGCAAATGATACCTCTAGCCCTAGAGCCAGAGGTGTAATGGGAAAGGTGTTCGAGGACCAAGACATAGAGAAGATAAGAAAACAATAAAATGGTCCTTACAAGTCCCAGGCAGCGTGTGGTAGGTGTAGCTGTAGCGAAGAAGATGGACAAAGGATAAATGTATCCAAGTGAATGGATAGTGATGTACATAGGCAATGCAAGGGGATGAACCTTCTCCAGCTCAAAAACTACCCACTCACACTCTAACCAGGCAAGACGAGTGACCAATGATTTAACAGTGGAAGACGGCAGATCAATGTCATAAAGTTGGACCTGTTGCCCAATTTGGACCAGCTGCCAGGGCTTTGCTGATATCAGCAGTGGCACATGGTGGTCAATGGATTGGCGACGGGAGCAGATGGAGAGTGGTGACATCAGGTATGGTGGGGGAGCAAGGAAAACGAGTAGGAGGAGGGTGGAGGTGACGAGGAAGTGAACTAGAATGGGGATCCAGAAGCAACCGTCAGGTAAGAATAAAAAAGAGAGTAAGGGTCCCATGGTGGGGCTGAGTAAAGAAAATAGTAATGGAGAACGACAAAAGTAAGTGTGCAATGTGTAGCCAGTGGCAACATGAAAATTTGCCGAAATGCTGAAATGTGGAAAGTACCAAATGGAAAAGCAAAGGTGAGCGCAACTAGATTGCCTAATAAAGGTGGTGCTGATCAGCCACAAGTTTGAAAAAGGCAATATTAATTACTATTCCACATGGCACTGTGCCTGTGTGGCGCAAAGGCGAGTCTTTTTGAATATTTGCTTCATTATGTTGGAATGACGAGCTCGAGGGATGCAGTGCAAGCGTGCACGAAGGACAAACACCTAGAAAGGAAAGTCAGCACAAGGTAGAGTTGGAGCAATGCGACACTCACCAATATATATCCATCAAAAATTTTATACTTCCGTTTTCACTTATAAGCCGTATGCTGCCACGTACACACCTCAGAGTCCCCCATTAACTCTGAGGTGAGATAGTGTTTTCTGTATGTTAGTTGTACCCATATTCACAGTACCGTCATAGATTATTTACTGTGTATAGGCACATATTGCCGAATATGATACTCAGAGTCCCCCATTAACTCTGGGATTGTTTACTGTGTATAGATTAGATAAAACATTATTGACACCTGTCCATGCTACCAATCAACTTTGGTGCATGACACCGTACGAGCCCTTAATTTGCCTTAAATAATGCTCAAGGCACTTCAAGGCAGAAAAAGTGTGAGAGGTACTTACATAATATTGTACAGTATCTATATACCTAGCTACATGTGTGATTAGGTAAGATCATCTGATCTTACCTATACAATCATCATACTTCACAGTGAAAATAGACTTACTTGGTCAACTCATTGGTGAATGTAACTTTGACATTTCCTGATGAAGTCTTTTGAATCTTTGCTTTGTTACTAACACCTGTGCATACTACCAATCAACTTTGGTGCATAACACTGCACCAGATTTAAACATTATTCATGCTAACTCAAAGGTACAGCATTATCTGTTGATGGACTGAACAAGCTTTTTACAGTGGCCATCTACAGGTAAATCACCTTCAGTGTGGTAATAGTTCTCAGATGTTCAAAGCTCAAATGGTTGTTTGGCCTTGGTGCTGAACTCCTCTTATGGATGATACCAAAGTACCCACAAACATCATTCAGTCACATATGGATAAGGGGAAGAGTGGCAAAAAAGAGAAACATACCAAAGGAGACATCACTGTGGTTGAATGAAAAATGTTACAATCCTAAGTGTCAAACACTACATTTTATTCATGCCACCCACAGGTTATCCATAATATTCACAGATGACCTGTGGATATAACCTGCACCGTTTCTATTGACCCGGGTTGGATACGGTCTTTTTTATTTTGTCTTATTTACGTACGGCACACCCCACCTCTCTCGAAACAGTGGCTGTGGCGTTACCTAGTGTTTCGACAAACAAACTCAAGGCAAAATTTTATTCGCACTTTGCGAATCGTGTCCTGTACAACAATATTTTTCTTGAGGTGCTGTCATCGCGCTTCGAATTGGACCACCGTCAAGCACAACGATGAGACATGATAAGGAAGATGACATGGTCGTACCACATACTGCGCTTGGTCCTCTTTTTATACATGATACGGTGACCACACTCGACACCGTAAGGGTTCTCTCAACTTGATCTCATTATTTTTTTTGGCGCCACAATCTTTTCACTTTAGTATTTGCCGCCAAGGTTCGTGTTTATGCCGCCGCTTACCCGCATAAATGTATTCCATGTCCCGTCGTGGAGGAGGAACATAGCATAGCTTCCTCCCCCTCCCAGATCGTTGTTGGGGCCCTGGATGAACCTGACTGGAAGGAGGCCTAAAGAAAAAGTGTTGCCCGTTACAACGTGACGGCCGGCTTACTCCGGTAGAACAATGAAAAGCTGGCAGAAAGGTACAATCCGGTACAATCGATGTTTTACAACAACATTGTGTCCCAGTCCCTGCTGAACAATAACAACCCGCAGATTCGCATGCTCACAAATGTTGTGGAATCCTGTCTAAATGGCGGTAAGATGCTTAGCTCTCAGCCCTTGTTTTTTTCGAGGCAACTGTGATCATGACGTTAATTAATTATCGTATCGCTCGCCTCAGTTGACCCAGTTACGGCGCGTTACGAGGAAAGGAATCGGGAAAAAAGGCTGTGAGGTTATGATGGTAAGCCAAAGGGGCGCTTCCGCTTCCAAACCAACTGGCTGCAAACTTATCTCCTTGCCGACGAGCCTCCATACTATTGTTAGAGCCTGCTATAACGTCTACCGCAACTCCATGGCAGTAGGCATGACCTGACAACCGTGGGCGGTATCCATGGCGCTCCACCATCCTTTAAAACCATTGCCCAGTGCTTTCATGGCTGGCGCTCTTGAAGGCCGTTCCAACGTCCTCCTCGACGACTTCACGTTAGCTGTTTCTTCAAGTTCGATGCCTGCTTCTGCTCTCCCTTCATTCATCGAACTCATGGCTTCACTCGGCCTCAATGACGCAAGAACGTCCCAGTCTGACGCTTCCCAGACAACACGATCTCGTTCTTGCTCAGTTTCTTCATCTACCTCATCTAGCTCTATTCAGAGCTTGAGTCCCTCATCATCACGTTCCTCCTTTGGCGATGTATCACCACGGGACCTCGAGTCAGAAAGGCGTTCAAACCATGCTGGGTCCCGTGTTAGGGTAGCCAGATATAACCCATATGCCCCGCCTCATGTACGTTTTCATTATTCGACTTATTATCTTCCTGTTCTTATGTGAAGGCAATAGACATGTGTCAAACGATCTAGCATGTCGTCATTGACAGATCAGACTGAGTTGGAGACGCCTTCTAGAGTACGTATTCATCTATTCTGCCAGCTCATTGCCAACGATCTTATCGTTCGTATCCTAGTCTCACTCTAGTTCGCCTCGTTCTCCCTCGCCTCGCATCACGCGCAGGCCATCTCCACTTCGATTCCAAAAACTTCTCGGAGAACTTGACAGAGGTACTGAACTACCTGCAAACACTCCTATATCAACCTATGTCCGCCGCAAAACACCGCAGCATTCACCCACCGTGTCTACTTTCTCACATCGCTATACGGACAGGCCTTCCACCATCTCTCCACCATCACTGATTCCGTTCTCCTTACCAACGCTCCCTTCAGCTTTCGTTGCCCCGCACTGAGCGCGTCTCGAATCGATTGCTGGTCACTTTTTCTTTCTCTTTTCCATTTTCTTCGTCGGGTCGGACTCCTGTTTGATGATCACTTGATCCTAGTCGGAGTGCTCGTGTAACGCTTTATCGCAGTTCAACCAGCTCGTGTACTTTGAAAGGATGGACAACTCACATGGACCTAATAATACCGTACGCCTCACGTGTATTCACTTTCCTTTCCGCCTACCTATAATACTTGCATTCCTATCGTCCACGTTACTTTCATTCCACTTCACTTCATTTCACCTCCCTCTGGCTAGGTCCATGAGTAGTAGACGTTTTGATAACGTCCATTGTAATCTTATCTGAGTCCCTTTTCCTGTCCTTAACACATCTGGAGGACACTCATTCGTTCAAATATATATATATATATTACAAGACTACAGTAGTGCTATATATTGTTAGTGCTACAGTGTTCAGATAGCCATGCCAACAGAATCAACGTGTCTCTAATCATGCTCGTCCTCATCTGGTCCAGGACAATGATCCTCCATGTCAGTAGGATCATCGTACAGAGTACCGCACCAGAAACAGTATGAATACTTGTCCCGTAGGTAGGCTAAGAGCACCTGTAATCTGTCTCGAGCCTGTCACGATACAAAAACCAGTTAATCAGTGGTTACTAGTAACTAGTGACTGATGGAGCGAACAACTCACGCCAAGGCGCAAGAAGTGCGCAGCCTCCTCCACAGTTTCGGGTGAGTATTCGTCCCGGGCTTCTAGGGGACCTTTCTCGTCCACGCCGTTCGCGGTTCCATCATCCAACGGAGAAGGCATCGCCCGTAACGCATCAGCTCTCATCTGTTCTCGTAAATGAGACACATGATGAACACCTCTATGGGTTGATGGTTGAGACACAAGCAGAGCATGATCACCAAGGGCGTCTAACAACCCAGGAGGGAACGAATCTCGATCGTTGGGATTGAGAGTGAGTACGTTGAACTGTGGATCCACAGATTGTCAAGCATCAGCGATCCACATAATAGTAAATTGGAGGTAATGGCGATGTAAGGTATGTACTTACCAGTATCCCAGCTTTCTCGTCAAGAGCAAGACAGGTACGCTGGGCTGGAGCGAGTCTCCCCTCACACCGTCGTTCTTCGTACTCCCTGCGCGTGCGATCACGGAACGATTCATGGCTAGCGTCCTCTGCCATTTTGGCCATCTTGGCGACCCTTTCTTCAAAGCTGGGAGACGGCGCACGCTTGCCCAAACCGATACCTTTCTTCCCTAGATGCATAACAAGTGTCTGTTATAAGCGCGCGAGGGGCGAGACGAAATGGAGGACGACGACGAACCTGTCCATTCGTTCAGTGGTATCGGCTCAACTTTATGTCGAACTTGGAAACTTGCTAGCTCGGTGCTGTCTATAGGCTCTGAACGTTCCCTTGATTCCGATTTTCCCTTCCCTTCACTAGGAGCACTGGGAGGTGGAGGCAGTGATGCAGCGACGGTTTCGTCCTGATTCTCGTCGGATTTCCCAAGGGATTGTCCAGGCTTAAAGCCCATCTTCATCATAATACTCAGCGCCTTATTGCTCGTCCCGACACCAGCTTCCTGCTCCTCTTTCGCTCGTTCAAACAAACTCTTGCTCAGTCCTTCTTCCCTGGCTTCCACTTCCCGCTGGCGACGACTCTTGAGTCTGTTTTGCTCATCCCTGAG